GGGGGGAAGGGAATGACTTGTATAAACTATGAGTTGACCTCTATCGTCTGGTTTTGCTTTGCTTTGCTTTGGCTTGTTGCCTGTTTAGAGCAACATGTTACATGTTTTAAGATTAGATCCGTTAATAAGCTTCAAGGTGTGATGATTGCCAATGAAAAACTGCGTATACTTCATGTACGTCGGATCGCTATAAACGACGGCCGCTATTGACGTACGAGACCTGCTTTGAGATCGGAAATAACTCCTTTTTCAACCTTTTCAATGAGACTCACGAACAGAAAACTGCGGATGGTTTGGCATACGTCGGATGAGCGAACCCGAACAGCTTGGGGTTATGTATTATCATTATCATGAGGTTGTACATCCCAGTGTAGCAAAAGACAGCTCCGTTTTATACTTAGCCTGTTGTCCTTGTAGCTCCATCCGTAACCATAACGCCGTCCAAATCGTGTCCCTTGATGACCTAATCCGAGCCCTGTAGATGGTGGTATCTCAGCAAATCTCCACCCCAGCCAGCGATACGTGTGCTCAGGCACTAAACGACGACACATAATACTTGCTTTCAGTCAGCACTAAAACTCACATCCTCAACATCAACACCACCTGAAGAGCAAGGGAACTCACCGTAACAACATCTTCTCTCTCCCCCCCGACCCCCCTCTCCTCCCTCCCCTGGTCCCCGCCATCCAAATGCGGCACATACACATACAATATTAGCGCATGTTCGTCGCAAAAACAAGCAATCACCCGCCCCTCCAACCTCCCCACACTCAACACTCGGCTCCAATCTCGCCCATCCACCCTCACCGTCGCCCACCGGTCTGGCCCGGCGCGCTTGAATATTGTCGATGGGTGTTCCTCGATGGGAACGGGCAATTGGGACTCGTCCAGCTCGGGGTTTTCTAACCCTGTCCAGGTGGAAGTTATGGAGAGAGTGTCGGTGTGCAGGGAGAGGCGGAGGCTGCCATGCATGTTGGCTTGGAGGACTAATTTTGGAGTGGAGTATCTGGAGTTGGTGGAGGTTGTAAGGGCGAGCTTGGTGAACCGGTCGGAGATGGCTTTCAGCTGAAGCAAAGGTGGAAGCTGGATGTGCACGTCTGGCTCGCGCACTTTTGGTTGCATGATTGTCTCGACTGTGTCGGGGTGCAGGACGCGGACTGGTATATCTTGTGTGATGATTTTTTCGCGCTCGCGCTTCATAGTGAGTTCTAACGGCTCGGGGGCAAAGGATTGGGAGGTGAAATGGTCTTCTTCTGCTTCCCCCGAGTTGGCCCCAAAGCCAGGGGCCTTACGCCCCCGCGCTTCACCCCCACTGTCCCGCGTCATGGTGTGGATTGTCATGCTCAGCATAGGGAGGCCATCTTTTTTTGTTAATCTCAAGTTGGCGTAGCTGGACCCAATGGCAGATTTGAGTGCGCGGAGTAAAGGTTGGAGGGGGAGTTCGAGGTTTATGGTGTTGTTTGGCTCGGCGGACTGGATGTGGTAGTTGTCGAAGATGAGGGGTACAGAGAGGGAGGCCCAGACTTGTGAGCCGGTGTCGGGGATAACGGTAAAGCGCACAGTGTCGTCGTCGAGACGGACCCAGGCGATTTTCTCGAGGGACGAGAGGGCAGCGGTTAGTTCTTGAGGTTGGTTGAGGGGGGAGGGGGAAGTGTTGTTAGCATTTGGCTAGCCGTTGAGAGGCAAGATAAGGGTTGCTTACTGGAGAAGGTGCGCACGTTACGGAGGTCGGTGCGGAATCGCATTTTGAGAGCTGGAGGTGAAAGTAATGATGGGTTGAGGTTAGAGTTGAGGAATGTTGCGTCGTGGTCTTGATGGATGAATTGAAGGTTGCGGGTGTAAGATTACAGCCAGCGTAATATTCATGTGGGGTGTGGGGATGGCAGCCTTATGCGCCCCACTGTGGAGCTACCTGGGGAATGAGTTGATAAATGTCATCTCCTCCCTCGGCTCGCTCTCCGACTTCTGACAAGGCACAATCATCACGCAGGATTATGGGTCTTCGGGGTAATATGGGTTTGTATTTTCTTGAGCTAGTCCATATCTCAGACTTCCTCCTCGGATGGTTCAGAAACCACTCCCATGAGCATTACAAGCATCAGACTCTTTTTAGTATTGAATCTCCCCGCATCTGAAATCGTATATAAGTCCTCCAAAACATCTGGAGCAATGATTGACGCATGGGGGTGGCATTCACCATCAAAACTCTCAGTGACGAGGTGTTCTCTATGCTTTGATTCTCTTTTCAATGTTATCTAATAGTATTGTTTTGTCCTAGTCCAGTCCTGCTGAATGTGACTTGAACCCTACCCTTCCCCTTCTTCCAGCCTAAATTACACATCCCTTACCCCTCGAATCACCCCTTCGATCGAAAGATAGGGTTGAAACCTACAGGATTCCCTAGCAATAAGCCCACCCCCCCCCAAAATCCCCCGCCTTCTTTTTCTGGCACTCCTCACTCCTACATGTCCGGCTGTAGTCTACGGTCAGCCCTTCAGCTTCACAAGTCCTGGCCTAGTGTCATGAACACCCAGGGGAAGGTGGTTAATGAACTCTGTGTGGCCGTAACAGAAGCGTTTCCACGAGGTGTCGCACATCTTGCTGGGGGTCCTGTTGGAAACTTATGTGCTTTGTGGATGGAGGAACTGCAGTTCTTGATGAGTTGTAGGAACTGAGAGTGTTCACTCTGCAACTGCTAAGTGAACGATCAATTTGATAAGCGTTGATGTGCCACGTGATGACATGATCGAGTGGTATATATAGGATTCAAAATAGTAGTAGCGGGAGCTATTACTATCAACTTTGTCTGTTCACTGCCGCTATGATGAAACCAAAATCTTCATGTTCACTCACCGTCCCTTCTCAGGAGCAATATATCCGACCGCACGACAAACCAATCAATGTCTACTCAGAATTAAATCGTAACAGTCTTTAACTGACAAAACCTTTAGTCACGATCTCACTCAGCCTGGAATGTCTCGAGAGTCTAGCCAGAGCGTGGCACCTCTTTTTCTTCTTCTGTTTCCGTTTCTTCATCTCCCTCATAGCCTCCATAATCGGTATTGGACAGCCCCACCACTCGCATGCCGAGGGGAGAATTACGTCGTCCGTCTTTGATTCACAGTCCTTTCCGAGCCATAGCAGCCTGCAGGGGACAGTGTTCCTGAGTTTCTTGCAGCCGCAGCGGAAGTGGTAGTAAACTCTGGTGCACATCTTGGTTGGTTTTGGGACCTTTTTCTTGGAGCCTTTGACAGGCTTGGTGGATGCAAAAATGGAAAAGGTCGTCTCTGGATACGAGGGCTTCCTCTTCACTTGAGAGAGCGTCCCTCGATCTCCTGGTGCTTGAATGGTATGGGTAGGACCGAGACCGTATGAGCGTTGATTCCATTCCATATAAGCAGGAGAAGAGAATTTGCAAGACGAATGCTATGGAGTGTCATTATGAATGGTTTACAATAATTATGAAAACTAACAGTGTCTTTCAATCTACATACGAGCCATGTCCTGAACTCTGATTTGAAATGACAGATCTCTCCAGAGCATATGATCAGGCTAATCCGTAGTTGCAGTGCAGTAGGCCTAGAAGTGCCAAAAACAAAGCCATTGATCCATCTATGCCGAGATCAAAGATTCGAAGAACCAAAGCCAGATAAATGCCTTACTAAGTCCCGTTGTCTACAAGGTACCTTACTCGAAATGCATGACAGCTCTCATCGGCCACACGCACACACACACACACACACACACACATAAAGAACAAAGAGCGCGTCAAGACCAAATCACAATTGCCCCATAAACAATGTCATTAAGCTAAACCCTTCCTAGCAGTCCATGTCCGACCCCCTTAAGCATCCATTCAGTCAGCTTTAACCTACAATCTACAACTCCCGCCGCCCTGCCTCTGGCCGACCTTCCCCTTCTTGCCCGCATCCTTCTTGTTGCCCATGTATTACTTCCACATTTTGGAGTATCCCCACGAGTCGCACAGCGTGGAGATGTCCACATAGTTCGTTTTCATCACGCACTCCTGTCCGAGCCACAGCAGCCTGCAGGGGACGGTATTTGTGAGCTTAAGGCAGTTGCAGCAGTGCACGTTGTAGAAGCTGATGCACATATTGGCTTGGAAAATTGGTTATGTGAATGTTGGAATGGGTATGGCTTTGTGGCAGTTGGAAGAAGAGAGCTAGTCTTTTGACTGACAAGCCTAGAGGGGCTTATGAACTGGCTTGTTAATGGTGTGGATGGTGGGGTGTGGATGATCAATTGAAGTTGCGTTAATCCAGCTACATAAAGGCAGGCATCAGGGCAGAACTCCCAGGGCAGTCAATGCTTTTAAGAGCCAATATGGATGATTAACAACAGCCGTCATGAAGTGAGAAGCTTCTTTCGAGTGTTTGTTATATGAGGCATGCCCTGAACTATGATAAAGATGACATATCTCGTTAAGGCCTTGAAGTAGGTTAATTCGTAGGTCAGACATAACTGGCCCAACTAAAGAAATCCTACACAAAACCCACCAACGCATCTATAAGTTAGAAGACTAGAAGCCTGAACGTCCAAAGCCAATCAAAAACCTGGTACCTGGACTAAAGTAAGTCCCCCTTTTTTCCAGTCGTCCTACGCAACCCTCGCTGTGTCACATAACAGGGCACGAAGAGCAAAGTTATAACCAAGTCAAATGTGCCATATACAAAGTCGTTGAGAAAAGACCCAACTACCAGTCCATGTACGACCAACACCCGAAATCCAAAATTCGCAAAAACTCCCATACAAGTCCAGCTTAAGTCCAGCAGCCGACCCTGTCTTCCTATACACCCCAAACATGTCCTGTCCTTGTTTACCTGCCCCCTTTCTCCTCCCCCCTCCCCCCTCCCTTCTTTCCCTTATCTCCAGATCCAGCCCAACCCACTACATGCACAATGCCAAATCCATCCATATCCCAAAGTAAGCAACGTACTCCTAAACCCCCCTAGGCGTCTGCTCCAAATACCACTTCTCCCACGCCAAATCCCGCTCCCTCGGCCAACGATCTATCCGCGGGCCCTGCCAACCCCCTCTATCCGTCCCATTCGTCCCAACCCTCCTCTGCCCTGCCGCCGCACCCCTAAACCCCCAACCAATCTCACTATTCGTCGACGACGAACTCGAACTAGTACTCAACCCCATCCTCCCCGGCATCGCAACGCTAAACGTCCTTCTCCTCTTCGTAATCCTCCCCGTAGGAACCAATTTACTTAGCCACCTCAGCGGTGTACGCCACCACTTCCCACTTTCATGAGTCTGAGCAGGGCGGATAATTTGAATAATAGTATGTCCCTCGCTCCCGGGAGGGCCCGGAGGTTGAGACCTCACCTGCCCCCCCGCGACGATCGTCTCACCCTGCCTAGCATGGGGATCTCTACAATAATTACACAGTATCGCCGGGGCACTGGGCATCCCCTCGGGGAAAAACCTCCCCCCTTTTCTATTCTTCTCCCCCCTCCCCCACGCCCGTTCCTTCGCCCGATCCCCCAACACAATGGGAAGCACGGGATGTCCACACCGGTGATGTACCGGGTCCCGACAGATCGGACACGATGGCTGATCGTGCGCGGCGATGAAGAGATAGCGTTTGATGCAATGGTCGCCGAAGAAGTGGCCGCAGGGCAGGGTGGCCCAGGTCTCAATAGTGCCGTCCGGGTGGCGCGTGCCGATGAGTTCTTGGCAGATAGGGCAGGTTTTGTCGGGGTCGGGTTCGGGGTCTGGGATTGAAGAGGAAGGAGGGGGGTTTTCGAAGAGGAGGAGTTTACGGGTCATGGTTGTGGTTTGGGTTGGGATTGATGTGGGATTGATGTGGGTTGAATGAGCCGTGTTTGGTAATGACGTCGTTGTGGGTTAGGGTTACTCAGAGCATCAAATAATTGAGCCGCTGTTGCTCGGAGCCAATTGATAGTGTTTTGGATAGATTGATGTTGGGCTCTGAGATTGATAGCTTGATAGCTGCGGCAATATTCTCGAGGTGAAAGGTAAAAATGTTGGCGATACTTTTTTCTTGTTGTTGTTGTTGTTGTTGTTGTTGTTGTTGTTGTTGTTGGCGTTGTTGGCGACGTCAACACTCTTTAGTCATTGACTATTTCAAAGAGCTAGGGAGCTAGGCGTCGGAAGCAGGGACCGAACAAGGCAGCGTGGCGTGCCTAGCCTAGCTTCAAACACGAGGCTCGATCGCCGATAGCCGACAGTAATCTGCAGAAGCTCCAAAAATTGTCCGCTGAATCGCGATCCAGGGACTTCGATTCCAGCCGTAGCGAAGATGCAGCTTGAAAGCTAGCTTGCAACACCGACTGCGACCGTGGTCAGGGTCAGGACTCAGGACAAGATTCCGTCTATCCCGAACTTGCTTGGGGGCTAGACTGAGCTAGGTGGCAGGGGCTCGAGTCAAAAGGCAAGGAATCAAAGAAGAGGGAGGGAACAAAAAAAAAAAGAAGGGAGAGAGAATGAGAAACACAAGGCTGCAAAACGGACGGATATGGAGGGCCCGTCCTGCAACCGCCACAAGGGTTAAAAGTGGTTAAAAAGCTTTAACAGCTTATGGGAGCTGGAGCCTGGAAGCGACCGAGCAGAACAAAGCAGCAACAGGTTAAAATCAAGCATGAAACGAAGAAAAAAAATATTCTCCCTTGAGGCGGCGTAATCAAGCGTATGTAGGTCCGTGTGCTAGGTGCTGTGCCCATCTAAGTCCAGTTCAGTCCAGTCCAGTCCAGTCCTGGTTCAGGTCTAGGTCTGGGACTACTGGCTGTCTCACAAGCCCAGTTCCTAGTAGGTCCTAGTCCTAGTTGGTTTTCGCACCCGATGGATGATGAGATCACCTACCTATCACCACGGCCGAAGGAGACTCACTCAACCCTGGATAGGCCCCCAATACTTTATCTTGCTGCGGATCAGATATGCCTTAATAATCTGCATTTTTTTTCTTTTTGTTCGCGACCAATACCCGGGTTATCAGCCACCCTCCATGACTGATTATGTCCAATCATGATGGTGTTGGGGGTGCTGATACAGCCTGCTGACCTACCACAGGGTGCCTACTTCATGCTGCTTGATTCTTGAAATTCTTAGGACGGGGGGAAGGAAATCGCCGGCTGCTGACGGCCTGACGGCCGGCCTGCCTGCCGGGGACCGGGACTGTGCTTGCTGGGACGCACGCCAGGCCGCGTGCTGATTGCATGTTGCATGGCTACCCGTTTGTTTTTGCTCGTGGTGTGTGGTGTGTGTATGTGATCGGCGGAAGCCCACGCCTTGCGGCGTCCCGTCTGGCACAAATGCGTGTGCCCGCTGGGGGACCTGGCCTGTGTGTGTGAGGTAGGGTGGTACACAACACGACCTGGCCGACTACGAGGGTCTGGTGAAGTACAAAAAAAAGCCCGAGAGTGTTGCCCTCATGAGTTATCATAGATAAGAAGAGATTAAAGAGGATAAGAAGGGTCATATGCCCAAGTATCTAGATAAGACAGATGAATTTTTCTGATTTTCTGTTCAACTTCAAGAGGAGGAGGGGCTGTATATAGAATGAGAATGCCCAAAGATGTTGACTTGATTGCCGATCTGTTCCGTCCAGACAAACAGCAGCGAGCTGAAGCCAACAACAATACCGCCGCCGCCTACTGGCATGCCGAGCTGGAGTGGACCTGATCGCCATGTGGGGCGCGCGGACCGAGCGGCGGGGCGGATCCACTGGGCTGCGATCGGTGTGCTGAGCGTGAGATGCTGCCCTGGCAGGGGAGAAACTGCCTTGAGGTCAGCCTGGGAGATTAGATTCGAGAGAGAGAGAGAGAGAGAGAGAGAGAGAGAGAGAGAGAGAAGGAGAGAGAGAGTTGTTTTGAGAATCATGTGCGAGTTGGTAAAACAGACATTTGAGATTGCCGGATGCCATCAGTTGAATCGAGCTTTGCGCCACGACCGTTGCACACCGCTTAAGTGCATGTGCCCGTGTGTGGCCTCAATCATTGCATAGCGTCCTGATCTCGTGTTTTGACATTAAAGGTCACTTACGTCTTGGCACGTAATATACCGTAACCATTCCGCGTAATTAACCACCTCATCCGCGATCGTATCTTATCGTCAGCTCGTGACCTCGCTGGCCGCGCCGTTCCCCCCTACCCCCCCCCCTCTCCTTTCTCAACATCAACCATCCTCAACCTCTTCATAATCCAACCATCATCACACCATGACAGACAAAGCCCTCATCCGCAAGCGCTCCGACACGGAGCTGATGCCCCCGCCGCCCCCCGCGAAACGCATCGCGCGCCCCAAGCACGTCCTCGACGAAGACACCTACACCGAGGCCCTCTCGCATATCATCGCCCGCGACTTCTTCCCGGGCCTGCTCGAGATTGAGACGCAAAAAGAATACCTCGATGCGCTCGAGTCCAAAGACGAGGAGTGGATTGAGAGCGCCGCGCGCCGGCTCAAGTCCGTCATGACGCCCGGCCGGAGGCGGGACTTGCTCGCCACGCCGCTGAGGAATGGGCTGCAGGGCGCGGCGGGCAGGACGCCTGTGGGATTTGTGGGGGATACGCCTGCTTCGATGGCGTCGAATGCCACGGCCGCGACGGCGGCGAAACCGGCGGTTGATACCTCCCTGTCATTGGCCGCCTTCCAGGCGAAATACACCTCCGAAGACAACGAATCCTTCTACAAGCTGCTCGACAAGCAGAACCAGAAGAAAGCAGAGAAATACGCTTGGCTGTGGACAGGGAACAAGCTACCGTCCAAGCAACAACTCAAGCAAAAAGAAGTCGAGGCCAAGCTGCTCGCCCAACGCGGCTCCCTCGTCGACGACGGCTTCAAGCGCGACCGTCTCGCTATCCGCGACTCCGCTGACGTCCCCGACCGCCCCGCAGCCCCTGACACCTGGAAAATCGACAACCCGCGCAACCAGCTCATGTTCGTCCCCGACGGCATCGAGGAGCGTGGACTGCAAACGGTAGCCGAGCGCCAGGCCGCCGAGTCCCGCGCCCCGCCGAAGAAGATCGTTTACGCAAACACCCGCGCGCCATTACCCCCCACCGCGACGATCAAAGACGCCAACAGCGGCAGCACGAGCGATAATAGGAGTACCCGAGCAGGGTCTCCCTCCCTCTCCGAAATCCGCCTCGCCATCGCCGGGCACAGACGACCCTGCGACGCCGAGTCCAGCATCGCGCCCAGTACCACAGCAGGTGGGGAGACCCCTAGGGTGAATGGCTACGCCTTTGTCTCCGACCGGTCGCCATCCCCCGAACCTCGTGCTAGCAAGAAGAAGAAGAAAGACCCCCTCCCAGAAATCGAGCTCGGCCCCGGCGATCCCACCCCCAACCCTTTTTCGCTGCAGCCGGTGAGGAAGAGAGAGGAGCTGCATCACCGGATGGTGGAGAAGATCGCTGCTTCGAGGAGGGAAGCCTCTAGGCTTGGGGTGACGGGGAAGGTGTCAGGGGTAGGGACTCCGGCGACGGTGAGGAGTATGACGCCGGGAGGGAGAATGGCGGCGGGGAATTTGACGCCTGCCGCGCAGAGGTTGCTTGGGAAGGTTGTGGGAAGTACATTCGGGGGAGGGGTGAGTCCATTTAGCGAGAGGGTTGTTGCTACGCCGAGGACGGTCAAGAGGGCAGGAGGCTCCAAGAAATAATAAGTGATGAGAAGATGGACGTGTTTTTGGGTGAGTATTTTTTTTAAAAAAAAAACAAAGTCTGAGTATTTGGAGAGTGGCTTGGTTGGGGGTCGCTCGGCGATTTGTCTGATTTGTGGTTTTAAGGATTGATGATGCATGATACCCATAGAAGCACAGGATATAGAAGAATTCTCATTGATTCTAATCTCCAAACAGTTGCTTAGCTTTCTATGACCATTTTATGCCCACTAAGTAAAGAAGACCGCTTCCGTCTACTTCGATTGTTGTTCTGGATTGTGACAATAAGATGTCAATGCCCCCCCCCCCCCACGCGGCATATGATTCCCAAGTCCAGCAGTCCAAGAGCTGAAACCCAGCAGTTCGGGTCGACGTACCAGCGCTAAGCAGGGGGCCCTTTAACAGCGACCAGGGTTTCCCAGCAGCCTTTTCCCTCATACCCCAAAATTTTGCGGCTCCTCGGCATTGAACTCCACCGATGAGGACTAACCTACCGGACCGATACTCAACCAGGGGGGTTTTTTTTTTCCATGAAGGGGGCTGAAAGAAACGAATAAAAGGACAGGAATGAAGAGAATTCAGGATCAGAACTACGAGTTGGTGGTTTTCTGATTGCATGAGTTTGTGGCCAACTTGAACACTCAAAAACAGAGCTGTCATCCATCATATAAAGTCGCTCAGTTATTCCCCCCCCCCCCAACCCTAACATTCTCTCTGTCTATTTCTCTCATCCATGATTTAGATGGAAGCATGAGATGAGGTGAAACACACTCTGCCAACAACCAAACTTCCTTCTTCTATCTCATCCCTCTCTATCATATTTTTCACCTCTGAATTTCCCCCAATACCTACTTTCCAAGCAACCGAAAAAAAAAAAATGCGCTTCGCCGACATCCTAGTCGACCTCGCCGCGGTCGCCTCAGCCTCTCGCTCCATCGCCTCCAAACATATCGCCCTCCGCGCTCGCCAATGGGACCGCTACACACGAGAGTCGAGTATCCTCGGGCAGGCGATGAGGGTGAGAGGCAGTAACGGGCAGACGAAGAAGACCGGGCAGGGGCAGGCTCAGGAGCAGTCCAAAGGTGAGGAGCAGAAGCGGGAGCAAATACAGCAGCAGCAGCAGCATGAGGTTGGGCAGAAGCAACAGCAGCAGCAGGGTGATGTGAGAGTTGAAGAGGCCAAGGCTGCTCAGACAGAGACAACGACACAGACTGAGACGGTGCAGCAAACGGTTCAGAAGTCTCAACCTACACGGCCCGAGAGCATAACACCCAGCTCAGTGAAAGAAATCTCTCCCACTCCTTTGACAACCTCTACCTCAGCTCCAGCCGAGCAAGCCCAATCTTCCTCCTCGACATCAACGCCCCCCTCCCAAACAAGGGAATTCACCCCCGCCCCCTGGGCGAACGGAACAATCCACTTGCTCAAGCAGCAACGTGAGCAAGGGATTGGTAGGCTTGGGCCCAGCATTTCGCCTGTCCAACCTATCCAGCCATCTCTGGCGGGTCTGGAAGGCATTGGGATTTTGAAAAAGAAGCCTGCTGCTGGGCTGCCGAAGGTGTTGGAGATGTTGCAGGGAGTCGAGGCTGAGCTCAGTAAGGAGTCTGAGGGGGAGGGGATAAAGGAAGAAGCCAAGCAAGTTGAGGAGCAGAAGCAGGAGGAGCGCCAGGTTCAGGTGGGGATTGAGGTCACGGAGAAGGTCGGAGAGGTGAAAGCTGAGCCCCAGGCTGAACCAGTACAAGTTCAGGAGACAACAGAGGTCGAAGAGCCTGCCCCTGCGAAGGTCGAGCCAGAGGCTGCCCCGGCACAGGTCGAGGAGATAGAAAACGTCGAAGAGGTCACCCCTGAAATTGCTGAGCCCAAGCCTGCACCAGCATCAGTCGAGGTGGCACCAAAAGAAAAAGAAATCCAGCCCGAGGTCAAAGCCGAAGCCCCCAGCCCAGCCCCCGAACCCAAACTCTCCCAGGAAGACGCCAACCTAGTAGCAGAACTCTCCAACCCCATCTCCTCAGCCGCCCCCGGCCACCAACTCCGCGAATCCGCCGTCCCCTCCACACGCCTCTCCCGCCTCTGGAACTACGGCGGACTCGCCGCCGGCATGGTCGCAGGTGCCCTAACCGAGGGCCTATCCCGCGCCTTTGGCGGCGGCTCCAACACCGGCAGCGTGATGCTCTCGCCGGCCAACATGGAGCGCCTTGTCTCCAAGCTCTCCCGCATGCGTGGCGCGGCCCTCAAACTCGGGCAAATGATGTCCTTCCAGGACGCCAAGATGCTCCCGCCTGCGATACAGGAGGTGCTGCAGCGGGTGCAGGATCGGGCAGATTACATGCCGGGGTGGCAGCGGGATAAAGTTATGGTGAACAATTTGGGGGAGAACTGGAGGGAGTTGTTCGAGGAGTTTGAGGAGACGCCGGTCGCGGCGGCGAGCATAGGACAGGTGCACCGTGCCAAGCTGAAGAGCACCGGCGAGCAGGTCGCAGTAAAGATCCAGTTCCCTGGGGTCGCCGATAGTATCAACTCGGATTTGGATAACCTGGGGATATTGCTGAACGCGACGAAATTGCTGCCGAAGGGGCTGTATCTGGACAAGACGATTGCGAATGCAAGGACGGAGCTGGCGTGGGAGTGTGATTATGTGAGAGAGGCAGGCTGTGCAGAACGGTATAGGGAGTTGCTCGCTGATGATGGGGTGTTCGCCGTGCCGAGGATCTATCGCGAGGCGTGTGGAAAGCACGTACTTACGATGGAGTGGATGCCGGGGACGGCGGTGACGAGGGCTGCGCCGGCGTTGGACCAGGCACAGAGGGATTGGATTGGGTCGCAGATTCTGCGGCTATGTCTGCGGGAGATCACCGAGTTCCGGTTTATGCAGACTGACCCGAACTGGACCAACTTCTTGTATAACCCGTCTAACTCTGGTCGGCTGGAACTCCTCGATTTCGGCGCGTCTCGGGAGTACCCTGAAGAGTTCGTCTCGCTCTACGTGCGCCTCCTGCACGCAGCCTCTCGCGCCGACCGCGCAGCCGTGAAATCCCTCTCGGAAGAGCTGGGCTATCTGACCGGACACGAATCACGCACCATGCTCGACGCACACGTCACGTCGGTGTTGACGCTGGCGGAGCCGTTTATGGAGAGCGCACCAGAGGTGTATGACTTCAGGGGACAGACGATTACGGAGAGGGTGAAGGCGCAGATCCCGGTCATGATTCACGAGCGGCTGGCGCCGCCGCCTGAAGAGACGTATAGCTTGCACCGGAAGCTGAGCGGGGCATTTTTGCTTTGTGCAAGGTTGGGGAGCCGGGTGAGGTGTAGGGATTTGTTTGAAGAGGCTGTGAGGAAATCGGGGTATGTGAAGGAGTAGACATCGGGATTGTATAGTACTGTACTGTACGGATATTATAGACCAGATACCATTATACTCCTTTCGCAATGGTAATCTTGCAATTCATTAAGCTCTGTGATATCATCCTTCTAGTCCTTTCTTTCTTTCTTTCTTTCTTTTTTAATTTTTTTTTTTGCTTTCCCCATTCAAGATCCCAAGTAATAAAAGCTCGTTCCCCTTCAACACTAAAATCCTTTTTCCTTTCCCTGTCCCAGCTTTTAAATTCTCCTGACTCCTAAAGTCTACCGATCCTCCCTCCCCCTCCTCTCCGTCGGCAACAACTTCCTCTCCTTCGCCGCAATCTTCTTCATCCTCCTCTGAATCGCCTTGTCCACCTGCTTCTTCTTCATACCCTGGTACTGCTCGACCAGCAATCTCTTCTTCTGCTCCGACCTCTTCAGATAGAACGGCTTCTTGCCCTTCTTGATCAGCTCCTTTTCCCTCTTCTTGTGCTCCGCCAGGATCTCCCTCTCCTTATCCTTCCTCTCCTGCGCCTTCTTCTTGCTCTCCATCGACATGAGCGCGCGCTGGAGCTTTTCTTTCGCTGCCGCATCCTTGGTCTTGGCGATGGCCTCGCGGAGCTGCTGCATCTCGGATTCGCGGTACTCGTCGAGGAATGCGTACCGCTTGCGGGCCTTGATTTCTTCGATGGTGGGGTTGCCCGAGCCGCGCGTGCCGGGTATTGGGAGGAACCGTGGGTCGCGAGGTTTGGGCTTCTTGAGTTCGGCGGTGACGGTGAGGAAGTCGCGCTTGCGGGAGACGGGCTTTTTGGCGCTCATCTCGACGGGCGCGTGCTTGTTGGAGCGTTTGGGGATTTTCTGGTCGGACTTTTTGTCCTTGCCGTCCTTCTTTTTGCGGCCGTCGTCGGAATCAGACTCGGAGGAGGAATCACCCGAGTCTTCCGTCTGCTTGCTCAGCGCTTCTTGGGCTTTGGCGAGGGCGCCGAAGGTAAACCGAGAGATGTCCAACTTGGAAGCCTCGTCCTCACTCTTGCTGGCTTCGCTGTCTGAGCTATCATCTGAGCCCTGCCGAGTTGTTAGCGTAATGCTCTTGAACAGATGGACTTAGAGACATACCTCATCCTCACTCCCGCTCATCTCACTCTCTTCGCTTTCCGACCCAGAGTCAGACTCTGACCCGGACTCATCTGAGCGCACGCCTTCTTCGCTGGGCGCCTCACTGCTGCTGTCATCATACTCCTGGAGATCGTCGGAATCTGGCTCTGGTTCGTAGCGCGGTCTCACACGCCGTTCCAGCAGGCTGGCCGGGATTTTCCTCTTGACTGCTGACATTTTTATCGGGATATTGTTTTGATTGAATCCGGCAATCAGATTTTGTTTGTTATGTCAATCAATTGAGGGCATCAAGAAAGGGGGCGCCAATCCTCTTTGGACATTGCGCTGATGAGATGTTGATAAAACTTGAGATTGAGGCTCAAGTGAAAGCAAAAAACATGAAAATCCTGAAGTTACGGCACTGTCCACTTGCCAAGAAGTAGCGTCTTAACAGCTTCCCCACAGTGATTTGCAGGGATATTGTTAGAAAGTACAATAGACCCACTTTTCTAGATCCCCTTGGCAACATGGCTCAAAACGCAATGATTGTTGACATTGACCTGGACATTCAGGAAACGCTCTCTTGCTCACGAACCTTAGCGAAAAGCATAGCTATCAAACGCTATATGAAAGCACATCAACCAACACGTAGCAGACAAGTCCGTACGTACGTACGCGTGCTCCCTAACGCCTCGTAATCCAGAACCGTCGCATCGAACACCTCTTTTTTGCCCCTGTACTTCATACCACACCCGTCCCAAACGTCGCTGTCAGATGTTTTCTAGCGTCATGCTTGCCACCAGATCCGTCGATTCGACCATGCGGCAGAACTCCTCGAAGCTGATCTTGCCGTCGCCATCCTGATCCGCCTCCATGATGGTCTTGTCGACGATCTGCTGGAGCTGCTGATCCTTAAGGTTGTTGCCCACCATCATCTTTAGCACGATGAACAGCTCGCCGTTGGAGATGTAACCATCACGGTCAACTGGAGGGGGGGTTGGTCAGCTCGGTCTATCCCAACGGCTGGGTATGTGAGAGGACGTACTGTCGTAGACCTTGAAGGCGAAGCGCAGCTTCTGTTCCTTGTTCCCCTTGCTGGAGAAGGCACTCAGACCGGAGACGAACTCTTGGAAGTCTACATCACCGCCGCCGTCCTCGTCGAAGATTGCAATCATTCTGGAATGGGGTGTTAGTCTGGTCGAGCCGGGGTTCTCCTGAATCTCTTTCCGGCTAGTGATGGGTGGTGAATATGGAATGTCGCTCGAGCATACCTTGTTGCACTGAAAAATGGGTTAGCTACCAATTCTTTGAAATTAGTATCATCCACGGGGGAACTTACAGAGGGTTAGAGCTGATCTGAGGCAAGCTAAGGAACTCCTCCCGGTCGATAGTGCCCGAGCTGTCCTGATGTAGCCCGTCAGCATGCTGGACGTGCCTCTTCTAATGCTTCCCATCCCCCACGGATACCAACATACCTTGTCCAACTTCATAAACCTCTTGCGCAGACGGTCGACCTCCTCCCGATCAACTACACCGCCGCAACAAAGCCCCGGTCAGCATTTCCCCCCTTCAACTTCCCACGGGCTCTCAAAAAATATAGGACCGTACAGTTCGACCCCTGGACAATGTTGTCCAGCACCTGACTGGTTGTGTTGCCCATGATGTCGGCTTTTGATGTGGTTTCAAGATGGGGCTTGCTTGGATCCGCCTTCTTGTCGGTCAATATACCGTAGGCTATCGGCTTTCTTTCAGGTCGATATCGACGTCTCGTGCGAGGCTCGTTCGCTCGTTCCGTTGAGGTCGAGCTCGGATGTCCGGTGAAAGCCTGGTTGTCTCGAGTTCAGGAATTGCAGGCTAGATCACGGATGGGTAGGTAGCGATCAAGAAGTTTGGGAAGCGGCTGGGGTAATATCAGATCAGAGGCGAAACCCCAGCGACTGATTGCGCACTCGTTCAGTTATGCTATCGCAGAGAGTGTTCGCTCGCAGGTAGGACACGTGCCGTCGCAGGAAAAAGGCAAAAGAGAACTAAACTTCGGCAGTTCGGTCGCAGATGTCGGGCGTCGCAAAAAGGGAACGTTAAGTTCGACAGGGAAATGGGAGGGAATAGTATTATTCCCACCGCAAGGCTAAAGCAGAAGGCTAAGGCAGATGGGTAGGCGGGAAATCGGTATTGGTTGTATGAAGCACGTTGAGTACGGGACGGTTTACGGAGGTAGGAGGTTCCAGTTAGTGGAAGGCTTGCCCAATGCTTCCCCAATGTTCCTAGCAAGCAGCAACCGCCGCATGAACCGCAGCGTCTACCAACCCGCTAGTCTTAAGAAAGCGGGGTGCTTGGGTGGCAGCTGGCCAGCTGGCGGGGAAGAGCCAAGCAATCAGTAGTCCGCAACTGCTGGAGGCCTAGCGGGCGGGCGAGTGGTGGAACGTGGGCGCCGGCTGCCCGACCTGCCCGACAACGACCTAAGTGCTGCGGTCCTGACCGCGTACCTAAACATGGGTCTTGGCGGCTTCTCTGGAAGGATAGCGCCACAAATTGCACCAGCCACATCATCTCCCGGTCTGCCAACCAGCGGCAGCGGGAGGAGCGTGCCATTTCAACAAAAGCGGGAGACCGTGTCACAAGGGACAGGAAGGGCACAGGCCACATGCGGTCAGTTAGCAGCGCCAAAACAGTGCGCTCGATAAAAGTATAAGTGAATTGCATGGATATAAATTTTCTTGATTTAATTGTGGTCTGTTCGTATGGAAAGATGACCTGCGAATGACAAACAGAAGTAGTGTTGCCTCAGGTGCTGGGCAGAGTTGTGTTGTGGAGGAAGGGAGGAGAGGAACTACCAGGCATGCGCCTGCTGCGCCTCTTGGGGGGGGGGGGGGGAATTTGATGGGCGGGCGCTGGGCACTGTTATCATGCCAAGGCGAAGTGTGGGGTTGCCCCCTTTCAGGACCAATCGCCAGGACGAGAGTCGTGGAACACGCCGCGAAAACAGCAAACTTTGCGCCAGCACCTCAACGACACTCCATCGCGAGGCCAAACTTTGGCCATCAAAATATCAGCACCAACCGCAGTTTTCCATCAAAAAAATCAACAAGCCGCTTTTGCATGGCGTCCTGAATGACCTATAAATTTTTTTCGAGGGGTTTCCCCAGGCTTTTTGCCCCACTTACCGCGTCCAAGAGCCATGTCGACCAGGAAAGTTCGGTACAAGAAACTGAGCGTCAAAACGACGCTAGCGGTGCTCAGAGAGCATCAGATCGACCCTTCAGAGTATGAACAACTCAGCACTGAAGCTCAGATCGCGACCGGTGTCGAGCAGGCAGAAGAAAATGTGAGTCGAAATCTCCCGCAGTTCGGATCGGTCGGTCACGTGGTGGGTCACGTGATTACGTCATCTTGGGCGGTGCCCATCACCACCCGTCGACGTGCACTCACCTTTGGAGGAGAGAAGGGAGCCAGTACTGACCTCCATGCCCACAGGAATACCATCTTCAGACAGTCCTGAAGACTACGGGGTTGGCCGCGGACAAAGAGATCCCCGTGCCACCCCCTCAAAAGAGCGAGCTCAATTATGACGAGCTCTACTTCCGGACATACAGCAAGCCAGCGTCGTATATACGCTTTTCTCAAACAGTAGAAGAGAGCGTTGGGTGTATGTATGACATGAACGAGGATGATGAAGCCTTTCTCAAGGAGTACAACAAGAAGCGGCCGCCCTCGGCCCAGCTCTCGGAGGATGACTTCGAGAGGATCATGGAGGTCTACGAGGAGACCGCCCAGATCAAAACTCCCTTTGCCGCCATAGATCAGACCATAGTCCCTTACGACGACATGCTTCAGGGCTTGCAAGAAATTGAAAACTGCAAGACCAAGATCATGCCGCACGCTAAGGAGGTCTATGAATACTGGAAGAGCCGCCGGCAAGCCAGCGGCAACAAACCGCTGCAACCCACCATCAAGTTCGAGACGCATCAAGAAACCGATGACATGGATCCGTACGTCTGCTTCCGGCGTCGCGAAGTCCGCCAAACACGGAAGACGCGCGCTCGGGATGTCCAGAGTGCCGACAAGCTCAAGCGGTTGCGCAAAGAACTTGAGGAGGGTCGTCAGCTGGTCCTTGCGTCTCATCAACGCGAGCTGCTTAAGTATGAGCTGCTCAAGGCAGATCGCGACATATATGAGACTAGGTTGCAGCTCAAGCAGCAAAAGATCAGGCTCGGGATCAAGACAGACGACGAGGACCTTGTCAACCAAAAGGAGAGAGTGAGTTCCCCCATGTTGAGAATCATTGACCGTCGCACGATGCTGATGCTGGTTCCAGCCTGCACCTCCGAAAAGGAAGGCCTCAGAGGTCCCTGCCGTGCAGCGGCCACCGCCGCCGACGCAGCTTCGTATTACCGTCCGGTCGTCAGACGGCCGCCCTCCTGAGCAAGATCTTGCTCTGTTGTCTGATCGGTTGGCCGAGAAGGAGAACGAACTCCGCGCCGACATCGAGAAGAAGGTGCAGAGCCATAGTGAATGGAACCGTCACCATGTTGACCTCACACGCGGGCCGTTATCACCCGTGCGTGGTCCTCAGCCTGAAGTCAGCTTCAGGCCAGCTAAGACCCAGTACCTCATGACACCTCCGGCCTCAACCTCATCCGAGGAGGAGCCGATGAAGATGGATCTAGACAAGCCGGAGTTCCCGCCACATGTCTTCCAGTTCAGGGGCGTCAGCCAGCCTGAACAGATGGCAGAACACCGGCCAGCATACCCGGCATATCGCCGTCGCATTGGTCGGCTCAACCGGTTATGGATTGACCGTCGTGGACTCGCTAGTCCCCCTCACGACATCAACCCCGAGGTGGCCGATCGGTGGAAGTATGATCAGTCGTCTGATGACGAAGATGAGCCGCCTCAGTATGAGGTAGACCCCTTCGACACACGCGCATTGAAGTTCCGCGCGTCTATCCCGCTCCCGTCGTGGTTAACGGCCCGCGTAGCGCTGGGCCCACGCCCGTCGCTGCTCCCTCCCGGACACCCTCAACATCAACAATTAGCGCAAGCACAAGCACAAGCCCAGCACCATGGGCAACACGGGCAGCAGCCGCACCCACAGCAACAACAACAACAGCAACAGCAGCAGAAACAGCCGCCGCACCCGCAACAACCACCAGCACCGATGCAATCACCACAACCACCCCAGCAGCAGCGACCCCAGCCAACTGCCGCAGCAGCTTAATTGTTTGCTGGTTATGCTTTTGACTTTGGTGTTTGTGTTCTCCCTTCTTGATTTTCGTGCGTCTGGCGGTGGCCGGTCTCGCGTAGTCAAGGAAGATCTTCCAGCAGGCGTCTTGCAAACAAGGGCGATTGCTTTTTTTTTCGTGATACGCTCATCTCCTCTTTTTCCTCTATTAAGACCTTCGGATGACTTTGCATTTTAAAGTAGCGATTGGGCCCTTGGTAAAAAAAAAAAGAGGGAAATATTGATTGCTGGCCTGGCGAGGCGTTTGGGCGTAGAAATAAGTTGGCTGGGATATATTTTTGCTGCGTTGGTTTGTTGCTTTTTTTGAAGTTGTTGGCGATGTCAAGCTGTGTAGATGATAATGCTTGTCCTTTTGTTCGGTCGGGTGGTCGGTCGGGCCAAAGTGGATGTATATATGAAATAACTCCAAACCAAATATCTTTATCTCCTCCACCGCTATCGCGGGGTTGGTTAGCTTAAAAGGAAGGCTTGCGGCTCTCGCGGCGGTGGTGTAAATAAAAAAACAAAATACCGAAATTTGATGTGCTGGTAGTGACCCAAGTGTTCTTTGTGCTGCCTCGAGTATTGGGATGGGAGCGTCCGTAGCGTTCATTGGCGTCGACGGTTTCGCTTTGTTGACATTGCTTGGAAGCTCCCTCGATGTGCCCCTGAAACGGAGAGGACCATGTCGAGAAGGAGAGAATCTCGAAACAGAACAGGTTCAAGGTTTGCACCAAGCGGTTGTGACGTAAGGAAGTCAGCGACCCTTCTGGTATGGTGACGGTTGAAAAGATAGAGTGCCGACGACAAGAAAATGTCGATCGCAACCTTGATGGAGTCCAAGGAGACGACGCTAGTGCGTTCCCGTTATCAGGAACGGGGTCAGACAACGGCGTGACCTCGCCGGGGCTAGGAAGATCAGGTGTGGGGCTCCCCTTGGAGCTGCCGTCGCGCGCCGGGTCTCGGTCTGCGAAGATGGCAGGCGGAGAGGCCGCGAAAGATGATAGGAAGGGAAGTGCGGGAGTATGCCATTGAAGGTGTGACCATGACATTCCGAGAAGTTGAAGGTGTTTGGAGGAGCGGCGGTGGTCGAATGCCAGCAGATGGTAGGTTGTGTGCAGACAAGAGAGAAATTTCCGTTTTCCTGCGACCAGGAAATTGAGAAGCCCTCTTCAAGGAGATATGACCGAAAAACGGAAGTGTTTGTGGAAGTAGCCCTTGATATAGATCTCCACGAGGCTTTTTGATTGTCCTAACCCGATCAATTTCTCGCGGGCTCTGGAGTTGTTTCGTTGTAGTAGTGGGAGGAGTGAGGCTGCACAGCCAGGTTAGTGACTGGGGCGGGCTGTAGCTGCGCCTGCGACAACGCTGCTCCCAGGAAGAGGAGCGGGCATGGTGCAAGGACTGAGGAACGGTAGTCGTGGTGACGAAGGTGTTCCGACTCTGCTGGAGAGGGGGAAAAAACCAGTGCTGCTGAGGTCAGCCTTGTTGTCCGGATGATATAAGCGCCGGAACGAAACCTTCCGGCTATAGCGATGAGGACAGCAAAAAAAAAAAAAAAGGTTTTCAGGGGAAGAGAAGACAATGCTCGGAATACTCACCTTATGGCTTAGGATAATGCTTCTATCATTTAGCCTTTTCCAGGTGTCCGAAGGGAAAGGGGGCAGGTGAGGAGAAGACTTCGGTGTGCGACAATGTCGTGTGTGTGTGTGTGTGTGCGTCCATATGCCGTCGGCCGCCAGGTGCTGGGGCGAGGGATTGAATCAGGAGGGATAACGGAGAGGGGATATCACATCCTGAAGAGCGCCTTCGAGAAGATCATATCCCCAGCCGTCGGGTTTCAGTACAGGAAAAATCAAGTTTGTGGCCGACATGGGTAAACAGCAGGTCTAGAGGAGACGAAGGAGAGAAAGTTGATATGGACAAGGGGGCACGTAGATACAATTCTCGCTCTGCAGCGTGGGTGCAATGCAGTGGGGAGTCCAGGTCTTCTCTGCTCACTAGCCTCACCCTCCTACCACCTCGCTCCACAGCAAGCAGGCCTTCGCTCTCTTCTCGCTTTTGGGCTGGCTGCGATCTCTTCGGTGAGGAGTGGGAAGAAAGCGACCCCGTCGGCGGCCGGTGCCCCATCTGTTCGAAGAAGCTGTGGAGACAAGCAACTAGCATCAGGTGCGGTGTTCAGAGTTGGGGCCAAGAAGGCCAATGCTACACAGAAGGGGCCAAGCCATACCCGCCCGTTGTGTGCGTGGAAGCGCACGAGCCATATCGTTCGGGGGCGTGTGACGGAGACATCCGCGTGGGTGGATCAAACACTTATCGATAATGATGTTTTATCGGCTGATAAGAGATGGGTGGGCTTGGCTGGAGAGCTGAAAGCGAGCCCCATGCTGATGCTGATGCCCCGCCGAGAGCTTTGCTAGGAGCCCCTCATCGTCAACGATAGACTACAACATTAACTTCTGATGGAGAAGTCCTAAAGAGACCATTACTGACCCTCAACGACTGTCGCATACCTATATATAATCTATTGTCCGCCGATCCCAGAACAACCTCCCCTCCCATCTCTAAAGGGAAAGGACCTCCAAATCGGCCACCATGACCGTCGACATCACCTCCAAACCCCGCCGCATAGCCCTCGGCTGCGAAGGCTCAGCCAACAAGCTCGGCATTGGCGTGATCCTGCACGAAGGCACACCCGGCACGCCCTCCGAGCGCATCACAGTCCTCTCCAACATCCGCCACACCTTCGTCTCCCCTCCAGGCACCGGCTTCCTCCCCAAAGACACAGCGCGCCACCACCGTTCTTACTTCGTGCGCCTGGCCAAGCAAGCCCTCGCCGCCGCGAACGTCACCATCGACGAAATCGACTGCATATGTTATACGAAGGGGCCAGGCATGGGCGCCCCCCTAACAAGCGTCGCCATCGCCGCTCGTACTCTCGCCCTCCTCTGGGGGAAGGATCTCGTCGGGGTGAACCACTGCGTAGGACACATCGAGATGGGCCGCGCGATCACGGGCGCCGCACACCCCGTGGTACTGTACGTCTCCGGCGGCAACACACAAGTCATTGCCTACGCGGAACAGCGCTACCGCATCTTCGGCGAGACGCTGGATATAGCGGTGGGGAACTGTTTGGACCGGTTTGCGCGGGCGCTGGCGATCAGTAATGACCCTGCGCCGGGGTACAATATTGAGCAGATGGCGAAGAAGGGGAAGGTGTTGTTGGATCTACCGTATGCGGTAAAGGGGATGGATTGCTCGTTTAGTGGGATTTTGACGAGGGTGGAGGAGATGGCTGCGCTGTTGAAGAAGGGGGAGTTGAAGGGGCCTGAGGGGGAGGAGGTGACGGCGGAAGATTTGTGCTTTACGCTGCAGGAGACTGTGTTTGCTATGTTGGTGGAGATCACAGAGAGGGCGATGGCCCATGTGGGCAGTAATCAAGTGTTGATTGTTGGTGGTGTGGGATGCAATGAGAGGTTGCAGGAGATGATGGGTGCTATGGCAAGGGATCGTGGTGGCAGTGTGTATGCCACAGACGAGCGGTTTTGCATCGACAACGGCATTATGATTGCGCATGCCGGGCTGCTGGCCTACGAGACGGGGTTCAAGACTCCTATTGAGGAGAGTACATGTACACAGAGGTTCAGGACAGACGAGGTGTTGGTCAAATGGAGAAAGTAAAATGCTTGATTTCCCATCTTGAACACATATCTATCGTGCTTCATTGTGTTTCGAAAAAAAAAAAAAAGTAAACCCCCTCCTGCCCCCTTACCGCCTACCAGCCAACCAGCCGACATAGTATGATGCTCCAGGTCAACTCCAGTAGAAGAAAGCAAATATCACCTAACAAAATTCTTCAGTGGGTTGCCCCGCTAACCGAAACACATAAACAAACGTAGACCGAACATTAGGTACCTCTAGCAAGGCACATGCATTTGAAAAAGGGGGGGGGGAGGGGGGGAAAGGGAGGGTGGGTGGGGGTTGGTTGGGAAGATGGCGGGTAACTCATGTCGAAACCCTTCGCGATCTGAGAAAGATGACGCCCACAGAGGTATTTACCTAAATACCCTCAGAAGTTGTGGGCTTGTACATGATGGTGGTCACATACTGGGGATATGTCAGCGAGGTCACACAGGAGACAAGAGTGAATATACTCACCTTGCTCTTATACCTCGTCGTCGCAGACACAGCAAGGACATTATTCTTAATGCTGCTGGTCGCGAGATGGTTGAGCACAGTATGATTCGGCGGCATAATAAGCACGCTGTTATCATCTTTGAGAATCGACGAGGCATTCAGAATAGGCTTGTTTAAGAAGCTGGGCAGCGCGGGAGGCTGGGGCAGCTTCTCGGTAGCCATGACTGCATGCTGATAGAGCGGCGAGTCCTCAGGTTGATCCAAATCAAGAAGATACCTGGGAATCTTGCGCGCGAACTTCTCAGGAGGGGGAACTTCCCTCTCCTTGACCACCTTGGCCTTCTTCTCCTCAGCCGCCGGAGCGGGAAGGAGAACCTGCGCCGGCGCCTGCTTGGAAGACGCGTCTTGGTTGGAAGCAGCACCTTGCTGCTCAGAGGTTTGAGCAGCAGGCACATCGTCGGGATTGACCTCGATATAGTTAACGAGGTTGTTCGCAAAGTCTACGGTAGTAGGCAGATCAGGGGACGTGCACATCTGCCCATCCACCAAGAACCTAATGTGATGGGTGCCTGGAATGACATTGATGGTGGTTGCAAAGACGCCCGGGCGACCCTCGCTGGGGATTTGCTGGCAGTTAGGGACATGCAAAAATCAAACAAAGGGAAAAAAAAAAAAAAAAGGACACACACACGCGACAGGACTTACACAGGGTGCAGGCGTGACTTGCGATTCCACTGGAAGATGGTACCCGTCACGTAGACCTTGTCGCCGCCATGGCGCCATTCGAGTCTCGTCGGCACAGTAGGCCGGGTCTTATCGACCATGAGCTCTTCATTGTCGTCCTCGAGCACAGAGGTATCGCTGAGGGTAGAGGTGGGACGCTCAAGTTCAGCGGTGCTCTCAAGGGCCTCAACCTCGAGCGAGGCGCCGGGACGGGAGTCGGACGGGGCAATGATGGGCGACCCGGGAGTATGGACCTCCTCCTCGATGGGGAGAGGCAGGCGTGGGGGCCGGGTCAGGTAGGAGACGTCCTGTAAACTGCTGTGCGGCATGACGACGGACGAGGCTTCGTAGGGATCTTCGGAGCGGGGCACTCTCGGCGACGAGGGGGAGATGTGAGAATTCGGCACGGCTACGAGCTTGGCGGGCTCATGAAACGGGCCGGGGCCTGCACCGTGCTCGGCTTGCTGCTGATGCGAATGCGAATGCTGCGAATGCACCTCGATGGGCCTCGCGGAGCTCGACGAACTTGTGGAAGCGGTCGGAACGGGCGACGGAGTCGAGCCACCCGACGAAAGGCTCGGAAGATGGTGGTGGAGTGGATTGGCCCAAGAGGCGGGCGGTTGGCCAGCGGCTGACGAAGAGGTGGTAGTGCCCTGCGCCTGCGTGAGCGAGGGTTCAGGAGGGGCAGCAACCCGATGAGTTTGCACCGGGAAGGGGTTTTTGTCGTCGCGCCTCACCGGCCGATCATGCTGAGGCTGCTGAGCCTGTTGGGCCTCCTGCGACGGCTGCGATGCAGCGTCTTGGTTCTTATCGGCGGACTGGGTGTTGCCCATTGCTGCTTTTATTTATATACCACGGGACAGCGGTATATATCAGGGCCAGTCTAGGTCAGTGGGATGCCAGTGCGAATGCCGCTCGGCTCACAGCACGCCACGGTACAGTGCCAGTCAGTCCGGGGCTCGGGGGGTTGATTTTGGCAAGCGATGTCCCGTCCACCAGCGATGCTCATGCACTAGCGGGCAGTGGAGAAGAGAACCTGAGTCTGGAAGGTGTAGAACTGGAACCTGCACGAGGCTGGGACTGGGACGTCCAGCCGCTGGCAGCAATCGATAGTGCAGATGACAGATCCAGACAATTTGACAATTGCTGTGCTAGCGCTGGAAGTCTTTAGGCCTCCTGGGCACCGTGGGCTTGTGGAGAGGTGGGACGCCGCGAGAGCAGCAGTGTGGCAGCAGAGCCCGACGAGGCCCTCTATCAGCGATGACAATGGATAAGATAGAATCCTCAGGTGCCCCAAGCAAGTGATTGAATGGATCTGATCAATAAAATCAATGCTGTTGTCCGTATCCGACTCGATGGAGAGTTGCAAGTTTGGTACGGGATCGGCCAAAATGGGGAATGGAGGGGCTGCTTGCAGAGATGGAATTGGGGGGGGGGGGGAAGGGAAATGCAATGGGATGGAGGGGTAATGGAAATTTGGAGGATGGAAAGTTTAGAAATGGACCAGTCGATTGTGAGGAAGTATCTGTTAATTTCGACCCGATAAATTGGGTTCCTTGGGCAACAAACTCAATTCAAGTGCAAAGAACTCCCTGAGCAGGTAAGTCCCTTCCTGCTTCGCGCCTTCCCAGCACAAGCTGGAGATTTGCCTGTCGCAGGTCTGCTTGCAGGCCGCAGCCGTAGCAAATCGCAGTGCTCTCCTTGCAGCGCTGCAGTGAGAGACAGTCCACCGATAAAGGAACGCACCCAAGTTGTGCCCCACTCTGCGTTGCACCGTGCCACCTCTGCCGATAAGATAGCAGCCACCGGCAGCACGCTTCCGGTCTTGGCGCTTGGCGTCTCAGCCTGGCAGCCCGGCCAGGACCCTGCACGACGACGCCACGCTGCCACTGAATGAACGCCTCACGCGGCAGGTTGCGGAGCGGCCAGCGCAGGGGTAAGTCTTTGTGAGCTCCTCATCTCAGCATTGCATCTCAGCCGCTACGTGTTGCTATTGTCTTTATCCATCTACAACCCATCTCCATCCTGTCCCTTCAAGGGCAAGTTAAGACCGGGACGGACCTGCATCGCGTACATCACGTCTTTTTGTTTTGTTTTTTTTAAAAAAAAGATAAACCAAGTTACGTAACTTGCATCTAACACGTGCTTGTCAAAGTGCGAAGCGTCTTTCAGGTCATCGATTTCGCTTCTCACTCTTTCTGTTTCACTCTTCATCAACCAACATACTCCAACTCTCCTTCAATATGTCAGAAAATTACGTCGCCCCTGGCCAGCAGCGCTACCTCCGCGCCTGCATGGTCTGCTCCATCGTCATGACTTATGCGGTATGCTGCTGTTTCCTTTCTCTCTCTCTCTCTCTCCCCCCCCCCCAAAACACCAACAAACACCCTTTCTCTGTCACAACCATCACTAACTCACTCGTCTAGCGCTTCCGCGACGAGGGCTGCCCCAACTGCGAGGAGTTCCTGCACCTGCAGGGCTCGCCCGACCAGATCGACAGCTGCACATCGCAGGTGTTTGAGGGCCTGATCGCGCTATCGGATCCCAAGAAGTCGTGGGTGGCCAAGTGGCAGCGGCTGGACGGCTACGTGCGCGGCGTCTACGCGACCAAGGTCTCGGGCCAGCTGCCGGACGACGTGCGCGCCCAGCTGGAGGACGAGTATCGCATTACTTATATTCCGTACGTCCCCTTCTTACTGTGTATTTGATGAATCTTGAGACTGACTCGATACAGGCGCGACGGTAGCGCGACGGAGGCGGATTAAGTCCGTCACCATGGGGCATGGTCTGGAAAGTCAAATCACTTCTGGCATTGGGCGATGGAGTTTGCGGCGTTGGTCATCATCATCGAGAGCACTGAAATCATCATAGAGTACATGAAAACATCTAGAGATATGCTTATTGGTCTGATTAAATAAAACCGTTCGATAACTGGTATCATCTTAAATCAAGTTCCAAGTAACAACCGACCTAAAACGCCTTGAATGCATCAATAACAATTAATAAAACAACAGAACCCTTACCAGTGTAATAATGTATATATGTATATATATATATATATACCTACTCTTGCTGGCAATTTAAAACCGAGGCTTCTTGCTCGGCGGTCCACGTCCCTCCTCGCGTGCCCTCTTGCGCTCAAGCTCCTCCTTCATGATGCGCTCTGCCTCGCTCATCTTGGGCGGAGGCGCGGTAATCACCTTCTTGGGGGCGCCGGCGAGGGCGTTCTTGAAGACATTCTTTGGCGCTGGCTTGGCCGCGATCTTGAGGGATACCGGCTTGGCTGCTGCGGAAGCGGCCGGAGCAGGTTGCTCAGCAGGTTTGGCTTCGCCCTCCTTCGGTGTCTCGCCATTGGCTTTAGCATCAGCAGCAGCAGCTTCACCCTCCTCCCGCACCTCCGGCGCCGGGGTAGCACCCGAACAAGCCGCTGCGCTTGACCCCTCCGACGACGAACCCGTTCCCTTCCCCAACGGCTTCAACGACAACTTAATCTTCTCCCCCTCCTGCCTCTTGAGCTCCATCTTCGCCTCATCCTCCGTCAGTTTCACCCCCCTAGCCTCGGCATCCTTCTGCGCTCTCTCAATTTGCTGCCTCAAGATCATCTGCTCCCTCTCCTCATCCCCCTTATCCTGCAACTCCTTCTTCCTGACCGCCTCCCTCCGCTTCATCGCCTCCGGCGAGTCATCAATCCACGCAATAAATAACCCATCTTCCTTCTCCTCGGCCCGCACAATCCCCTCTCGCGCAATATACTTCACAAAATCCGTCAGCGAGTGCCACCTCGTCGCATTCAAATGTATATGATCCCTATTGGCGATAACCTCCTGATAGAACTTATTCGCATGTATCTGCTTCTCGCCGTGCGCCGTTTTCAGCTGACTGATAAACTGCTGCAGAAACAGCCGGCTGTATTCGTCCTGCACGCTCTTAAAGTTCTCTCCAGCCTCGAGGGCGCGGCGTAAGTGGCCCTCCGACTGGCAGTGCATCTTGAAGGCGTTTTCGTCGCGGTTGGCTTTCTGGCAGATCTGGCAGTACCAGCGCAGGCGCGTCAGGCCCTTTTGCTTCATCTTTTTGGCGATGTATTTGCTGGTGCCGACTTCTGCTTTGCCCATGGCTGTTTGGGGGGGGTGACTCGCTGCGCGGAGTCAGGCGGTAGATTAAGAGGCTTGGTTTTGTTGGTTTGGATGGCTTCGGTAAATGGAGAGATGAGCGATCGGGGAGCGGATGTTTTGGATCTTAAGAAGGGCGAAGTTTCGTTATGAGGACGAATGATAACTCGAGTCGCGGGATGCAGCGCGAAGATGGCGCAAGGCGTTTTGAACGTCGCCACATGGGGGAAAGATAGCCTTACATATCCCTAACCCTGAAAACAACCTCGTCAAAAGCACCTGTCTTCTTCAGCCGCACAACCCCCGAACAATAGCCATCACCACGGCATTTGATTAAGTGCTTTGCCTATCGAGATGATCAATTCCTCTATATACTTCCCGGCTAACCAATAAATGCAATTAAGCATCTCTCTAAATGTGTCATATGAGCCAAAAAAAAAAAAAACAAGAACCATCACACCGATTCCCAAGCCTGCTTTCATCGCCCACCAACATGTGTATGCCTCTGTGTATGAAGCACGCGGATGCTCAATCCCAGATCTATGCATACTCTGAACTCTGAACAAGAGCAACACAAGAGTTTTTCTAAAGAAAAAAAAGGGGGGATATCAAGTAAAGCCGACAAAATAGGTTACCACTTTTTTTAAAAAAAATGTAGTGGGAGCCGACCAGACGGACAAGCGACAGAAAAGCCGTTCGCCACCATTACCATCTTCGCCATCACCAGCGGTAGCTACAATACGAACATGACTCCTCTCCTAGTCAAGGAAGGTGAAGAGGCTGGTATGCAAGATGTTCATGGCGCGCTCAGCATGCTTCGCGTCGATGACGCACGAGATGTTGATCTCGCTCGCACCTATTGACTCTAGTCAGCACCCATCCTTCTTTTCTGTTCCATCTCCAGAAGAGTTAAAAAAAAAAAGTACTCACCCTGCGAGATCATCTCAATATTAATCTCATGCTCACCGAGCGTGGAAAACATCTTCCCCGCAATACCCGTCATATTCTTCATCTCCGCCCCGACCAGGCTAACAATAGTCATGTCGTGCAACACACTAACCTCACCGCACTCCTCCCTAAGCTGCTGCACGGCGCGATCAAAATTGCCCAGCTCCGAGTTGGCCGTGTGCACGGCGATGGAGACATGCACCTCACTCGTCGAGATGAGATCGACCGAAATCCGCTGCTGCGACAGGATCGAGAACACCCTTGCCAAGAACATGTGTGCAATCGCGCGCTTGTTGCTGTGGATGTTGATGATGGAGATCTTGTCCTTGCACGTCACGGCCGTAGGCCTCTTCGGCTTCTTCCGGACGTTAGGATCAGAATTACCTCGCGACCGCTGGATCTGCTGGTCCGCAGCCAGCAGCGGGTCCGGCTTGACGATGGTACCGTCGCCGCGCGGGTTCTTGACGTTCTTGATGCGGATGGGGATGGGCGGGATAGCCTTGATGACCTGGTCCATGGTGAGGTGGTGGATGACCTCGGAGCCGTAGAAGGTCAACTCGGCGGCCTCGGCGGGCGTGATGGAGGGGATGAGGCGCGCCGTGTGCACCTTGGTCGGATCCGCCGTGAATATGCCGTCCACTTCCTTCCAGATCTGCAGCTCCTCAGCCTTGAGGCCAACGGCGGCTAGCGACGCGCACAGGTCGGTGTAGCCCCGGCCAATGTCGCCGTCGAGCAGGCCGCCGGGAACATTGCCAAAGAAGCCAGTGACGACGGGCACGCGGTCCTCACAGGCCTCGATCTTCTTGCTGATGCCGTCGGCGGCACGGCGGTAGAAATGCTGGTCCAGACGGCAGGGGCTGTCCTGGTGCAGCAGGTCTGCCAGATCGACATACTCGGCATCGACGCCACGGTCCTTGAGCAGGGCAGTCATGAAGCGGCAGGAGAGCTTCTCGCCGAAGCTGACGACGCGGTCCTTGGCGCGCGAGTTGATCTCGAGGTTGAAGCGCTTAGCTGCACCCAGGTAGTCGATCAGCAGCTGACACTCGCGCTCGGTGTCGTCCTTGAGCGCAGCGCGCAGCTGGGCGTCGCGCACGAAGGTGTCCGCCGCTGACAGGTGATCGGAGAGGATCTCTTGCACGAGGTGCGTCGCATCGTTGAGCAGTTCCTCCTGCACCTCGTGGTCGCTTGCCGCCGCGCCGATGCCTTTCAGCTTCTTGTAGACCTCGAGTAGCCTGCAGTTTTAGGGTCACATTGTCAATAATCCGCGCAACTGGACTCAGAGATAACTTGGCAAATGAGAGAGGGGAAGGGGGGAAGGGTTCGCCGTGGCACGATCCGATGTCCCGAGAGCGTGGGGGAAAGCGGACGAGAGGAATAAGTATATATACATATATATATTATAAAAAAAAGGGGGGGAAAGGGGGGGGGGAGGAAATTTCGCATCCGGGTTGTATGTGCGTGTAAGACAGACAGGCCAGTTGCCCTCTGAGACGTTCGGATGCACACTGTAGCACAACACCTCCCACACACCCACTTCTTAGAATAAAACTCACCTGCTGGTGGTTCCTGTGGCCTTCTTGCCGGTGCTGCGCGCTGAGCAGACGACAACTATCCGATTGTTCTTGACCCATTCTCTGCGCGTGCAAACGTCAGCTGAAGACTGTCCCCAATGCGCTTGTCTTATTCCTCTGGCTGAGCGATATAGCCCAGCCAAGAAGAATTGGCCTGCTCCATACCTAACAATATCTTCTGCGATTTTATCCGGGAACTTGCCCACGCTTGTGCCACCAAACTTTTGCACAATCCAGCCATTGGTGTTGGCGTTCTTGAGTAGTGACCCTGCCATTGCTCTGAGACACTGAATCTGGGCTGCCGACAACGGCGGGCGCTGGGGTTGAATCAAGCGGTTGCGTTCAGAGTGGAGCGAGCGGCTCTGAAGTTTTCAGACTAGAGGGTAGTGATAATTGACAACTGTAGTCTTCCTGCAGGCTCGAAAATAGTGACGAGCGAAGGACGGCGAGGTCAATGAGCACTCTCAAAAAATTCAATGGCACAGCGAGGTAAGAATTGAGCCGGTAGGAGAGGACGTGGGTATAGGGGACGTATGTATGTCGGGACGCCGACGCCGGGGAGCCGTAGATTGGTAGGTTGTATAACGAGATGTGGGGGAGGGGCGGCTCCGGTTTTTATTTTTCCAAAGCTGGAGACAACGGGATCGTGGGTCGCAAAGTCTCCCCAGTCTCGTTTTATGCTCGATAGGACAGGAGTGTCGTTTCTTCGTTTGTTTAGTCACAAGGACAAATCACTCAGGGAAAAAAAAAAAAAAACAAACAAAAAAAAAAAAGAGGCAATCCGTGATCCGCAGACACGGGGTCAATAGCCAGCAACAGTTCAAAGATGGAATGTGTGACGTGTATGACCCTTTCGGGAAAAGAACCCGGGTACACAGAACGTTGTAAAACGGTTGAGCGGCAAGCGGGATGGCTGCTGAATGGGCTGTGATTTGGGTGACTGATTGAAAGAGAACGAAGCCGTGGTGGGTGTGTACAGTAAGTTGCCAACGAAGGGCTGCAGAGCGCAAGCCACCACCAAGGAAAGTAGATGGATGAGGTGAGAATGGACAGAAGATATCCGAGGATGAGGAATGGAGGAGAGGCGAAAGAATAAGAGGTAGAAAAAAAGAGTCCAGCCAGTCCAGGAACAGCACGGACAGGCCAAAGTCCACACCTCAACACATGGCAGCACATCCATCATCGCACCGACACACGATCCCTCTCCATTCATCCATTTCTCCCTCTCCCCCCACCTTCTCCCCCAATTTTGAATCTCTGCTTACTAGCCTAGCCGCTCCCCGGTGTACAGAGGCACCCCCGAAACATTTCAAGGCCCCCTACCCGAATCGGAGGATCAGGGAAGAGCGAGGCAATGGCAGCGCGGCAGTGATGCCAGCAATGAGTCGGCGTCGGCGACAAGATCCAACCAAAATTCAGATGGCATGCAAATCCACCTTCCAGGGCCACGCTCTCGCCGTGCTTGCTCCGAGCGTCCAATCCGATGCCGTTGATTCCAAGTCTTCTTTGCTCTCTCTGATGAAGTTCCATTGCATCTCTTACCGCCAATGTCAATCAATGCGGTTTGTCTTCCGTTTACTCCTAACTCGGAGGTAAAAGAGCTATTTTTTTTTCTTCCCTTCCCGTCGATCGATCGATCGATGGTCAAAAACTTTTTTTTTTCTCTCATTGTTCGACTCACATCACCGGCAACGCATCGAACTGAACCGAGACCCTGGTCCAGTTTGACCAGTGGGCCAGCCTGCCTGGGCCCCTGGTTTGCCTGTCCCGCTGTCGGGTCGAGAGGGTTGCATGCGAATTTCACCACACCAGAGGCAAGTGGGGCAATTGGGATGCCAAATCCAATGTGGGGCAAAGCTTTTCCGCTGCGCTGCAAGCCAGCAGCGTCATCGAAGCGTGGGGCCTTGACCTGTCCGCCACTGCTTCTTGTCGGTGGAGCATGTGAGAGAAAACTCTCCCCATTCTTGGCGAGATGTGAGTCAAAAAACGTGTTTCGTGGCTCGTGCACGCATGGCAGGGATCATGGATGGCATTTCCGAAAGAAACTCCACGGAACAAGAGACGGCGGCGATGGCGACGACTCTATTCACAGAATTTCAAACATGGTATCGAAACGGCAACAGGGGTAGGTGTGCTACGGATGACAATGGTTTTTAGCTTCGAGAACGTGGATTTGCTCGGAGTCGTGTTCGTGTTAGAGCAAACACGAATGCGAAGACGACGTCGGCGAGGTTGGTGATGGAAGATGGACGATACGCAGTGCCCACTTCTCTCCTGCCTTGACTGGGGTGTATGTGAACGTATTCGCAGAGTTTGATTATCCATTCCGACATGAAGATGAGCAAAGCGGGAGCTGAACACCGAGCGAGCTGTCACCAATTGATTTTCACGACTATATAGGTCCCTAAGTTTCATGTTGCTCACTGATCTAACCTCCATTAAAGGGTTGATTTTTTTTTTTTTACCCGTGTGCCGCACGTTCCAAGCTGAAGGAGCATGTGCAACGTAGGAAGGTGCCGAGCTATGAACTTCCTCAGCTCCTCTTCCGACTTCTTCCTACTAAACTCCTACCCTCCTACCACCTGCTGACAACCTTTAACCGAATTTCTCTAACAGACAGGACACCAATGCCTGAAATACCCGAGATGTGTTGTTGGAAGTCGCTGGTCTTGCCTGGGTTGAAACTATAGTGTTACCCGTTTGGTAGTTCTGCTTTCACAACATAGCCATGCTGGGCGCGGGTAGGTCTCCCGAAGCCGCGGCGCACGTGGGAAACCATCACCACATCGAAACGATTGACAGAGCCTCGTGTGAGCACCACTTTCACGGGGGGATTGGATGTCATATGACCTTCTAGATACGAGGTATTGGACGACAGAAACTGGGATTGGACTCAAGTCTCCAGAACATGTTCTAAACACGCACATCAAGGATACGGTTCTCAGATTTGTTTTTCTCTATACCCTCCCTATCTCAGCAAGTCCAGATCACGCAAAGGACATCTCACTATCAACCGAAGTTCAAAAGCAAACATTGGATCTATTCCTTACCGGAAGACAAGACGACTACCACCCACCGAAGACGCCCTCGCAATTGTTGCCCAGCCGTCTATTCATCCGCCCCTAGCTAGTGGTTTCCTTCTTTCTCCTTTCCTTTGTATATTCATATATCCCCTCAAATGTTCCAATCCTTGGTAAATACATGGTAGAAAGTTTAAAGGACTGTTCGAGCGGAGATATGTTTCCGAGTCTCGAAACAGACAGGAGAGAGGTAGGTAGGCAGAAGGAAGAAAGGAAATACACAAAGGGGGGAAAAAAAAAGAAAAAGAAAACAAAAAAGGAAGAAATCAGTTGATCAGGTTAATGTACAGAGGGGTCATACATTACATGTTTGACAGTTCATTCAAATATTCGACGTTAGTATTCGACGTTAGAGCTCTCCTGGACAGTCTCTCTGCCAGGAACTCGGAGAGTGTGCATATGTGGTTATATGTGCGTATGGATCTTGTATCTGTTGTCGGCTTGTTGCCGAGGGGAGATGAAGGGGAAGGGAGTCGGGTCTCCCTATTCCCATCGGTCCCATAATTTAATAATCAAGGCGAGAAAAGGGGAAAAGGGAAAAAAAGGGGAAGGGGAGGGTTTAGCGCCATCAGATGAAACGCTACAAGCTTGCAGTTCAAGCCCTCTCCCTCCTCCCCCCCTCTCCCTCCTCCTCTTCCTCCTCAACCAGTTCCTCCTCAATCTCCTCACTCTCCATAATCCTCGGTCCCGCCGACGGCGTCCTACACTCAGCCGGCACCTCTCCGCCACTCATCTGCCACTCCATCAACTTGCTAAACGCGCTCTCCTTATTCGCACTCAGCTCGGCATACGTGCCGACCTCCGCAACAGTTCCCTCGCTACTTAACACAATGATCCGATCACTCCTCTTAATCGTTGACAGCCGATGCGCAATCGAGATCGTGGTACTCCTCCCCTTAAACAGCTCTGCTAACGCGCTGTTGACCAGCGTCTCGCTCTCGGCGTCTAGTGCCGACGTCGCCTCGTCTAAGATCAGGATATCCGGGTCCTTGAGCAGCGCGCGGGCGATCGCGATCCGCTGCTTTTGACCACCAGACAACTGCGCGCCGCGCGCGCCAACTTGGGTTTCTAGGCCGTCGGGGAAGTCGCTGATAAACCCGCAATTTGCCTTCCTCGCCGCAGCGACGATCTCAGCCCTCGTGGCATCTGGCTTGCCGTAGGCAATGTTCTCTGCGATGGTGCCGGAGAAGAGGACGGGTTCCTGCGCGACGACGCCGATGCGTCGACGCAGAGACTTGACGTTCATGGTGGAGATGTCCACACCGTTGATGGTGATGCGGCCGGAAGTAGGGCTGTAGAAGCGGAGGAGGAGGGACGCAACGGTCGACTTGCCGCCGCCGGAGGGGCCGACGATGCAGACGTTGCTGCCGGAGGGAATTTCGAAGGTCAGGCCGTTGAAGATGGAGACCGCCGGGCGGGTCGGGTACGAGAAGTGGACGTTTTCAAAGCGGATGGGCCCTTGGGCGGAGGCGACCTTGATGCCGACGGTAGAGGGGATAATGGGCTTGCGGTCTTGGAGTTCGAAGAGCCGGCTGGCTGCGCCAACGCCCTTCATGAGCTCGGAGTAGAAGCCCGAGAGGCCGAAGAGAGAGGAGCCTGCGAAAGCGGTATACATCATGAAAGAGGTCAGGTCGCCGAGGGTCATGGTGCCGCTTCTAACGAGGTTGCCGCCGACGATGAGCATGGCCAGGATGGTCATGTTGCCTGCCCAGGAGGTAGACGCGAAGAAAGTGCCGGAGATGATGGCCTCGCGACGGCCGAGGGCGAAGATCTTGCGCACCTGGTTGCTGTACCGGCGCAGTTCCTGGATCTCGCCCGCGAAGGCTTGGCTGGTCTTGATGTTACCGAGTCTCTCCTCGCCGATCTTGGTCAGCGTGCCCACGTTCTTCTGCAGCTGCCGGCTGAGACTGCGCATGGCGCGCCCAAAGAAGAAGGCGCCTAGCGCGATGGGAGGAGCCATCACGAAGATGAGCGACGTCAGCTTGGGGCTGAGCCAGGCCATCATGACGAAGCCGGCTGCACCACTGACCAGCGCGCGGAGACCATCCGAAATGTTCTGCGTGACACTCTTTCCGACGATGATGGTGTCGGAACCAAGGCGCGAGATCAGGTCGCCCACGCGGTTGGCATCGAAGAACTCGGCGTCCTGGATATACGTCCTCCGGTACAATTGAGTCCTCAACCTAGCAACAACCCGCTCACCAACCATGCGCAGCAGGACAATCCGTCCAAAGTTAGCGCAGGCACCCAGCGTCAGGAGCATACCCAATCCGATGAAAAATTGGCGCATGGTCAGACCAAGCAGGCGCACCTCATCCATCTCGCCTTTGGTCGACAGATCCAGAATCCGGCCAACCGAGAAGGGGATCGACATAGTGACAGCCGATGAAATCAGCAGCAGGACGAACGCAGCAGACAACCACTTGAGCTCCGGGCGCGCAATCTTGAGCAGGCGCCAAATCTCGGCCATGCCGGGCTTGCCATCACGTCCTTGACCCTTTCCTTCCTTAGAGAGGCGCGCGCGCATGTTGACGTGCGCGGCTTTGGCGGCCTTTTCGCTGAGCTGGAACCCTTGCGTGTGGTTGTATGCCGGCGTCTGTGTCGTATTTGAGGGAGAGGTAGAGGTAACCGTCGTAGTGTCTTCTTCTGTCTTAGACTTGTTCTCTTGCAGCGTGGACCGCGAGGTCGACAGCTGTCGGAGAATGGTCATGGGGGATGTCCACCTCGCCATTGTCGTCGCGACGCTCGAAGTCGTCGTCAGGCCGAGCCATTGGCTCGTCCTCAGGGGCATCGAGCCCGTCGCGGAGATCGCAGAGCGGGTAGTTGGGGCATCGCGAGCTCCGGTCTGGGAGCAGAACGGACGAATTGCTGTCGGCTTGCTAATGGGGATAGGCAAGGCGATTCGAGCGGGGGTAATAGGAGAGATTGTCGAGGCAAAACCGAGACTAAGGGAGGAAGGAGAACCAAGGGCAGGATTCGTCGCCGAGGCGAGAGCGTGTTCAAGTTGAGGGAGCAGCGCGGCGCGGCGCACGGCCGCAGCTGCCGCTCCCGGGATCATTGTCGCAGCTCAAAGGCTCTCGTATCTTCTTTCGGGGCAATTCACTCCCGAGCAGTTGTCGTCGCCGTGGAGTCCCTGAAGCTGTCTCTGGCTACTACTGTGCGATGGGTTAGTGCTGGGGAACTCTCAGGCCGGAGGTGCCGCGGTAAGAGGTATTTGTTCCGAGGCCCATGCCGACGCTTGCTCCGGAAAGTGTGGTTGGCGGCACGGCCGTTGTGTGCAAGCTCGAGGGGTTGAGCAATGGGTTGGCAAATGGAGGGGTAGTCGGCTGGCGTGGGTTGTGGGATATGGTTCGCGGTAGCAGGAAGAGGGACAAAAAAATCCGGTAAGGTGTAAAATCACAGGCCAAATGTAATGTCCAAGACATTCCATTCGACTGCATGCAGCTGGCAGCGAGGCCAGTCGGAGCTTCGGCTCAGGCGGGTCCACCCGCCCCCCCCCTCCCTTGTCCGTCATTTTTCTGAGCGAATCGGCCTTAACTTGTCGTCATCGGCTCCCGACTCTGCCATCTCGGCCGACCGCTTGGCGAGGCCAAGACGTTAGCCTACAGTAAGGTTGAGTTCCTGACTCTTAACTCTTATGTTTGGATATGTTCATTTCGTTTCATCTATGAGAGACTTAGGTATCATATGTGAGTATTAGAATGCCAAATCGAAAAAAAAAATTGCATTTTCTGAGCTTCTCAGAGGTGTGCACAGTGCGCCTGAAACTTGTGCTGACGGCCGGAGGTAAATGCCTGGGAGTGACCCCCTTACTCCCCCTCACTTACACCCATGCCCCTCCGGTTTCTCCCTTTCCTGCAAAATACCTTTATGGTTTAGGATTGTTATCTATGTGCTCGAATAAGTGAAGATAAGAGTTAATGGTTAACTATACGGAAGAGAATCGTGATGCCTTTACATTAAATTTCAAGGTGTGTACACATAATCTGCTTGACCCAGTGTGTACTGTGTAACGGAATTGGGGATATAGATAGCACTGGCAGCATCGAAGATTGGGAGGTCTGCATATGGTAGTTGAACTTATTACTTCCATCATAAAGAAGTAACAACAACAACAAAAATAAAGTTTATGAAAATTGTCCTCTAATCTTTCATTTGGGCTAATCCCGAATTTATTAATGCTGACCCATTACCATAACCCTTGAGAGCCATGCAGCAGCAATCGAGCCTTACTTTCACCAGGACAAACACCACGAAATACTACTCCATCATAGGAACCCCCGCTCTTCCCCCCCTTCCCCCTCCCCCCTTTTTCCTTTCGTCGCTACCAATCATCATATATCTTCCTGCTGTCCTACCTAACAACAATCCTCACCACTCATTCCAGGTAGTCACCAAAGTTAACCATCAATCCTGAAACACTCCAATCACGCCCAAAAGCAGCAGACAACCCCCAATATGAACCTTTTTTTTTTACTCACTCTCATCATCTCCCGAGTTCAGAGCTCAGGGCTAGAGGAAGCTCTACGACCCCTGCCCCTGACTCTCGCTCCTAAGCATCTCCCTCACCTCGGCATCAATCCCATCATCATTGCCCAGATCCGGAAAATCATCATTCGCAGTCGCATCGCCAATCTTACGCTTTTTGTTCGCGGTGCCCACACCGTTGTTCATGACTGGCACAGAGGAGTACTGCGACGCTAGATTAGATAACATCTCAATACCTGGTGCACCGGCACTCAGGAAGGGGTTGGGAGCTGCAGTGGTCTGGGAAGCAGAAGGAATAGAGGTAGGAGCAGGGCCGACGTGGAAAGGCACTGCCGCAGGTGGCTGATTGGTGCTCTGGAGATCGCCCGAATGATCCTGGATGTGAGGCGGAGTGAGGGCCTCGACCTGGGGACGGTCGGGCTCAGGGACCGGCAGAGTTGCGGGGGCACCTTCGGCAGGGACAGAAGCGCCATTGCCGTTCCCTGAAGCACCGGCGACGATAGCACGTTCGATAGCCTGCTTGCGCTGCTCGACTTCGGTCCTGCGCGCGCTAAGCTCCATCATCTTCTTCTCATCGGTAGCGAGCGCGTCGCGGGTGGTTGCAAGGATCTTCTCCAGCTCGCGGATCAGGTCGCGCCGAGCCCGGATGCACTCGGTCACGGCGCCCTCGGCATTGGCGAGAGTCTTCAGCAGGCCGTTGAGACGGGCGGCCTGGACAGGAAGGGGAGTGGTCGCGTTGGCGGTCGGATCGGAGAGCTTGTCGTACTCGGCGTTAGCATTAGTGACGGCCGTTTTAGCGGGCTGCAGGCTCTTAGTGACGGCCAGCTGGGGAGCAACAAGAGGCTGGAGTTCGGAGGGGATAGAGGGAGCCGAACTGCTGAAGCCACCTCCGAAGGGGGCTTGGGGGCGGCTGCGATCAATTTCTGTCCAAAGTCAGCGCACTGTTTGTAGTTAGAGTGAGATGAGTCCGACTCACCCGCAAACTTGGCCTCAATGTCCTGGAGAATGTCACGATCAAAGATACACCGCTCCTTCCAGACGTCCAGGACTCTGCGCAGCTTAGCCTGGATATCGGGCGGGGCACCCTTGTATGCGAGGGCTGTCGCATCCGCGATGTAGGGAGAGAAGGCATTCAGGAAGTCATCTTTGTGCCGAGCCTTGGACTGCTGGGTGACCTCTACAATGTGTTTTGTGTTAACACCTGGACATAATACTGAATTTAGGGCATAGTTCACTCACCATTGGCAAGGTAGATCATGTTCAGCCTCTTGTGGCTGGGCAGGTCTTTCAACTTGGTCAACCACAGGTGGACAGTCTGGGATGCATGTCGGCTGTGAGGTGTTTAGTAACTACAGACGATGACCAACTTCACTCGACATAGTGCGGGCTTACCGATGGAACATGATCCATTGAGCCGTAGTTGCAATGCTATCATGGCTCTCATTCAAAGCTGAGAGCTTTGAGAGAACCGCATCGTCGGTATAGGCCATGGTCAGGGGAGAGTGTGATAGAGTGTGAGTTCAGGAAGTTAGAGGATGTAATGAAAGTCGCAGTTCAACTCGCAAGATGCTGGGTCAACAGTGATTGGTTAATGTTGGAAGTAAACTCAGCAGTGGTGAGTTAAGTCGTGGGTATAAATCTGGAATATATCCTGGCTGTTGATACCGGCCCAAGTGGTGAGGCTGCTATTCCAGGTTTGAGGTTGTCCAGTGAGGGTTGGGGTGTGTTTCCAATCAGGAAAGCAGGCAATTGTAATTACAACAAGGGCCGTGACATCAGCGACCACTGTGGACAGCCGGCAGAACCTCAAGACTCCTTTGCTCTGCTTCTATATCTTGCAAATGCAACAGCAAATGCAACTGGTATCACCCGCCTTTGCAGTTGGCATCCAGATCTCAATGCAGACAGCAGCAGTGGTCAATCACAATAGTCCGTAGTCCCGATGCTTATCTATGCTGATGTTGGGATGCTCAGACGCTGTCAGTCACCACTGGCCAGAGACACTGCAGCTATCCTCTGTGCGATTTGGATGTTTTTGTTTTGGCAGGATGGGGGGGGGGAAAAACTGGAAAACAGGAAGAAGAGGTGTGAAAGATCAGGAACAACGGAAAGTCAGAAGAAACCCATTTTGGAACAAGTTCCAGCGAATTGCATCGCAGTGGCCCAGGTGCGCCCTGCATTTCGCACTAGCGCTATCGCATAAATGCATTAACCAGGATCCTCCACCCCGGTACAATGATGGAAGCCCCTGTCCGCCGCCCAGTAAGCCACATCTCACTGGCGCAGCCCAGCGGCACCTGCCTGGCCACTATGCTGGCGCCATCATCGAAACCCACGTCCATTTCGCTTCATTCCCCATCTCTTTCCTGGCCCGTTGTTCAACCGTCAACACTGCGCTTCTCCTCTTTTGACAGCATTTCTGCCATAAGAGAAGCCGGGGCCATTATTAACAATCAAGCCTTCCACCATGGCCGACCGCTTCCCCTCGTTGGAGGAGTTCGACTCCGGAGGTAAAGCATACTATCCCCTCCTATTCGAACCCCTGGTTATTTTGGGCCACAGACTTACCGCGCCGCCACAGTCCAGACGGAGATCAAGGACGTTGATATCGGTGACATTCCGTCAGCCAGCAACTTCCTGGAGCGCGAGAAGGCCATCCTCGGCGAGGAAGCCAACCGGTTCGCGACGGTCGAGGATGCCGCCGCCATCGACGCCGGTGACGACCTGCTCGGCGGTGGCGACGTCAGCATGGCCTCCCCCGGCGCTACCGCGCAGTTTGAGTCTCAGTTCCCCGATATCAGCGCAGCTGAGGTAGGAGAGGAGGAAAGCCAAGCCAGCATTCTTCCCAGACCCCCCTGATGTTAACTATTTCTCTCCCCCAATTTCTAGGCCGCAGCCCCGACGAACGTGACCATCACCGGAGGCCCGTCCATCGTTTATAACTCCGGCTTCACCACGACAGTCGAAGACGAGGAAGAGCCCGAGGTTATCCGAGAGTGGCGGGCCAAGCGCGACGAGCAGATCCGGGCGCGCGAGGAGGTGTTTGCGAGGCAGCGCGAGGCAACGATCGCCGAGGCGCAGCGCAACATCGACGAGTTCTACGAGAATTACAACAACAAGAAGGAGAAACTGATTGCGCAGACGCGCCGCGAGGCTGAGGAGTTCTTGGCCAAGCGCGAGGACACTACCTCCGGCGGCACCAGCTGGGAGCGCATCGCTAAGCTGGTAGATATCAGCGGTAAAGGCGCCAAGGGCGGCGCGACTGGCTCGGGCAAGGAGCGCTTCCGTGAGCTGTTGATCAGCTTGCGCAAGGATGAGAATGCTCCTGGTGCCTCGGGCTACTGAAGGGAAAGGAGGAAGGAGTTGTGTTGCTGCGTGTGAACTGGTGAAACTACTGCCCGGACGCCCTTCCGGACTACCCGACCTGATATCTGATGACGTGTCCGCCCTTTTTGGGCTGAGACATACCATAGAGCCACCGACGACCCACGATCACCAACCGACTGGACAGGACCGCACTTAATGTACCTTTTAGACGAGGAGATAGGGAAGGGGGGGGAGGCGGGGCGGCAGGGAGAAGGCTCGCTATCTGCAAGCACAGGAATATTGTCGGGCATTTAGCAGTACAAGGTGTTAACAAGCGCGTAATGGAAAGAAAGTGATATCCATCGGCACCGAACACTTGTAAACCAACGACAACGCACATAGACATATCGGCCCGACTGGCTTCTGATTCTGGGTTGATTGCTATCAACAGTCCCCAGGGGACCCTGTCACTTCTATTTGTCTACCCCTCTCTCTTCTACATATACAAGCAGTCGCACTCCCATCTAGCAGGTTCTCTTTGTCCCACTCAACCACTCCACAACCGGGCGAATAGGGCGCGTTTAGTCGCTGAACCAGGTGTTGTGGCCGAAGATGCGGCGGCCCATGGCGTAGAAGGTGGCTGTAGGCAAGAGGTGCTCGGATCAGCATGGCCCTGGGAACGAGGGGACTTGACAACGACGACGATGGGGATCTAAGGATCGCGACGTACCAGCGGTGGTGCCCCAGAGGATGATGTAGTAAGGGGTCAGGTAGTACTTGCTGCGGGGGTTCTGTTGAAGACAAGAGTCGTCAGCATCGTCGTCCAACCTAACATCACATGCCCTCTCCAAGCGCAGATCTCCTCGACATCCAGCTTCCGACAGCCTCCCTCTCTCGTCCCATGCATGCAGTGCCTCTCTTGCATGTCCTTTCCTTCCTCTTGACACATCCCTCCTCTCCATGAACCATCCCCTCCTCCTTCCCCTAACCCCCCCCCGGATCCCAACCGTAAATATGACACCGTCAACCCGGCAACGACGGGGGAAACAACTCACAATCTGCCACAGGCGAACATGGTTCTTGTAGGCAGCCTGGTAGTAGCGCTGCAGCTCAGGGACGCGGTTCTCGCGGTTGATGAAACTGTATTGCGTGCATGGTTGTGAGACTCGTGGTTAACCGTGGTGCTCTAACTCTCGCTTCCAATCGTACGATTTGGCGGTTTTGCGCGCTAAATCCTTTTTTTTTTGCTGGATGGTCCCCCTCAATTGAGGGACACAAGCAAATCCATGATCTTGGGGAATGATGAGGGAATGCAGGGCAGCTTACGCCATCTTGAATGGTTTGCGCGGTGATGCGGCAGCGGGAGGAGGGAGGAGTGGTTGTTGTCTGGGTTGATGGTGGTTCGTGGACGGTTGGATCTCGGAACCTTGGATTGGGGGGGTGGGAAAGCAGCAAGTCGAGTGGTGATGATGTGGGTTTGCTTCCGGCCTGGGGCTTGGCACAAGCTGTGAGCTTGCCTGATGAGCCGGGAGTTGTCGGTATCGAATGCGCCGCGTCGATTGGTCAATTGGGGGGTGGGTGACTAAGCAAGACTAGGCTGGTCGGCTGCCAGAGATTTTGGGAGGGACGGAGGAGCTTGGGATCTTCCATCGTTCCTAGGCTCCACTTTTTTCCATGAAGCTTGTGAAGCTTCGGCGATGGGATTTTTTAAGCATCTCGTTTCTTTGAGAGTGAGATATGGGACAAAAGCCCTAACCAGACACTTCACTGTTCCCGAAATAGCAAAGTATAGAAACATCATTGATCGCCGAGGCAACTCAGTCATGAGAGACATCCACCATGTAAGATGCTCTTCCCAGATAATACGTACACTTCCCAAGCGCACAATGACTCCCATTCGCCTGTAACCCTCTACCCTCGAGTATTCCTGATCTAGTACATGCAAAAATAGAACGATGTCCCAACAGGATAAGGCTGAGCTCCCCAGCGGTAGACACGGATGTCTCAAGCCACATTATACCGGCCGTCTCTTGTTCGGCCCTTCAACTCCTATCATACTACCCCCGATGCTTCTTCGGCTTGATAATAAGCAGAATAACAACAGCAGCAATAAGCAGCAGCAGCAGGAAGATAATCTTCCGCTTGATTGTCTTCTTCTGATAACCCTCGGCGACCTTGAGCTCGCGCGCAGCCTCCTTGACGTCAGTCGCCATGCGCTCCACGTTGTAGTCGATACGGTCCAGCAGCGTGCCCTGGTCGATGACCATGGTCTGCAGTTCGCGGAACAGGTCTGACAGCTCGATAATACCCTGCGCGATCTCCTCAATCTCGCGCTCGCGCTGCAAAATGATGGCATCGTTGGACTGCAAGAGCTTCTGGTGCGTTGGCGCCTGGATCGCCGATTCCGAATAGGTACGGTCGGCATCGGACTCGAGAAGGGACGGGTTGTTACTGTAACTGCTTCCTGGGAAGGGGCTTGCTGCACGCTCGATATCGCTGGCCACGCCGGCCATGTCTCTGAGTTCTTGGTTGGTTAGCCTCTGTTGTGGTATAGATGATTCAGGGGTAGGGTTACATACTCTTGAGATATGCGCTCTGCTTCTTACGAAAAGCAGCGCTGGCCTCCTGCACCCTCGTAGCAAGGTTGACGCGTACATTCTTCGCCATAACCTCATCGGCGCGCGTCAGCTGCCCGCTGGCCTTAGCTTCACGCACCATCTGCTCGATGCGTAGAATACACCCACGACAGTCGTGGAAGCCGCGTGTGATCTCCTGCGTCAGGCGCTCGATCTCGGCCTCTTCGGCCTTCTTGGTATCGTCGTCATTGAAACCGGGCAGCACATGCTTCTGGTGCAACCGGTCCAGCTTTTGGGACTTGGTAGCAATCTCCGCCAGCTTCTCTGTCACCTCATCCGATATGTCGACCCAGCGCGGGGGGAGCACGTCCATCTCGATCACCGCATCGCCGTCGTCCACTGTGTCGTAGGCGCCTGCCGACAGCAAGCCTCGCCGGTCGTCGTCGGCTGAGAATAGAACGCCGCTGCTGGCACCAGCGCTACCGCCGAAACGCTCGTTAACTGGTGTTGGTGTCCGGCCATAGCGATTGCGATGTCGAGGATGGTGGGCGTAGGACTGCCGGTATGATATGTAGCTACAGGATGGAGAACTTGATGTTAGTCTACAATCCCAGCTTGTGTCTGCCGCATCAAACCCAACTGCTTACAGGTTGGTGCGGTCTCGCCACATGGCGGACACGGAAAGGGGTGAAGAGTCCCCTCAGTCCGCCGTTGGTGGGATAGTATCAATGGGGAGAGGGGAGCTGATGTGTGTGCTGGCGAGGGTCCGGACAGCGCTGCATCACATTGTAAAACGGTCACCGCAAATGCGTCGGCGCACAACCGAGCTCCTTGGTGGTCGGAGACCTGAAGAAGGGATCGAGGAGGAGCCTATGAGAGCTTCCGAGGTCCCCTATTTGTTCGACTGGTCGCCTAGCACAAAGAACAATGCCGCTGTGGATGGACAGGACCGCACGGCTGATAGCTGAATGGGTCGAAAACCAGCGTCCCAGTCACTTGCAGCCTTGCAGCCTTCGAGCCTTGCAATCCTCAACAAAGGACGGCCACTTTTAACGGGGGGGAGGGGGGGGGATGAAAGGCGGCCCGCTTTGCGGTACTCGACGACTTGACGCGTGATGGGACAAAGATGCCAGTTGGCTGCAGCTGCTAAAATACGCTGGGCAGGGGTGCCTTAGGTCAGTCTTGGTCCTTGTTAGAAAGGTCTTGGCAGGCTCGCATTGTGGAAAAGACGAGGCGGAGGGTCCAACAAAAAGGCAGCAACGCGGCGAGCGCCTGGAACCCGACGGGGCCCGCAGAGACGAGACCCTTGTCGAAATAGCAACCCATCCCTCCTTTTTGGAGGAGGGGGCCCCGCTTCCTATGGTCCCGCCGGGCTCCCGCTGCTCCAGTGCTCACAGATCAAGTCTCCATCCAGGCTTGCGTCCGCCAGCCGCCGTGTTCATCATCCAAACAACCCAGTTCACCCAGCAACATCACCGCTGTTCCCGTCCAGACCCTCTTGCACATCTCCTACAACCATCCACATCTCCCATAGCGCATCTCTTAACGTCGTTCGCCCGCTCAGATTCCCACAATCAACATGGTCAGTCCCCCTTCCTCCCAGGCGCCGCTCGCTGCCCGCATAAGGCAACCCCGCGGCAAAGGAGTCGGGTTGAAGGGGGGTTGCGAAGTGTCGGGCTGCGTCCCTACGAGTTCAATGTACTGACTATATCTTCACCGACAGGCCGACTCCCTTACCGAAGAGCAGGTTTCTGAGTTCAAGGAGGCCTTCTCCCTCTTTGTATGTCATCCTTCTCTATTGTCGAGTGCATCTTAACTGGCTTCAAACCGCGGCGCTAACCCCTGGAATAGGACAAGGACGGCGATGGTTAGTCTCCCTGTACCCGCGTCTCTGACTCTTGCAGCATCACAACCCTATCTCATCAGAGGTGGTGTTGCGTTCTGCGCATGCACAATCGTTGCCTCTTACGTGTCTACAACACATCCCGACTCTGTAATAAGACATATGCTAAGCCCCTGAGCAGGCCAGATCACAACCAAGGAGCTGGGCACCGTCATGCGCTCTCTCGGCCAGAACCCGTCCGAGTCGGAGCTGCAGGACATGATCAACGAGGTCGATGCAGACAACAACGGTACCATTGACTTCCCTGGTATGCCCCCCCCCCTCCCCCCCTTTTCGAACTAAATGATCCAGGCAACGCTAACAACCCGCCAGAGTTCCTGACCATGATGGCGCGCAAGATGAAGGATACCGACTCGGAGGAGGAGATCCGTGAGGCCTTCAAAGTGTTCGACCGCGACAACAACGGCTTCATCTCGGCGGCTGAGCTGCGTCACGTCATGACTTCTATTGGTGAGAAACTCACCGACGACGAGGTCGACGAAATGATCCGCGAGGCCGACCAGGACGGTGATGGGCGCATCGACTGTGAGTTGCTCAGTCATCATCCCCCACTGCCATTGATGCTAACTGTATTTAGACAACGAGTTCGTCCAGCTCATGATGCAGAAGTAAAGGCCACGCCGTCATATCCCCTCCCACAAACACCCCTTCAGGGCAATGCACTTTTCTGTCTTGGATTTTCTTGTCTCCATGTTCCCGAATGGATATAGGTAGTTCGGCACGGGCAGCCTGCTGCAGGAGAGTGCGTAGCCTCAGTCAGTGTGTGCCCCCATCCATTGAACTGAGTAGCAGCCTCCTTTCCCTTAGGAAACTATCCTCCAACCATTACCTCATTGGTTGTGTGATAACTCTCGGGAACTGAACGATTGTCAGAGGTTCTGGGCTACCTGTAAACTGGCTGAAACGCAGGGTTGTTTCCGGCGATTCCATTTTATCATCGTCTTTTCTCCTTTCCCGCTTCGTTGGCTTCATAGCATCGTTGCGAGTAACCCTTGTCGTTTGGATCCGCTCCCGTAGTAACCTTTTCTCCTTGACAATGAAATTTGCTCTTGAAGGGGATCCGGTGAACTTGACTGCTTTTTTTTCTTGATCCACTAGTGACATCGTGCGTAGATCTAGGGAGATCTCTCATGCAGTTTCCCGTGCACAAAACCATCGTTTTCCCAAAATCCGATCGCTATACCTACCATGTACAGTAGCTCCGTGTCCCAAGAAACGTCGTCAAGTTGTTCGGGAAGTTCTCGGCAGAGCTTGTCTGGTTATCACCCGACGTCGGCAGCGCAGGCGGTCGCATCGTGGGTGTCTTAACCGCGCAGCCGGAGTGTGGCAGTGCTAGACTAGCGGCATCCTTATGAATTCTGGTCCAACCCCTCTAGCGGGCAGGTCCTGTGCCTTGTCGGGGTTTCAGTCTTGTCCACGGGTATCACTTCGACAACCGTTGAAAGTTGTGGTGGTTTGACAGCTGCAGCCCTACAAAGAAGCTAAGCAACTGCCAAAACATTCCGCTATCGGTAGGGCTGCAGAACGGAGGGCACGGGCCAGACTGTGTGGGTTTGGCTGGTGTTAAGGTATTAGAAGATAATGGATTGGTAGCTTTGAAGAATGCCTATCTTTTCAAATGCTATCCCGGAGAGTGATCACCCCTACATCGAGTGCTCAACTTAGGCTTTACAAAACATAGGCCCCCCAGCTGTTCCTTGGGCAGTAGACCGTCAAGCATCGAGAGGCGGATAAGGCCATGCCCTGGACTTTCTCCCAAGCTTGCACTGATGACAAGCCATTGTTCTACAAGGCGAAACCAGAAAAGTTTCGGGAAAATGTAATAAAAGCACGTCTGACATCTGATATTGTTGGGAGGTTAAATTCTCCTAGGCCACCAACACTTTTTGAGACCAAGGGACAGAGGATACGGATTCGTAGAAGGGGGTCACTGAGATGATGATTTTGGAGCTTCTCACCGTGGTGTGCTATACGGATTACACTGACCACGAGTTTAGATTAGCGATAAACTTCCTCAAGCATCCATAAACACCAAACAGAATGGCAACTTTATAGCAATTACGGGGGATTCCGAGTCTTGAGAGCATCTCTTTCATCTCTTGTCCTTCGATCTCATCCCTGTCATGGGTTCAACAAGTGCTTGCACCCACAATGCCCCGCGTCGGCTGTCGACCTTGAATTCAGTTGGCCCAAGCGCTAGCCCGCGCGCCCCCCCCCCCACCACAAAACCATAGCTCAGGGGCTTTCATGCCTCAGGCATCAGGATTACTCAAACGGGCAAGACAGTCCACGCCGCCTGCCGCATTGCCCGATGCCCACCGAGCCAGGACGAGGGCGAACACGGACCACAGACCACATCGCCTATGAGAGAGACACCTTTGGGGTCGTGATGCGGCCAGCAGCAAGCATCCACTGAAGCAACCCACCGCCCAGACGAGCGCTTTCGCGGCCGCCGCCCTCCAAATTCCAACCTGGTATAGCATCCGTCTTCAGGCCCCTTTGCGGGCCCCCAGAATTTCAACATGAGCTCCCGTATGTGATGGCGCCCGTGCCCTTCTCCTGCCTGCACTCTGCCCGTCCGTCTTGTCGTCTTGCTGTCCTTCCCCTGCCTGCCTGCATCACCATGATCGCCATGCATGAGAAGGATGAGTGGATGGAGGATGGGAGAATCGAGCATACATTTTTCTTCACCTTCTGTACCAACAACCGTATATACACAGCCAGCCCCCGCTGACCCCGCCCAGTCAAGCAGTTCATCCGCAACGTGCGCGCCGCGAAGACGATCGCCGACGAGAGAGCCGTCATCCAGAAAGAGAGCGCCGCCATCCGCCAGAGTTTCCGCGAGGAGAGCCACGACCCTGCCGTGCGCCGCAACAATGTAGCCAAGCTGCTCTACCTCTTCACCCTGGGTGAGCGCACCCACTTCGGCCAGATCGAGTGCATCAAGCTGCTGGCCTCGCCCCGCTTCGCCGACAAGCGACTCGGCCACCTGGCCACGAGTCTGTTGCTCGACGAGAACCAGGAGGTGCTGACGCTGGTGACCAACTCGCTCAAACAGTAGGCCCGGATCTACATATGTCTAGGTAATCCAGATTAGGGGGCTAACGGAGGCAGTGACCTGTCACACTCGAACCAATATGTCGTCGGCCTGGCCCTGTGCACGCTGGGCAACATCGCCTCGGTCGAGATGTCGCGCGACCTGTTTAGCGACGTCGAGAGCCTAATTCAGACGGCGAACCCGTACATCCGGCGCAAGGCAGCCCTCTGCGCCATGCGAATATGCAAGAAGGTCCCCGACCTGCAGGAACACTTCCTCGACAAGGCCGCCCAGCTGCTGGCAGACCGCAACCACGGCGTGCTGCTGTGCGGCATTACCCTGGTGACCAGCCTGTGCGAGGCCGATGAGGCTGAGGGCGGTGAGAATGGCGTCGTTGAGAAGTTCAAGCCGCTGGTTCCCCAGCTAGTGCGGACTCTCAAGTCGTTGGCGTCGTCGGGCTATGCGCCAGAACATGATGTCACCGGTATTACAGATCCCTTTTTGCAGGTCAAGATCCTGCGTTTGCTGCGCGTTTTGGGTCGGGGTGATGCCCAGGTGTCGGAGCAGATCAGCGACATTCTCGCCCAGGTCGCTACCAATACCGACTCCTCAAAGAATGTCGGCAACTCGATTCTATACGAGGCTGTACGCACGATCCTTGATATCGAGGCCGACTCAGGCTTACGCGTTCTGGGTGTCAACATCCTCGGCAAGTTTTTGTCTAACAAGGACAACAACATTCGCTATGTCGCCCTCAACACCCTGCTGAAGGTGGTGGCTATCGAGCCGAACGCGGTGCAGCGTCACCGCAACACTATCCTTGAATGTCTACGCGACCCCGATATCAGCATCCGCAGGCGAGCTCTCGACCTCAGCTTTACGCTGATCAACGAAAGCAACATCCGGGTGCTGATCCGGGAGCTTCTGGCCTTCCTCGAGGTGGCCGACAACGAATTCAAGCCGACCATGACCAGCCAGATCGGCATTGCTGCCGACCGCTATGCGCCCAACAAGCGTTGGCACTTCGACACCATGCTACGCGTAGTGACCCTGGCCGGCAACTACGTCAAGGAGCCCATCCTGTCGTCCTTCATCCGCCTGATCGCGACGACCCCTGAGCTACAGACCTATGCCGTGCAGAAGCTATACGCCAACCTGAAGAAGGATATCACTCAAGAGAGCTTGACTCTTGCGGGAGCGTGGTGCATCGGCGAGTACGGCGACCTGCTGCTGCGTGGCGGGCAGTACGAGGAGGAGGAGCTAGTGCAGGAGGTCAAGGAGCACGAGATCATCGACCTGTTTTCGACCATCCTCAACAGCAGCTATTCGACTCAGGTCACAACCGAGTACATCATCACAGCACTGGTCAAGCTCACAACCCGGCTGTCTGACCCGGCGCAGATCGAGCGCGTGCGTCGCATCCTCGCCAACCACCAAACCAACCTTGACGTCGAGGTCCAGCAGCGCGCGGTCGAGTACACCAACCTCTTTGCCTACGAACAGATCCGGCTCGGCGTGCTCGAGAAGATGCCTCCGCCCCAGATCAAGGAGGAGTCTCGTGTGTTGGGCGAGGCAGCCAAGAAGTCGAACAAAGCGGCCAATCGCAAGAGCAAGACGCTCAAGCCCAAGGAGGAGGACCTGCTGTTCGATCTGATGGGCGATAGCGGTGCTGCGCCGGCCCCGGCGCCCGTCAGCGGCGCCAGCAACGCCGACTTGCTCGCCGACATCCTCGGCGGCGCGACCTCCCCTCCTCCCGCGGGGGCGCCCACGTCTCCTGCCCCGACTCAGACCAACGTCGCTGCTATCATGGACCTCTTCTCTCAACCCGCTCCTACAGCTGCTGCGCCGGCCTTGGCTGCGGCTCCTGCTGCCGCGCCCAGCTCGGCAGCCGACCTCCTCGCCTCGGTCGTCTCCACTCCCCCTCCGCAACCCACTGCCCCCGCAGTACCAGCCGTGGCGCCAACCGCAGCCGCAGCAGCGCCGGTCGGCCACCCGTGCTACGACAGCAACGGTCTGCTCGTCACCATCACAGTGCAGCGCAACGCAGAGGGCGCAATCCAGGCTGTTGCACGGTTCAGGAATACCAACCCCGCTGGGGTGGTGTTGTCGGGTGTCGGATTGCAAGCGGCGGTGCCCAAAAGCCAGAAATTACAGTTACTGGCTATTTCACAGAGTGAGTTGGGAGTGGGGGCAGAGGCGACGCAAGTAATGAGGGTTTTGGGGTGTAAGGGGGTAAGTATTTCCCAAATCAGTATTACTAAAAAAAATTCGTAAATGAAGAGACGCTGACTAGAGTGAACTTACAGCCGCTTAGGTTGAGGCTGAGGATAGGATACACACATCCTACGGCGGGCCAGGTGTTGGATGTGGTGAATTGGACAGAGCCTTCTTAAGCTTAAGGCATCATCATTATCATCATCATATACGCATTGCAGGGGCTTGGTCGGGATGAGTCAGGAGAGGGGTGGAGTTTAGGGGAAGATACAGGAGATAATACACCCAGTAAGATGCGAAGTCGACGCACAACTGATTCGTACTAGGTAATGTGAGAGAAAGGGTTTAAAGACACACTGGAAGAATAAGGTCAAAGTCCTGACTTGTGTCCCTTGTTAAGTCTGGAGCATGAAAGCTATACAGAACGGTTGTGTTTAGACTGGGTAGGAAGGTAGGGAGGGGGAATATTGGGTACAGTGATTTGTAGATGCCCTTTTAGTTGAGGATAAAGGAGCGTCGCTTGAAAAAAAAAATAGCAAATGATCTCAAGAGACTCGGAGGTATGTTACTCAGGGGTCGAGTGATCTATGCTTGGGTTGCCCCTCAATAGCAGCCAATGTTCCCCAAGAACGACGAATATTTTCAAGGGGACAAGGGTTATAAGCTCTATGCATACCATAGCAGAGTCGGAAGCCATACACTCCACGGCGTCAAGTCACAAAATGACCATCATTCATCATAGAATTTCATTCATCATCAAGCCCCGCATAGAGGCGGCGGCCAGTGTCTATTCCGTAGACTTGTCATTGTTTTGTATGAGCCGACAAGTCAAAGGCAAGCTCATGAACAAGAAGGCTCAATAAACCTATCCCAATTTCCCAACAAATCCTATTCCCGTTCCCGTTCATCAGTCATGTACCCATAGTTTTCTAGCACACCGCCACTGCGGGCGCCCGATGCGCTCGAGGAAACAACAAACTTTTATTTCCGGTTGCTGTTGGTCCTTCATTTGAAGACCTTGCCAGCGGCGTGGGGGTACTCCTTGCCGTCGACGACAAGGGGGCGGTCCCACGACCACTGAAGCTCGACGTACTCCCGGTCGGCCGGGTTGTTGGGGTCGAGCTTGGTGAACTCGTAGCTCTCATAGTCAGGAGCGACGTCGAAAACGGGCAGATAATCCTGGCCGCGGATGAGGAAGGCACCCTCAATGATGGAGTCGTTGTTCTTGCCGAACACGGAGGCGCAGCCGAAGAGGTACTTGCGGGAAGCCTCCAGGCGGTTGTTGAAGCCGCCGATGAGGTTGCTCGACATGAAGGTGAGGGTGAGCTCGTCGTTGTACTTGTAGCGCACCTTCCAGAGGGAGTACTCCTCGAAGTTGACGTGCTCCCAGAACCACTTCAGGGCATCGGGGGTCTCCTGGTTAGAGTACTGGCGCTTCCACTCGTCCAGAGGCATCGAGGCCTTGGGGAGAGACTCAAGAGGATGCTTGGGCTTAGGGGCCGGAGCAGGCTCCTCCTCAGCGGCAGCGGCAGGGGCCTCCTCCTTCTTTGGGGCTTCCTTCTTGGCCTCCTTCTTGGGAGCCTCAGGCTTCTTGGGAGGAACGTTGGTGAGCTTGGGGGTATCAAGGAGAGTGAACTCGGGGGCAACGGCCGAGTAGACGGGCTGGTTATACACGGTGGTGTACCAGCGGGTGACGTGGGGGTTCTTCTCGCGCCACTCCTTGTCGAAGAAGTACTCGAAGCCGCGGGCAATGATGCCGGTGGCGAAGAGGTCAGCCAGGGTTAGCCGCTCGCCAACGAGGTAGGTCTTGTCAGCGAGGTGCTTCTCAACGATAGCAATAGCAGCAAGAGCGGCCTTGGAGGACTCCTCAACGGCCTTCTTGTTGTAGGGGTCCTTGCCCAGGAGAGGACGGAACCAGCCGCCGAGCTTGGGCAGAACCTCGCTGTTGAAGTAGGACATCCACTTCAGGATGGAGGCATAGCTATAAGCTGTGTCAGTGAGACGGGTCTGATTAGGTGGATCAGGCGAGGTGTTTCTTACTCCTGCTTGGTCTTGCCAAGGAGGGTGGTCTTCTCATTCTGAGAGGCGACTGTGGAATTGTTAGCTCTGTACTCTCGTGAGCAAGCAAGTAGTAAACAATGAGGCAGAAAAAATGACAATCAGAAGTTAGAACCAATTCAACATTGTAAATGTTGTTCAGATAGGGATAACTGTTACAAACGATGTCTAGGTCATCATTGTCGCGGGGCTAGCTGCCCTTGAGAGCGGGCTACTGGCCAATTGTAGAAAGGACACGAACTAGCGTCACTTACAATAGACGGCAATGGCAATGCACTCGGTCAGGTTGAAGCCATCGGCGCCGGCGAAGGCAGGGACCTTGCCGATGGGGTTGACCTTGAGGAACTCCTCAGAAGGGTTCTTAACGTCGGTCTCAACCTCCTCAATCTCGAGGTTGTTGGCCTTCGCGACAGCGCGAATGCCAGTGGTACGGGGGTTGCCCTAAGCCGATCAATGTCAGCAATTGGTATACTGTCGTTCGCGCAATTCCCAAAAAAAAAAAAAGAACAGTGGTTATTGTCACTGGAACATAGGTATATTGATTCCCCAGACATCAATGACTGGACTTACCGGATAGGAATAAAGCTTGCCGAACGCCATTTTTGCTTGAACGACCTTCGGGGAAAGCAAAACGGTGATTCAGAGAGGGATTGCGAGTTCAAAGGAAGCTCTCGAGGGTTAAAAACGGTGATTCAGAAAATTTATGCGGCGGGGTAGGTGGTCGCCGTGGGGACAAAGCAGGCCAGGCTAAGCTGACAAGACAGATTCTGATTGGTCCCTTGCTCAAGGCTTCAAAGCTTGGCATGAGACCACAAAACTGGCCTGAGCTCCCAGGCGACATTGCTTGCAGGAAAACTGCGGGGCCGACACCGAGGGGCAGCAAGGCCACAGGGCCCTTGCACGCGGGCTTGGCGCTGGAAAAATTCACCGCGGTTGTTCCGGCGAGAGGTGAGCGCCAAAACGTTGCGCAGGTCCCGATATTCAGATAGGCCCCGACGACCGACGACCGACTACCCCTCTGGCGCGATTCTGGGGGTATGACGGGAGACGCCCACACAACATGATGGCCTCTACAACACGACCAGGGCTCGTATCCGCCCTTCGGGGCGTCTCTCGGCGCATCACGAGCAGACAGTGCCGCTCACTCGAACACCAATTCCGTCTACTCTCCATCAGCACACCGTGCTCCTCCGATATGGCCCTCGAGCCCATCAAACCCGGGTCTGCCGACATCCAGGCCGCCCCCGAGATCGATCTGGTCGCTCTTGCGAAGAAGTACCGGCTTGCCGAGCATGCCCGCACCGTCCCCGCTTCTCCGTCCTACTTCTCGAAATCACCAAAGTTCAACGACGCTTTCGTTCGTGTTGAGGCTCTCTACCGGAAATACGGCCACCTGCCCACCCTACCGCCGGCCGACGTCGAGCGGGTCGCCTGGAAGAGGCTAAAGGACGCCCGAACAGATTTCAACGAGCGCGTCAAGGCGACCGACTACGTCAGGTGTCTGTTCATCGTCAAATCGTTACACTCGATCCACCCGGACCTGAAGCCGGCCGAGGTGACGGAGGCGCTGCAGGTGTTCAAGCGCGACATCCAGGGCTTCCTCAACAAGCCAAAGCCGGTGCCTATCGACAAATACGGGCGCGCCCTGGGCGTCGGCAAGAGGAAGGCGTCAACGGCGCGGGCCTACGTGCTGGAAGGTAACGGGGAGGTTCTGATCAACGGCAAGACGCTGGCCGAGTATTTCGGCCGGGTCCACGATAGAGAGACGGCCATCTGGCCGCTGACGGCGACCGACCGCATTGACAAGTACAACGTGTGGGTGCGGGTCGAGGGCGGCGGTACGACGGGCCAGGCGGACGCCATCAAGCTGGCGATCGCGAAGGGTCTCTTGGCTCACGAGCCGGCTCTGAAGCCTGCATTGAGGAGAGGTAAGTGGTATTGGTTGTGGCACTCTTCTTCTTGCGCTGCTTTTGTTGGTTCCAGACCGCGCGAGGGCCTTGCTGATGATACCTCGCTTTTCAGCCGGCTGCATTACGCGCGACCCGAGAACGGTGGAAAGGAAGAAGCCCGGCCGCAAGAAGGCCAGAAAGGGCCTCACGTGGGTCAAAAGATAGCCGGGTCGCTTGGCGCCAGCCTGTATGCGACGGTTGTTATGGACTTATCTGGGCTTTGCATGAGCGTGTGTCCCATCACGGTCTTGTCCGCAAGCTGCTTGCGTGTATGTATATCGGCTACACCTCCAATAATTGTACAATATATGGCGTCGGGGTTTCCCAGATCAGCCTTTGAACCGGCTTTATGAGTCGGCAGGCCTATCGGATCCGGGTTTGGAGAGTCGGGTGTAGACGGCATGAACGTTGTTGTGTTGGATAGGGGGGCAGTCCGTCTCAGACGAAGCAACCCGGGCCAGGACCAGTGATTGGATGAACCTGTCAACACCGCATGGCGCAGAGTATCGTCATCTTGATCAACGCCGGGATACAATAAAGCTGCGCAAGAATACAACTTCTAGTTGTATCGTATCCTTCGGTGATTGTGTCCGGTGTTGGGCATATCGCCGTTGCATCCAAATTTCTCCTGATCCTCAAAGCGTGCTCTCTTATACCCCCTGAAATTCTCTCATACGCTCATACATAGAAACTTCCATGCTACTTTCCAAAATACATGTCAACAGCCCAGAGGTTAAAAACAACGAGAGCTATGAAACTGCGGTCTCAGCTAAGGGAGATATTGGGCACTGTATATGGTGGTTAAGTGGCGATAAACCAACAGAAGCCCTAGTGTTATGCCCAGACCCATGAGTAGATCTCATCTGAAACTGGTCAAGAAAGCGTAAGTAGTAAACCCCTCCTTCCGGGTATGTGTGCATGCTTGACTTGTCACTGGCCAACATAGCACGCCGTGTTTCATGCTAAACTTCTAGAAAAGTCCCTATAACTCCGAGCCATGGGAGAAATTAATGGGAGAAATTAGTTCAGAACTTCACCTATCCCCTCGGTCTTCTCTTTGGGCAGCCAGGCTGCCCAAGACAACCGTTACAAACGTCGTCAAAAGTGGAGTCCCTGAAACGCGTAGGGCTGGCTGCGCATGCATGCATGGCGCCGCAGTGTGTCATGTGTGGACAACACAGATTAGCCCCAGACGCCTCAGCCTGGATAGAAACAAACAGCGTGTACGTGGCATATGGGGGGCGTAGGTACCCGGAGATAGACAGGGAGCTAGCCCGAGGCGTGCTCTGACGATAACGGCTGGGCAGTCACACAGTCGGCACGTCGGTAGGTACAGGAGATGTCGGTAGGTACATAGGTTAGTAGCAAGGTCACCGAAGATCTGGAGCTCAGATCGACAGCCGCTGAGCAAACATTACAGAACGGGGCTGGCCTACAATGCAACCTTCGTTCTGCAACAAACAAAGCGCAAATAGCTCTTTTCCTTGCGTACAGCTTAGCTGAGCCCTGAGGTCGTTGGGTCAATCATTTCTGTTAGGTCGGCAGCCCTGGCTGGCTAGTTGCGAGGCTCTGCGCAGATCCGGCAGACCGGGCATGTCTTCGAATGACATCATGCCATGGCGCTAGGGCGTGTTGACGGTCAAGGGCTTGGATACTCGACAGGGAAGCTCGGAGGCATGTCCGACGACACGCACACCGACAATGTGGAAAAAAAAAAGGCGATAGCTGCCCAGGCCTGGTACACCGACCGAGCGGCGGAAAGGAATGCTCACCGGCTTGACAAGGCCCCCGGATTCTTGCTCACAATAGGACCAAAGCCGAAACAGCCCGGGTGACTCGAAGAGCCTGTCTGTTCCAGAGTGTCAGGCCGAGTAAGGCCGCGTTCCAAACTTCGAGGAGAAAATCATTGCGTGGGTACGGCTTATGGCGATGATAGCGTTGGTTTGTTAGGTTCTCCGTACCAGGTACCTCTCGATGAAATGGTTGCCGTGCTTCCGGCTAATATCAGGTGTCGCCGTCCCCAAGACACTGCTGCGTTCGCACGATCACGCGCGCCACAATGGGTTTCCAGCAAGCAAGCTCGGCACGCGGGAGAGATAGGTGGTACAGTGACCTTCCAACGGTGACGATGGTAACGGTCGGTACCTTCGATATCGTCGGCAGTGTGGTCCCAGGGTTTCCAGAAGTTTGTCGAGGCCTCGATGGTGATTCGTCAACTTGGCCCTCTTGAACTTGGCGACCCATGACCCTGGCCAGCGCAGCAGCAGAACACGGGCAGGGATCTGTGGCGGTTCAGGCAGCTGGGAAGCGACGCCAACCCCACCACCACCCACGACAAACCCCTGCTCGCAACTCGACGACATGGATCATGGATGTTGAACAACCCTCCTTCATCACCACACATTGAACCAACCAAATGGAGGAAGTACCTGTACCTTTGGGGCCGGTCAACCACATTCCAGTACACACTCAAACGAAGTTCGCAAGAGAAGTTCTTTGGAAGAAAGAAGACTTTTGCGCTCAGACGATGCCCTCCCAGCATTGGAGACCAGCGGTCCTCGGGCCGATGACGACTCAGGAGAAGGCGTTTGCTGGGAAAATTACGGTCCTTTGCAGCCGAGTTGGAAGGACAAGTTCCGGAGGCGCTGATCGCTTTTAATTTGGTCAGTATAAGCTGGGTCCTGCACGCCGCTAGAACTCGCGGGATGGAGCGCTGTTTCGATGTAGGATGTGGGCCTCTTGTCAGCCGCTGGGGGCTCAAGGTTGGATTTGCCTCTATTCTTGTTCCCTTTTCCTGCTTTTCAGGTTGTCCGGCCGATCGTGGCTAACGCCAGGCGAGAAAAAAAAGGATTGTTGGTCAGCTCTCCTTCATTAAATGGTATTTGGTCCTGAAGGAAATGAGTCTGTCGGGACTGAGGAGTTGATCGTCTCGAGCGATACGGTGCTCGATGGGGCGACCAGACGCAAACCAGAGCTCGCAAATTGTGGCCCATTGCCATCGCCATGGACATTTATCTGTAAGCCTCAAGTCTGCTCTGTATCCATTCAGGGCAGAGGAGGGGAGGACAGAGACGGGAACGTCCGCAGCCAGGGCTGCTGCCAGGTTCCGACATTCAGTCCCGCTACGGAGTAAGCCCACACACATCATAACAGCCAGGCAGCCGAGAGAGGGGAAGACTTCACACCACTGCCATTCCCATCCCCGTTGCCGTTTTGGGGACCATTGCCGGCCCCGCGGGATCGAACAGATGAAGCTGGAAAGCAGCGTTTGCAATGCTATGGACCACCCGAAAGACGGCCAATGGTTGGACGGGGAGCAGTTCGCAGCACCTCAAACGCCATTTGCATGCGGGCTGCGAATGCCACGGCCATGCCAGGTAGGGTTCGAGCCAACTTCTAGCAGGTCGTCCAGCCCGGTCCCAAGCGTTTCCGGTGTTTCCCTGAGCCTCGCGAGCGTTTGTTTGAAGCTTTCCGATGCCCAGGTGCCCAGACGTGTGGCAACGGCACCCCACTGATTGAAACCTTGCCATGCCATATGTCCATATGTGCCAGTGCATTGGGTCCATGCCCCCTGCCCTATGCGTGAGGGTTTTTAAGCTTTAGTTGCGCTTGCAGCTCCAAACACCGAACCTCTTTCTATGAGTGATGGACCGAGACCCCCTTGTCCGCCTAAGGTTTTCCTCGACTTACGTTTGGTGAGTGACGATTTTGACGGCCCGTCCACCACTGGCGAACGCAGATTACAGTTCTGAGTCGAGTCGAAATCGAAAACCCTGCCTCCTGGCCAAGCTCGATCTATCGTGTGGGCTGTTGGTCAGACAGATTGATTATACCTAGTGGGAGCTTCCCCAGAAAACTAGCCTCCGTCTACAACTCTTAATTTATTACGAACCCTTCTCGAACCGGCCACTTGCAAACAAGCCCCAACACCCTCGACCAAACCAGAAGACCCAATCGCCCGGCACTGCAAGCAACCGTGCTCTCCCGCTCCAGCATTTGAGATTGGCACTGAGACACTTGAACAAGCCTTAGCTCAGCAAGTGAGGAGAGCGAACAGAAACAAAGACACACAGGAGCCCAGAGACACAACAGCTCAGGCTTGCTTGCGAGGACGACAGAGCTGGGTAAGGAGCTAGTGGCTGTAGCCAAAGCGGCTGTCTCTCTGTCTTGGTTTGGTCATCCCGGCTCTGGTAGCAGTGGCATACGCCACAGGTCTTGGGGTCAATCCAGCGTCTACTGTTGGTTTGAGCCATTGAGCCGAGCAGTGATTCGGTGGCATCCCCAGCAAAGGATACACTAAAATTCTAGAGACGGACAGAGTACCCGAGCCATAGCCCCAGCTGCAGAGCTAGCTGCAGAGCGTGTCTTGAAAGCCACGCCCCAATCCGCGACACTGTCAGCAGACGGGCTTTGAAGACACATGGCGCTTTCTCTCGTTTCTCTGCGTTCGTTTAGCAGGCTCAGCTTCCCACATCGTTGTTTCTAAACTGGTGATGCACCTCAAACACCCGGCATTGCAGTAGACAGATTGGTCGATCGGCTGCCAGCCATCGCGTGTTCAAATTTCACTCATTGCTCACCCACTCACTCACCCACGCTCCAGCTTTCCAGCTCCTCAGTCTCTCCAGTGTCCAGCGTGCGCCCGGCTGTCCCGGCTCCGACAGGAGACGGTCTTAAAAACGCTCCGCATCGCACAGATCCGAGCTCTCAGCTCAGATCATCTTTGGCTGGCCTCCCTGCTGCAAATCCCGCCGGGGCTCTGGGGCGTGGAGCATCTTCTCGAGTGGGCGTTGCTGTAGATCTCTAGACTCCAGGGCTCTGCTTGGGTCCAAAATATCTTTCTTGGTAGGACCCGTTCTCTGGACGACATCTCTCATGCATCTCAGCCTCAGCAGCCGATTCTCCCGTCAGAGGTAGCAGGTACGTAACCCAGTGAGCTAAAATGGCTGCCTGTGTGGAGCTACTTCCAAGCAGCATCCCTCGGGACACCCCCCCCCTCCCAAAAGGACTAATGAGATGGGCTGTGTGGGCTCTCCCATTGGTAATATACAACGACAGACAGCAGTGTAAACTTCTCTCGCATTCCGCGATCCTGACCATGCTTCTGCATTACAGTTCCATCGCAGCGTTTATCTGAGAAAGACCGCAGCTCACCTACTGATCCTCTTTCAGTATTCCGACCTGAGCCTGGGATTGCAGTGGTGCTGGCCGGCCAGAGCCCATCAGTATCACGCTCGCGCCCATTCCATCGTCCTGTTATCAGAATCATATAGCCGGCTAGCCACTTGGCTGGGTCATCTCCAAAACTCCAAACCTCAGCTCTGTACTGCCGGTCAGTCAGTCCATCTTCGCCTGCTTAGACTCGTGTTGCTGAACGGCACGTCAAAAGCAATCGATCAATCGCTCACTGTCCCATAATATCTTTTCGGGGTCTGTCTTGGGCATCTGAAGTCTAAAAGTTAGATCTGGTGGTCGAGTGGTCTCTGTGCACCGTTAAGACGACGGTCCCCTGTCTTCGTTGCGCCGGCCGGACCAAAAACTCTTCCTGTCGTCAATCCCAGCTCAGAACACAGACAAACGGGCGCTCTCGTCTGTTGTTTGCTGCTCTCTTCCAGAAGGAACCGCAGAAAACCGTGGCTGAGTGTCTGCAGTCATCAGTGACGCAGCGGCAGAGGTCTGGCACCGAACTGTACGGGGCCACCGAGCCCAAGTCTGCGTGGTCGCCTTCCAGGTTCTTACTCCGAGACCTTCATGACCTTCATGAGGGCGCTTTGTCCGTCCAGCACTCCAGCAGCACTACTCCAGCCCGGCTTAAGACTCTCGGGGTCCCTTCCTTGCGCGCTACATCAGGTATTAGATCTGGGATCTTCCTGGCCCTGACTCTTTTGCCGTTGAAGCGAGTCGTTTTCCCGGGCTTCTGCACACAACCCTAATCTGCAACCGCCCAAGTCAAGGCTCTTCTTTGTATTTGTGGAAGATTCTCCATCCCCACTTTGCGAGGAACGGAATCCTGATCCAGATCCCTCGAGCGCTCGAAAGCCAACAACGAGCAACCGCAGGGCACTTCTCAATTAACTCGCGCGCGCCTGAGAGCTAGATCGATCCATCGCGTCTTTACTACTCCTTTTTTTTGTTGTTAATAACTGTTCGCTGCGAAGAGCCAACAATCAGGTTGCCCGTTTGTTGGAAATCCTGGCAACTTCTCGAGCGCGCTCTTAACTATCGAACAGAATCTGCATTGGGTTGAAGTATCGACTGCCCGTTGGCCGTGGCAGTCGACGAAAACGACTTCCTCGCATCAAGACGCGACTCAATAATCGTCGACCAAAACATATAGTCTAAGCCGGTGCCACCCTATTGTTATTATCCCAGCGCCACGATCCCGGGATTCTTGCTCAGGTGGTCCCCAGAACTTGGGTGGCGAACTCGATTGCGATTCGACGCGCGCCCCAGCCGACATCGCCCTCCAGTTGTTTCTTCTGCCTCCCATCCCGCTCGTAAATATCAAAAAAAAATCGCCGACGAAGCCGATCTTTTGCATCACAGGTTACTTCACGGAGAAACTGAAGTGAATAGGGCGCATTCGGTTCAGAGAGGTTGAATTACGCTTTGGCGAGAGTCAAGAACTTGTAGGGGATGGACGACAACAGGGGCCAGAGGAGGCAGAATGAACCGCCTATCTATTCCGCTTCGAGCTCACGACACCACCAATCGCTGCATGACCGATCACAACCACGACAGCCTTTCCCAGGCGCCGCGGAGGATAGGTTCAGGCCCGCGCCGCTCCAAACATCAGCTTCCGGGGCGGCGCGGGGAATGGGGGGCTCGAGTTACAGCGGATACTACCAGGACACTTCGGCGACAGGTTTCCCGACGACGGCCATGCCGCAAGGGGCCATGAGCTATCACCACTCAGCTGCCGACTACGGACAGCCGGACTCGCGACAAACCCAGAGCTTCGGAGGAACTTACACACCAGCCATGATGTACAACGTGCAGCAGACGGGCGGGCCACAGAGCGCGGCCGTGTACGATGCTAGCCAACAGTTTCCCTCGCGGCAGGCTGCAGGACTGCCGATGATGACGACGGATGTCACGGCCCCTTACTTCTCGAGCGAGCCAGCCAATCCCACCGCGGCTACCTCCGCCTTGCAGGCCCAGACCGCGTCGTCCAGCACGCCTCAGGTATATCAGCAGCCCGGCTTGCATGCCGGCTATTCCACCGGCAGCATGGCCGCCATTGGAGGCATGACCACCCAGACTACTGCCGCAGGCGACGTCAGAATGGAGGAGGAGTACCATCATGCCCAGTCAGCTGGGGGGTTGGATGAGGCCTACGCTCAGTACCAGACTGCGCTGAAAGAAGTTTTTACAAACATAAAAAACGGCATCCTAGCGACGGCGAGCGAATCGCTGCTCAACGTCTCGGACTGGCTGCTGTCTCATGTCGTTGAGCTAGGTACGGTGAAGCCCTGATGATATATTTGATTTGGTTGTGGTTTTACGAGTCCTTCAATTTTGAAAATTGGGCCCCAACTGGCCCTCCTGCAAGCCGAGCTCTTTTGCTGACCTATGGATTTGTAATATCACTATATATAGGCCTCACCTCTGACGACCAGAATCTCCACGGAGAACGGATCAAGTTGTGGAACGACTTCAACCATGCGTGGCTGGCGATGTTCCAACGTCAAAAGGAAATGTTGCAGGCGGAGCAGCCACCGCCGCGGCCCCAGACTATGATTTCGCAGGAAGGATTGATTAAGATGGGCAAAGAGCTCGTGAGGCTCTGCGATAGTATCGAGCGGCACGGCCTGGTCGATTACCAGTATGGTGTTTGGGAGGAGCAAATCATTGACAGTGAGTCCCTTTTCCTCCCCAGGTTTGAATTTTTTTTTGTTTGTGTGTGTGTGTGTGTGTGTTTGAAAATGGATTTTGGATTTGCTAATGATTGCGTCTCGACAGTCCTGGACGAGTGTCTTACTCTTTACGAGGCCCAACAATCCAACACTTCTGGAGGTGGGGGCGATGGTGCCTCTAGCTCTCGCCGTCGTTGAAGAAAGAGAGATCAAAAATGAAGAAAGATGTCTCTCAACTGTGAAATGGTCAGCTTTGTTCAGCCCTCGGTGACGCAAAAAAAAACAATTTTTACATCATACCTTGGTCCTATCAACTGAGCGCTAAAAAGGGGGGGAGCCAATTCGGTCCTCTTGCGTTCGTATGTTACGGGTTTGGAGCATTTCCCAATGTATCACCAGCCAAGTCTTACGCTCGCATTCCCGAACTACTTACGCTTACTAGTACTATACTGTTCCCTACCTTTTTTTTTTATGATGCAACAAAGTTTACACTCACACAAAGTTTTATCATCTCCGTTTTTTCTCGGAGTTTGGAAGTAAGGCAGGCAGGATGGACGGATGAACGGGATAGAAAGACGGTTGGTTAGATGGTTGGATGATATCTCCGCTGCCCGCTTATCTTTCTTCGGGAGAGAAGGGCTGCCCCTACCTACCTACTACGGACTGCTACTTAACATACCTAGTCTGGGTGCAGTGGGCGTTTTTGGGTGGTTGGGGGCGTGTAAGAGAAATACCATGTACATCATATTACACTCTCACGTGTTGTCGTCGTCGGGGATGTTTCTTTTTTTAAACGATATGGGATACTGACGTTTTTAATATTTCCCTTTTCCTCTTCCTTCTCTGTTTTCTCTTGACTGACTGTTTTTTTTTCTTTCCCCTCGACTGCCAACAATGTGTGGCTGGCTGGGTGACACTGATTGAACAAAAGGGACGATAATACAATACAGGAGGGAAGTTACTCTTGTTTGTGTCTTGTCCAACCGGCAGACAGACAGGCCGTTAGATCCGGTTGCTCTTCACCTTTGTTGGGCAGGAATTCTCGGAACCTGACCCAAGTCTCGGAGATTGCTCGACCAACACCGTCGAGCTAGTCTACGAGTACAAGCGCACAGTTGACAGTTAAAACTTGTCCCCGGTCGCAACGCTTATCGAAAATTCGGATGTCGCGAGCGGGAGAGAGGAATCTGGGGGGAAGAGAGAAGAGGCTAGAAGATTAGAGAAGAGCTTAGGGAAATTTGATTGATACCCACAGGGCACGGCATGGCACCATGGTATGGTTGGTGTATATGGTTCGGCGCCCTGGTGGTGGTCAAATAACCTGGGGATTCACCGCTGATTGGATCGTGGCAGCAGGCGCATGGCGGTTATGGTGAGATTCGTTGGGTGGCTCCTATCGTCTTGAACAACCTAGCCTTTCGGTTTGGCGGGGCAGACATTGACTGACTTACGGTGAAGCCTGATGACAAGCATGGAAAAAAAAGGAGGGGTTCGGGGTATGATAGTTTTCCTCTCGGAGAGACCATGCTGACCTACCTAGAGGTTAGCGGAAATGAGAGGCGGTGTTGTTTGGTTGCACACCTATGAGAGCAACCGAGCAAAAGGTAGCCGGTACATGACCGTGGTTTAAATCGTGCTACTCTACCATGACAAAAGATAGATTGGGACTTGGACTGTTCGGGGGCGGGGCTCGGCTACACAGCATGAATGGTGGTTGGATGTGGCTAGACTCGAAAGATAATCTACTAGTACAAAAAAGAAGTGAAAAGGTCCAAAAGAAAAAAACAAGAGAGGTGTCGTGTTATCGGGAAATTGAGAAGTTGTACAGATTCCACATGCATACATACCTACTTGTTTACTCGTCCCCTTCTGATTGATTCACCGTGATCGGGGAAGGTGTGGCGATTCCTGAATCCCAGCGCAGCTGAAAAGTAAACAAGCCCCCTAGCTTACGATTTACCCCGCCAAAATTTCACCGAGCCCCTCCTCCAATCCAGGCATCTGCGCAGAGTCAACCGATCACCTATCGGACTCAACCAACCGCTTGATTTTCAACCAATCCCTCGGTATAGCATGCCCGTCCGCTTCCAAACCTACGGGTTCCTTGATTTCACTGGTACCGAGAAGGAGGGGCAAAGTTCGTTTGTGTGATGATACTACCTGACCTTAGCTCACCTTTACCGAGGGGGAGGGGGAGGGGCAGTCGTCCAACTCACCAATGAGAGCTCGAGATCTAAAATCTGCACGCTCGTGTGGAACTCAACTTTTTTTCTTGCGGAGAGAACTTGCGATCCTGCCCTGCTTGTCCACACTGCTGGGACGGAGCTAATCTTGGTTTTTTTTTCGGAGTCATTGCGATGGTTGAGCCATTTTTGAGTTGTTACGGGAGCCAATGGGAAGGCAGAGTTTGGTTGTCGGGATTCCGTTTTGGTCAAGGGGAGTTTGTTGGCTTCCGGTAGGCTAGATGCTTGAGTGGATGGAGATTGTGACGATGGGGAAGTGTCGGTGTGGAAAAGAGCTGGAGGCAATTTTGTTGCTCGGTAAGTAGATTGGATGACGTCGTGATGGGGGAGGATCGGAGCGAGATCGCGGGGCGTTCACTCTGACAAAAAGATCTGAAGAATCGGCAGCCCTAGTCTTGAGTTCTCAGCTTTGTGTAAGTGGGCATTCATAGGAGCCATGTACCGCTACCTATGGTGGGCAGTCACAGCCTCTAGCCAATATCGTTCAATATACCCTTTACTGCACCCTAAGTCTTCGAGGGCAGTCGTCCTGCCGAACTCAATAATGTGAAATGGGAGCAGAAGTTACACCTATTTGGAGTACATGCAAGGTAAAACCTAGCTACTAGTAAATACTCCCTCGACCAGACCGGTTACATCAACCGTTGTGATACCTTCCCGCTTTGGATCCTTGCAAGTGAACCGCGTTACTGTCTCGCAAGATCTGTGCTACCTGAGTGGCGACAAAACATTGGAGGGAGCTATGCCGATAGCCAATCGTGCTGATCTATCGATACTAATCAGGTGACTTCGGCCGTGTGGTCCATTATGCTGAGGTAAAATATTTAAATTAAATTCTTCAGCCAGTCGCTTGTTCATCTGCGAACGTTGTTGTTGAGTTGGTCTGTTTCTATAGTAGGTTGTATGTGTCGGTTCCATCATGCCCACGTTTTGAAACTCAAAGTCGATTCTATGATTAGTTTTATGTTATGATCGAGAGAACAGGATCTATGGTAATAGCTCAGCCCTTTGTTCGATATTGTCAACAAGAGGATATATCTACCCCTGAAATCCCCCACGACATCCACGTACCTCACATCCCCGCTCAACAGAATTCGAAGCAAATACACGGGCCCTTGCACACCCCAGCATACGGCCTCCAAGCCCCGGTCTCAGACTCGCATCCTGTTCTCACTCCCTTTTGTGTCACTGTCACACAACAGCGGCCAGCCAACCGCGACCGTCGGGGGCTCATGGTTACATATTGCATGTCTCGGGCGGGTTACCCGAAAGGTGCAAGAGACATTGGCTGAGTCGAGAGAAGCCATGGCTTGGTGATGATAACGTGGGCAGTTGTGTAGTTGTGACCAGTTGAGGAGGGATGGATTGAATCCATGACTTGAGTTGCGTCCTTCAACGGTGTTCGGATACCAGTCCGGTGTCTTCTCTTGTATACCACAAACCGTAATGTATGAGGACAACTTCGAAGTTGGAGGTAACGACAGTAACAGTGAATCATGCATAGCAACTCGGAGAAGTTGGGAATGTCTCAGCGAGGAGACTTCGGCGTCTACGAACTGCAAGCGGCGAGGGTAAAATTAGTCAGACTCGGGCCCTGGCAGCTCGTAACTCGGGTCGAGGTGACAGTGCATTTCGGTCCGTTCCTGGATGTGGTCTTACAGGAGGGTTGCAAGTTGTGGATCTCGCGTTCGCTAATTATCAGTGAGTGTAGTAAAATAAATTGGTAGACTGGTAGACTTTTAATGCGGCCGATAAGAAGGAAAGTTTGGGATGCCAGGAACTATGACAGCCTAGGATTCTCTTTCTTGGAAACGCAAAAAGCTGTGAAAGTTGATTGAATTTCACTAGAAACTTATAAGCTTGTGTGGAATTTTTGGATCTTGGGGAGACAATACTCTGCTTCTAGGACTCGGAGTAACTGAGGAGGTAGGTAGATGGAGTATCATTCACAGACCAATCCCCTAGATAGATGTTTCCATGCAAGATGCATATTAGAAACCTTAGAAGCACTGATCTCAAGATTGCTTGTGTTAACAAATTCCCTATTTCGGCCTGTGAGGAGCTGTATCAAGCTTCATCTTTGGGACCTGCGAGAAGTCCCTTGACGCTTAGTCAGACAAGTTTCAACCTCAGAGATGTGTCCCATTCGTATATTTCGAAGACTGGCCGTCTTCTAGAACTGTCACGAGCCAGAGTTAGCCTCGTCATACCCTGGAATAAGGGTCTATCTAGCATAGGGTTAGGACTAGCACTAGTGTAGGTGTCCAAAGTGAAGCCGCCCGCGATCCTGATGAAAACCCAGAGCCGATACGTCTCCTCAAACTTGGAACTCTGGGATTCTAAAGTGAAGCTGATCAATCACAAAAGCGTTTTACAGTCAGAATACGAGATCTCCCATGTTCAAACCCTCAATCGTTGCCGGAATTCTCGGCATAGTGCCGTGAAGCAAACATCCACTTTGTTTACATCATCTCCACTATCGTCGACCAGGGGTCGCTTTAGGCTAGGGTTAGGTCTCCATCATAGCGACAGGGCCCAAGACATAGGTCAAGAAGTTCGAGGAGTTATATTTGCCGGTGGACTTATTGTACTTATATCTTCTGGGGACCGAATGAGCCGCGGGTAGGATGTCTCACAGCAGCTAGAATACCCCTGACGAACATGTATCCCTGGTGATAAGAAGAGGTGATAATAAGATATCTAAAGAGGTTGAAAGCGATGGAACTACGTTGCTGTAAGCCTGAACTACACGAATGGTGCGCAGCAGATCTCTAAAGGAGTGCAAGCGCCATGATCTAAAAAGAGCACAGTGAACATGCATCCATCTCGACGCAGCAAACCGTTCCAGCGATGACAGTCACATAGTATGAAGCTTCTGCAGATGTGAAATAAGGTATTACACGCCATTATACAGCTCGTTATACAAGCTAATATAGCCGAGCGGGCATATCCGTCGCCCCAAGTGGTATCAGCATGACCTATATGTACAAGTCTATACAAAAGTAGATCCGGCAAACGCATTCCCACGCGACTAGCTGGGGGAGCTCACATGCACGGAGATACAGATCTATACATCAGTCATACTCGTCATCAAGTATCCAAAACCGTCAAGCCGACCATGCTCAGCAGCACCTGAATACAGGATCCTTTGGATCCATGTGAGGGACATTACCCTCGTTCATCATCACCAGCAACTCATGCATGTCGTGACCGTTCGACATGCCAATCTAAAAAAAAAAAAAGAGCCGACCACTCATTAGTCTTGCGCTTGCTCCTGCTCCTGCTGAGCAACTTCACCCGATTCGCTGCCCGCCCTCTTGCGTTTCCTCTTCTTCCGTTTCTTCTTCTCCTCCGTCTGCTTTTCGGGTAGCGCAAAAGGATTAACCCTCATATAAGCACTGACATCTGCCTGGTACCTCAATGTCTCAAGATACTGCTCGACACACTCGAGCACCCGCGGCTGTTCGTTCTGCTCGCCCGTGTACTCAGGCACGATGATGGCGTTGTACGGCTCGGCGCGCGCCTTCTCCGGCGTGTCGTCGATGAGGATTGTGTTGGACTGGTCCCAGCCGTGCTCGCCCTCTGCGCCAGCCGGGTAGGACTGGGCGACACGAGGGTCAGCCCACAGTTTCGTCAGCCGCTTGTAGCACATGGTGCGCTTCTTGAAGTCAGAGGGCGACAGGCCAAACTTGGTGCGGCCCCAAATGGCGACAACGCGCGAAAGGAGGTCGGGTGAAAGCAGCTTCTGGCAGATGATGCGAACATTTTCGTCGCGTGTCGAGGACCAGATGACGACCCGATACTTCTCGATGCACTTTCGGATGAATTGGCTCGCGAGAGGCCGGGTCTGGTACTTCGTAGGCTTGTGCTTGTCCGGCCGGTAGAGAAGGGTGCCGTTGAGGTCGATGACGATGAGGAGAGGGCGTGGTTCCTCAACGGCGACGGGCTCCTGCGACGCACGCTTCAGGTAGGAGGGGGTAGGGTTGGGCACGCCACCTGACTCCTTTGACGGGGTATTGATGGGATCGGGATGACGGCCGTCTTTCTTCATCATCCTAGGCGATCTGGGCGACGGCAACGCTTCGGGGGACTTTTCTTGTTTTAGAGCAGGTGAATTGTTCTGGAGCTGTGAGGAGTGTTCGCCCACAATCGGAGCAGGTGTATTTTGGGACTGTGGAAAATTTCTCCAGAGATTCCCAGCGGTTGGCGTAGGCACTTGGGGTTGTGGCATGGTGGGATAAGCCCTTGCCTGTTGGTAGGCAGGCATGGTCGCAAAGAAGGGACCAAAGGATCCATTGGCCATAGGCCAGGGGAACTGGCCGATCTGCCGGAAATATTGGCCCAGATGCCTGGTATATTGCCCCATATCCCCGATATACTGACCCATTTGCGCGAAGTAGGGTTGATAAGGAACAAATTGGTATGGAGCAAACTGGCAAGGAGCGAAGGCCGGAAAAGGTTGAGCCACAGGAGGGGTAAAAGCGGAGGTACTCTGGGCAGGAGGATTGGCAGGCCGCGACTCATAGCCATCGTCGCGTATCGGCACATCTACCAGCGGTGATCTATAGACGTCGTCCTTCTCGGGGGGGATAACCGCTGGCGGCTCGTAGTCGTCATCGTCATCGTTCTGGATCAGCTGCGCTGGTTGCCCTGACCTATTCGAGACCGTCTGGACTTGAGCTGGAGTTCGACCAGGTGACGGAGTAGATCGAGAGTTAGTCGATGAGCTACAGTCCATGGCCGAAGATTGAACAGAAGCCGGCGTATCAGGCTCGCCAGACCGCTTGGGAGGGGGTGTCCCGTCCCCGAGCTGTCCGTTGTCCATGGTTACCGACTTGGGGCGCAAGGTATGATAAGCGGTATGAGTGAGATGGCCCAGTGAGAAAGAGAGAGAAAATGATCGGCTGTTTGCGATCCTCACTAGTTTATTTAGGCGCGCCAGGTTTGGAAATATGGGAGCAAAAGAATGAGCGCCTGAGGATCGCGATCGCAATGTGAGGTCAAATATGTCGGTTTGGTTTGGGTTTAGACTTGAGTAGAGGTTGTGAAACGCGTGCGCAGAGTGAAAGGGAAGAACGCGAATCGCAGTCTCAGGGTTTGGTCGCGACAGGTGACACTGCTGCGCGCCTGTCTGATTTTTGCCCAAGAAATTTCCTAGGCTGCTCTGGCGCCAATTGAAGAGGCGCGCAGATGAGAGAATGGAGGCAGACGGCTGCCGGTGTCTCATGGTCAACCAACACCGGCAGTCGCCCACGCTGCTGCTGCTTTCATCGAAGGAGTGAGGAGTTCCTCTTGTTCCCGGAGCGGCAAAAAGCCGTTTTCACTCCACAACGTTTGATCGGACAAGGGGCTGAAAATTACGTCGATGACCCGATCTCACGTTCAACCCTAACCCGTAAATACTACAATTACAGAATTAAACTGTGTTGGTATCGTATGCAACAACGAACATCAACCAAACTTGAACCCAGACGACATGACATCAAGTTTTAGTAGATAGCATTTGACGCCCTCAATATTGAATAACAGAAAACAAGATGAAGCATATAGGTAGTGTGTTGCGTGTTGTACATCATTCAGCTTCATGGCTTGGCATAGAACCAATATCTATCACCCCTTGTTAGCATCCTCCAATACCCGTGGTTCACAATGAGGAGGGCACTTACTGTGTAGCATACTCAACCTGAAATTCCCTCCCAATCGGCATCCCGCTACACGTCTGCGGCGCACTCCCGCCAACAGTCTCAATCCTATAGACTTCTTGTAACCCGCCCGTCGACTCCTTTGCAACTAGCTTCAGCCACGGCACAGCGGGCTCACCACCAAGCCCCTTAGCCGCCGTCTCGGGCGCCTGCGCGCTCGTATTTTTAGCGCCCACAATCCCTCCCATCTTCCACAGCGGCGAGACGTCCAGATCGAACCACGGCGCGCCGTCCTTCGTGAAGAAGTGTACGCCGCTGACAGCCAGGTTGGACGGGGCCAGGCGCTGGGTCTCGAGGGATTGGTGGAGGGGGAATTGGAGGGCTGCGTGGCCGAGGAGGGAAGCGAGTTCCGGGGAGGTTGCGACGGTGCAAGAGGCGTTGAAGAGGGTTGCTACCGCGCCGGTTTGTCTGGGTTTTTCGGCACCGGGGTCGCAGGTGTAGTTTTGTGTGCCACGGCCGATGGCGATGTGCTTGAGGACGAGGCCTGGGGAGGGGGGTGGTAGGCTGGACCGGGCGTCTAGGGGGGGGGGGGTTAGTCATGCTGTTGGGAAGTTGGATCTGGTCAGGGGCCGGCTTACACTCTGGGAGGGAAACTTGAGAGAGGTCGCACGCTGGTGGCGCGGCCAGCTTCTTGCTTTCTTGGACCTTAGTCGCCAGCAGGTTGAAGTAGTCGGAGATGGCCCGGATGTTGTTAGGGATGGTGTCCAGCACATTGATGCGTGGAAAGGGAGGGGCCGCCCAGGCGCAAGTGGCTAGCGTCGACGCGACGAGAGAGAATCGCATGGTTGTTGTGGCCAAGAATATGTTGACGTGTACTGAGGATGAAGTAGGGGTCGTCAAGCGCAAGTTGTATAATATTGGGGAGAGGTATTGAAGGAAAATCCAGGAGATTTGAGGTTGAGGAATAAATCAAAGGAAACAGCAGGCCAATCCAAGATGAATCCGGATTTTCGGCCGAATAGTAGATATTATTATGTGAATAGGCGTTGAACAGTAGACAGTGAGTATCGCGAACATACTGCGCCCACGAGGGAGGATAGCCTCGTATAATTATACTCTAGAATGACTGCAGGACAAGCTTCCTCAGGGGCTGCTCCTTTGTGGCGGCAACGCAACATGGGCCACGGCAGCCAGCCGCCGTGGCAGCTCGCCTGCGCACATGGACAAGGTAACACTAAATTTCCATCCAAAGCGCCATTCCGCCATCGAAACCCTTCATTCCCCATCTTCCATGCCGTCAGGCAACCGCCGACTGCCCAGGGCCCGGGAAGAGGAACTTGTTGGCGGGAAGCGCGCTCGCTCGACGTTCAAAGAAGCTCCAGCCAGACCCCTGTCGATGGGGTACCCTGGGCCACCCCTAAGCGCGATGGTGGGGAACGAGAAAGCGATAAAGTGGACTAATTTCCTAGATCCTGCATTTTTCCCACTTAACTGAGCTGTTGCTCTCTCATCTGATTCGTCAATACGACCGAGCGCAAGCTATATTTGCCCACAAGCCTGACCCTCCCCATCACACAACCTGAAGCTTCAGCTGCCGCCTTGTTTAGCTACTGACGAGCTTCCCTTTTCGCGCATCCGAGGCCATCCAACAGCCGCTTGCCCTAACATATATTGCCTCTTCTGGCTTACTGCCGCAGCGGCTCATGAGACATGGGTATGTTCCATTTTCCCCAAAGTGGCCTGCATACCGCCAAGAGAGCTTGTTCGCGTGTTGAACGTGTTAATCAGCCAACGAACCAAGAACTAGTGGTATCCCCAGATCTCCGATGAGCTAGATGGTAGGGTAGCTTAATGGAGGGTCACCGCATCGGAATACCAAAGATCCGCTTCTTTTCGTAGACTCGGGTCATATTGTTGGCATGCTCCCTGAGCTTCCGTACTTGTTTGCATGCCCAAAATATACTCTTTCCTTGACAGCGGTATTCCAACTAGGCAGTAGGGCTTCTTTCAACAGCCCTGCGAGATGAAAGACGACCTCGTGTCAGCCAGACAGATGCCAACGATATTTCCCGTCTCCCTTGCTCGGTTCGTCTCCAATCAACTCAACGTTGCGGGTCGATGCGCCAAAGTTAGCCGCGGATGGCAAGCCGCAATAGACCTAGGTGACAGCTTGGCCCTCTTGGCAACCTGTCCCTAGACGCCTTGGCCAACCTTCTTTCTCAGCAAAAGTCCTTTCTCCGAGTCCCTCCAATCTTGCGCAAACATCATACGCAATTCGGTAGCGGCCAGCCGAAGTGGCCATCCCGCCCAGCCAGTCGGACACGATTCTCCGAGCGTACAGCAGCGTCATACCTGCATGTTTATCTGGCCACCTGCTTCCTGGCCGTAGAGTCTTGAAAGAAGCGAGTGCAGGTACGTGGGTAGCGCATTATGTAAGGTGGCGCGCGCATCGACAACACAGAAGAGCAAAGAGATTCTTGCTTAAACGCTGGCCCTCTGCTGCGGCCTTGTGTCCCCCCCCGACCTACCGTCCTACCCGCCTGCTGGACCGGGTCCGGTGGGGTCAGGTCAATTCAGTCCTCAGTCCTGGTTCCCGTTCCAGATTCGTGCAAACACCAGGGCTTTGAACTAGACTGAGATCTTTGCCCATGTTTGTCCGGGTTCTGAAGGGTGTTCTATGGGTTGTAGCACAGGACACGGGAAACGGGATACTCAGCAGCCACCTTCGCTCATGACGTCCATGGGAGGACATGTTCCGTTGCTTCGGGACACGCTTGGCGAGAAGGTTGGATAAGGTGTTGGTAAGCCGTTTAGCCGCTCTGTCGGGTTCGTCGGTGACTACAGCGGACGGTTGACTTCCTGGTTTTGCGGGAAAGAAGTAATATGATCCTGGAAAGTAAAAAGACGTGGGGTAGAATTTTGGAGTCTGCCAGTCTTGGTCCTATTCTCGATGTTGTCTATCTATCCACAGGCACAACAAGGAACTGTTCATACGTGGGGGTTGTAAACGCTTCGGAAACCCTCAGTCCCGATGCCCGTCCAGTGGCACAGCAGCGACATACACAAATTATATGCTCTCGAATCCGACCCAAGACCCAATCAATCGCCCTCCACCAAACAAGGTCCATACATGCAACCCAGATCATGTGGTCCCCTCCTCCACAAAGTTAAGGACATTTCGAGGACTGCATTGGCGTGGCCAATCTCCTGCGCGTCATTCTGACAGGCGCCCGCAAAGACGGCTAGCTGCTTCTCCTCCAACCGAAGAACCGCTGAGATTCCGATGGTGCAGGGAAGAAGACCGCCTTGCTCAGCCAGCCTGGACAGGTCTCTAATCGCATTTACATCCAGACAAGCTCACACATCCAAAATGCCCATATCCTTTGCTTGCCAGCATTATGCCAACACAATCAGCTTCCCTAATATTACACAGTCTCACAGGTTACACAACGCCATTTCTCCCATTCAGTCAACTCTCAACCTGCCCCTCCCTCCAATCCCTCCCCTCCCCCACAACCCCAGCATCACCTCCTGCTCCCGCAGCCGTCCCTACCACTGCCCCTCCAACCTCAACAAACCGATCCACCTCGCAGCCTCCCATCCAAAACAGTGTATAAAACACCAGCAAATGCAACAACACCACATAGCACGCAAACAAGTTCCGTCTCGTCCTCGTGCTCAGTACCGCTCTAGACAGGGAATACACCACTCTCTCAGGGAGGCTCATCCTCTGATAGGCTCGGGCCGACTCCCGACCACGGAACGCCGCGAAGGGGGACAGATGGGAGAGGTTTGATTCGTATGCCTTACGGTAGCGGTCTAGCGTGGGAGGAGATGGTGAAGTGCTGGGGGAGATGGGGATTGTGGAGGGGTTAGGGTTTGTTGCCGCTGATGAAGAGCCGACGGCGAAGGCCGAGGAAGAAGAAGTCATCGCGCTGGAGGTGGTTGCGCGGTTGTAAGAGGCAATGTAGCGCGTTTTCTCGTAGAGATTGAGGTTATCCCGCTGGAGGGCTGCGACTTCCTGCCGCAGCTGGGAGATGGTGCGGTGAGCTTCTTTGAGTTCCGTCTCGAGCTCGGCGTTGCGCTTTTTGAAGCGGTCACGTTGGGCCGTGATCATGGGAAGGATGCCAGAACCGGGTGTGGAAGCTCGGTCGTCGGACGGGTCGCGCGGGTTGAAGCCGCTGATGATGGAAGAGGTCGGGGAGGTGCGCCCGCCGGGACGGCGGCTGGGGGCTACAGAGGGAGCGTAACGGTAGGCAGTGCCGGCGACGGAGGCGCCCGAGGGGAAGGCGTTGGTTGCTTCGGCTTGGATAGTGGAAAGCTCGTTTTCCAGCTTTTCGTTGAGGCTTTGGGATTTCTCGAGCTCGGCGTTGGTGCGGGAGAGCTCGTCTTGTAGCTTTTGAAGCTTACCCTGCAGATCTTGGTGGGAGACGCGCAGGATGGTGAGCTCGTCGCTTAGTTTCTTGTTGCGAGCAAGCAGGAGTTGCTCGAGGTTGTCGCCTTTGCTTGAGAGCTTCGAGCTGTTCTCATCGGCAACAGCGTCGTCATCGTCGCCGGTGGAGAACTCGATACTCTTCAGTACCTCAAGCTCTTGCTTAACTTCATCGTAGTCACTCCACTTCTGCACCTTGGCCTTCAGCGCATCCCTCTCCTCCTTGAGCAGTACAACCTCTCTCTCTAAACCACGGAGCTTGGTATCCAGATCCCGCTTCAAGCCCTCCTTCTCTACCCGTACCGCCTCCAGCTTCCGGATGAGTGAAGAGTTCTCAGACTGCATCCGCATGTAGGCCGGGTCATCCTCTAGGGACGTAACAGTCTGAGAAGAGGCTTGAGACTTGGCCTGGGCTAGCTCCAAACGGAGCTGCTCGTTCCGAGCTTCAACCTCAGCAAGCCGTGCCGTGGTCCGCTCGAGGTCGGCGTTGACCATCTCTAGCTCGGCACTGGTAACATGCCCCTGTTGGTTCTCGGCATCGTCTGCCTTGCCCAGCCGCTGGTTGACCTCGTAGCTAGCCTTGATCTCGTTAAGCAGGCGCTCCTGGTTCTCAATCTTCTCCTCCAGCGCTCTCTCCTTGGCCTCCCAGTTGTCCTTCTTTTCCTCCAGCACAGCAGTCCATGATGACTCGACCTCCCTGACCTTGCTCTCCAGGGTCTCCTCAAGCTTCTTGCGCGTGTCACGTTCTGCCTGCAGCCTGGATTCCGTTTCCTCCAGCTGGCTTGTCAGCCGGGAAACCGTCTTCTGCAAATGCTGGTTCTCCTCGGTCAGCTTCGGCAGAGTGTCTTCGGAGACGAGCATCGAGTCGACCGACGCCTCGAGCAGGGGGTAGGGGTCGGGGGCTTCGGACAGGGCTGTGTAGGCATGAAGGAAGGCTGAGTTGACGGACTTGGAGTGGTTTGTCAGGAGATCGATAAAGGTTTGGTAGGCTGGGAACGTAAGAGATCAGAATTTATCCTGAGCGTCCGTGATTCAGGGGTACAAGACTTACCCTTAAGCAGGCCCTTGATCTCGGCAAGCTTGCTAGCATCGTCAAGCTTCCTAAAGTCTTTTGTCTTCTGCGCCAGGTCCTTCCTCTGCACGGTCGAGTCGCGCTGGAAGGCAACGATCTCGGAGGCAGTGTTGTCCAGGTTCGAGATGAGGTTCGTGAAGTCAACGGCTAGAGCGAGGGGCCAGCATGGTCAGCCGAGAGCACATGCAACACACGGGAGAGACGGACTCGTGTCACGACATACTCCTCCATTGTGAGATGGCGTTCTGGAACTTGTTGGCCGTGCTTGGGGGTGCCGGGGGCACGGTGTCTGCGACGGACCCTTCGCCCATTACGTCTTGCTGTTTGCGTTGCGCGCGGCTGTTGGTGTGATAATGCGATGACGGACCTGTGGGAGAATGATCTCAAGACGACGTGAGCGCTACGGGGAGTTTGGGATTACAGGCTATGAGAACTCGATATCAGATATGGTAATGTTCATCGGTAATTTTGGGTGTTGATCAGGCCGGATGCTGTCCTTGATCACAAGCTGCCGCATTCCAGTTAGATTCTGTCTTGAAACGGGTTGAAGCTGAGAGCCGAAGCTGTCGTCGTGGCCGCAAAGCCCACACGGACTGCCGCAGATGCCTGCGCGTAACGCCAAGACCAAGTGAGTGGGCCCAGTTCCTCTTGGTTCCGGTGAGGTGCGGGAGCTGATGCAGGGGACCAAACTCACCTCAAGCGCAATGTGGACTCACATCGCAACTGCAGTTTGCTCAACACCAAATTCCAAGCCACAGCTCATCATCAGTCTTGTCGACCCCTCAAGTGTTCCGTGACACGCGCAATGGGCCACAAAGGTCACGGCTGCTCAAGAACACCAAAATTACGCTAAAGTTACCACACACAGATAGACACGGAGGACATCTGGTCAGTCCCCTAAATTGAGCCCTCGAGGTTCACGCGAGGCTTAGCTTATTGCCCCGCATCTCGCATCCGATTGTCCCGTCACCCGAGTACTCAGACTCGCTTCACTTACGACAGTCCTTACACATCTCATTCGGGACGATGGTTCGGAGTGAGCAATGGCGTCTGATGTTCAGAGGAACAGGGCCAAAGGAGCGCAGGCAATAGCCCCAACAACGCTCCCAGGAACGCTTCCCTACGCCTTGCGCCCGCTGTTGCTGGATGTTCCCTTGTCAGCTGACGGAAGAAATGAGAATGTCAAAATAAACTGCGTTGAGTATTATGGTATGAAGCTACTTGGTCTTGGTCGATATCAAGTACCTATGTGAAATCTTGAGCACAAGCCCTTACTGACCTGGCCATGGCTTAACCCTTGCCCCTTATTCCAGACGGCAATCTCTATGTCGGCACCAGCGCTTCGGAGCTTCTCCATTTCTTTAGAATACCCCCAGATCCCCAGGATCCCAACGGACAATCAGCCTTTATTCTCGCCTCTCGTTTGCCCCCAGCCTACTCCGAGAGCTCCAATAGCTCGCGTCCCGGTGTACAGCAGATCCTCCTCCTGCCCCGTGTCGGGAAAGCATGTGTCCTGTGTAACTGGACCGTCACCTTCTACTCACTACCCGAACTAAGTCCAGTGTTTGGAACGACCCAGGTCCGAAACTGCAGCTGGATCGGTGGCGTGGACTTGAATGAGGGCGTGGTTGGCGTTGGGAATGATCGGTCTGGCGTGACTATCCTGCTCTCCCTGAGCCGCCGCATCCAGGTGGTCAGGATAGGCGAAGAGGATGCACGCGTTATTAGGGTATGGTATCTGATCCTTTCAGTTTGTGATTCAGTCTGACCGGGCTGCCAGAAAATCGATTATGCCGGAAGCACGCTCACTGTGCGTCGGGATTCGATCGCCTGTGTAGCCGATGCGAGAAGCTACGCCTTGCTGGACATCGATCGCCAGCTCAAGATCCCGTTGATGAGCATCTCATCATTGGACGAGCCGCAGCCTGGTAGTGTGTTTGGTCAACCACAGGATATTGCGACTGCCGCTGGTGGCAGCTTGTCCAGGAGTTCATCATCAGCGACAGCTCACCCGCCATCTCACGTCCACTCCCATTCTAGAAGTACAAGTTTTGGTGACTTTATCTCTGGCATGAGGAGACCCGACAGGAGACCGAGCGAGCCTGAGGAACCAGTGTTCCAAGCCCCTGACGCCCCTACGCCCTCGCGCAGTCCTGCCCCAGCAGACAAGCCTTTGCCTGCCCCTCCCCGAGACGGCGCCGACCCGTCACCTCCTCAGGCTACCGGTTCTGCCCCTCCGCGCGCCGGTACCCCTCCGGTACGAGCGACGCCATCGCCGAAGCCAGGATCAGCTCCCTTAAAGCCACACATCCTCTCACCAACACCGGAAGAGTTCCTCCTAGTAACGGGAACAACACCTCTTGACCCAGGAATAGGCATGTTCGTCAATCTCGATGGTGACCCTACTCGCCCGACACTCGAGTTCGCTCGGTACCCCAAAGAGATTGTGGTCGACAATAATGCCAACCCCCCTTCAACACCAGCCTCATCACGTCCTCCTCAAGTCGAAGAGAGCTTTGTGCTTGCTTCCATGACCAGGGACTTCGAAGATGGTACTCATCATGGGCTTGAGATTCAACGTTTCGATGCCAGCGTGGGTGAAGATGAGCCGGAGAAATGGTGGCTGGATATTTGTGATATGAGCTCCAAGAAGCTCCCTACCAACACACCAGTCGGTGTCCGTCTGCTTCTACAGAGCGAGGAGGTAGTGTTCGACGACGTGGTAGATCGCTTGTCCCAGCGTCGATTCACCCCGTTCAAGGGGCCGCCGGAGACCCCAACAGCGTCTCTGAAGCGCACAGATTCTCGTACGGCCTTGTCCTTAAGAAGGCTCTCAGAGGAACAGCAGCTCTTCGATCAGTCCGATGACGAGACTCTGCCCCCTGGGTGGGAAGAGACGAGGAATCAAGAAGCAGAGGAGTTTGTGCGGCAGTTGGCGAAAACTTCATCGCGTCTAGCCATCTGGGCTGGACCTGACATCTGGTGGGGTGTGCGAAACCCTCTACTTCTTCAGCTGGATGCTGTTCTCGACTCTGCTGCTACCCAGCCAGGTACGGTCGAGTCACGGCACCAACTGCTGACCCTGTTGGAGTCCATCAGAGATCGAGAACCCACCACCGAGCTTGAGTTCATGACACTTGGTTACGTCAGACAAAAAGCAAGTGTAATGCTGCTGGCTACGTTCCTGAACTGTCCCGAACCACCGTTCAGCGACCTGGAGCGACAAGCCATGGAGGTTAATCTTCTCAACGGAGACTTGGACCCGCGAGTCGTCCTATCCCTGATTCCCGCTCTTCGTAACGAAATCGTGGTGAAGACCAGAGGTATATGGATCTACGGTGGGGTCAAGACCCTCGTTGACAGCTACATCGCCATGGGGTCGGAAGAGGTGGTCACACCCTCGATCTGCACATTGTCTCCTCCCGTTCTGCAATTCCTTAGACGCTTCTTGCTGGCCTGGCGGAAGAAGAAAGGTTTTGGTAGCATCTCGGACGAGGTCTTCCGGACGGTTGACGCATGTCTGTTGTTGGTCCTACTCGAGCTTGACAAGGACACTCCTCCCGGTCAGACGGGAAAGCCAGGTACGGTCAGGAAGGAACTGTACGACCTGGTCGACCATGGAGTAGACTGCTTCGACCGGGCAGTCAGCCTGCTCGAATCGTATCACCGTCTCTTTGTCCTCAGCCGGCTATATCAACATCGCAAGATGATCGCAGACGTGTTGGCAACATGGAAGCGTATCATTGAGGGAGAGGAAGACAAAGGCGGCGAACTCGGCGATGGTGAACTGCGCCTACGCAACTACCTCTCTAATATTAGCAACCAGGCGCTGGTGCAAGAGTATGGTCTATGGCTTGCCAGTCGCAACCCTAAGCTTGGCGTCCAGGTCTTTACGGACGAGAAGAGCAAAGCCCCCAAGTTCCAACATTCTCAAGTTGTTGCTCTTCTCCGGGCTGAAGCCCCTGGGGCGGTCAAATACTACCTAGAGCACCTCGTCTTCGGCAAAGGCAACACATCCTACGTCAACGAGCTCATCACATATTACCTGGACATTGTGATCGCCGACCTACAATCCTCGCCGGTGTCGTGCGAGAATATTGCTGCCTCATACGATACCTACCGAGCTCTGCAACCCCCGAAACCGACTTACCTCCGCTTCCTCACCGACAACGCCCCACCCGACAACGAGGCCTGGCAGGCCCGTCTCCGTCTGCTCCAGCTCTTAGGCGGCGGCCACGACTACGATGCCGATGCCATCCGCCAGCGGATCGACACCCTCACTTTTCCACTTTCTGCCAACAACGACGATCAACAACCCCAACAAACCGACTCCTTCACCTTCACAAGCCACCACCCGTCCCACCTCCTCGTTCCCGAAGCCATCATCCTCGCTGCGCGTGCCTCCAACCACGCCACAGCCCTCCATCTCCTGGTGCACCGCCTAGGCGACTACGACACAGCCGTATCCTACTGTCTCCGCGGCAGCGGTGCCCTGCTCCCCGCAACAACCGTCCACACAGCTACAGGAGGCCCATCCGCATCAGTCCAAAAAGCACTCCCGCCCACTTGGGCAGACCAATGTGCCCTCTTCAACACACTCCTCCGCTCTCTCTTGTCTCTGCCCGACGAAGGCGGCGAGCGTCTTGCCCAAACAAGTGCCCTGTTGGAAAGGTTCGGTGCGTGGTTTGATGTGCTTGAGGTGCTACCTCTGCTGCCGGATGAATGGCCCGTGGAGAGCGTGGCTGAGTTTTTGGTGAGTGCGTTGAGAAGATTGGTGGCTGAACGGAGGCAGGCGGAGGTAGAGAGGGCGATGAGGGCTGTGGAGGGGTTGAGGGTTGGTGCCGAGTTTGTGGAGGTTGTCAGGGAGAAAGGGGCGGTTGTTGTGGAGGAGGATGGGGTTGAACAGAGGGTGCGGATCGAAAGTTAAGGGGGATTTGACGCATTTGGCATAAGTAGAATAGTTTACTTTTAATCAGTGTTCACTGATTCTTTGGTTGAGTTTCATGCTTGTTGAGTCTTATCAATGACTGTTCACATCAAGGGGAGACACTTGTCGTAATGTTATTGTGAAATCACAAAGTATTCTCTAGCCTTCAGCTTCTCTCTTTCTGTGAATACTGTGGTTTCTTCCTGTAATTACGACCAAGCTATTAGAAAATACAAGTTCCTTGTATTTTCATCACAAGAACATTAGCTAAACCGATAAATGATATCGACATATTCACTGGCATAAATAGCGACTAGTATTTCAACATTAGATAAAAGTCGCGAGATCCACAAGTCAGTAAGTTGAGATGTCCATGATCAGGATGATACCCATTGTTTTGCATGAAGTTCTCACCACCGGCTTGTCAAACAGCCCTTACATTCAGACCGTGGTGGAGCAAATTGGTGAGTGGATAGGGTGGAAAAAACGGAACGCACAGACACCAGGGTGGTCCTCCGTGACGAAACCCTGGACATGCTCACCGTGATCAGTTCCACACACAGGCAGCGGAATTTTGACGCTCACCGTTCCGTTTCTCGGTCTGCATTCCGATAAAAAAAGAAAGCAACGGAAGTGAAAAGCTTGCACAACAGCAATCTCTTGGTTTTTCTCATATTTTGGCCCCTACATTCCCAGAAACTCGGTGAGCAAGTTTAAGACAAAAAGTGTTTGAGATCGGCCCGAAACGGTTTTGGTTGTTTTCAAGTTGTTTACATTTTGGAACCAACACTGCTGCGAATCATTCGATAACGGTCTGAAGTTGTCGTTTCAGCGCGCCAACAGCGCAACTGGAGATTTTGCCCCAGCTCCAGAGTGCCAGACTGCTGGGTTCTGGTGGGAGTGGAGAGAAAGATGGAACGGGAGGAGGAGCTGCAGGAAAGGAAGAGACAAGTGAAATCGTGTGCGCTCGTGTTCTGCATCCATCCTACCAACAACGAGGGCTCCATTTCCCCAGACTCTGGGAGTGCTGGGCTGGTGGAGAAATTTCGGTAATGGCTCCACTGAACTCCGCACGATTAACGTGGTGCTCCACACCTGGTGATGAACCCCGGTCTAGATTCGGATCCAATACCAATGTGGGCTCGATCAAGATGTGCCAGACCGGACCCCGGCTGATGACGCCCTGCCTCGGGAGTTTCGGTTTGCGGTTTGGTTGGTTGGAGTTTGGTCTCGTTAGCCTCACTCTCTCCTCGCAAGGCGGTAATGATGGCATTTTCTTCCCCGTGTCCATCTCCGCTGATTTGGGCCAGACCGCGTAGTGTAAAACAATCTCCGTTATCTTTGGAGATATTCCCCCCTAGGAGGATGACGCTAGACTGCTTACTGTGTGGTCGACTGCCGCGGCAGTGAAGATAGACAGTAGTTGAAGGTGCTCAGATAAGTATACGAGTTGGTTTTGATCCTGAAAGTTTTCTAGAGTGAGATCCTAGGGATCCTAGGGTTGGCCGGTCAAGATAGTACGTCAACAAAACGACAGAAAAGAATGCGGCTGTCTTGATCCAACAAGAAGGTTCAACTGTGGGCATGTACTGCGAACAATTTTCTGACTAGCTGCGTTAGTGTTGTAACCGTTGCCGCACATCATCATTTCGTTCCTCCTCTCCGACCAAAATGTTCACTGCTCGCTCCATACGAGAACTGTTTTAGGTGTCACCACGTTCAACGGCTTTGCCAACCAAAGTCTCCTGTTTCTGAGACTGCGTGTTATTTGAGAAAAAGTTTTGAGAGATTGCATTTTCCCAGCCTCTCAGGGGAAATCCATGATAAACTGCAGCAAGCAACTAACCCTAGCTGTGAAAATGCCTCGCCCCGGCCAGTGGCTAACACTGCAAGCCGATCATTAGGGAGTGCGTCGCGTGGCAGCCACCACAAGCCGCGCTCTCACTCTTTCCTCATCGAGTCAAGCACGCGGTTGGCGCCAGGAACAACCCGGAAGGGAAAATGTGAGAAGTGAGAAGAAAATAAACTGCACACACGCGGCCCCATGCAGCGGCAGATATGAGCACGAGATACTAGTGTAGGGGCAAGGAAGGAAAAGAAGAGCCGGTGCACACTGCAATGAGTTCTCTTGCGGCTGCCTCATCAAGGAATAGCTGACGAGCAAAAAGTCAAGAACAGCGTTCTGGCATATGTGGGCGCCATCTGCCCGCCATACCCTTCCAAAATTCCATGATTCTGGGCTGGGTTTCTTTCCGTTCGTCCACTGCAGGTGACTGGCAACTTGTCAGCGTCAGCCTCACACACCAAGCAAATACCATCGAAAAGAACTGAATGAGGGGAAGGCAAACAAGGGGACCAAAAGAAGTCAGCCAATATTGAACACATGCTGATCCGATTATCAATGCCGGACATCCCTTCCCCCACACGAGGAAAGCGTGTTAGGATCGTCCCCAGTGGACGGGGCTAGTATAGGTCAGAGTCGGTTATGATATACTCAGATATAGTGCAGTGCTATCATACCCGATCGCCCTCGTTGCTACGTGCACGTCGGCCGAGATTGGTGCAAAGAGCCACCCCAACGGCACGTCCGCCCCAAACCGGGAAAGGCAAAACCCATCAGTCCAGGCACACAAACGCATCACAGCCAGATCTGCCGAGCGTGGGCAACACGTGAAAACCACACGAGATCAGGCCGGAGCACAATGCTTCCGGCTGCTGGACGACAGCAGCCAGCCCTGCATTAGTGTACAGCTAGTTCGAACCCTGGCCCAGGCAACGACATCATCATCAGGGAAAACGGGTTTGGCCGCTGTTAGTGTAAACCATGCCATTCAGCTCAGCCACAAGCCACAGCAACGCGGGGAGATGCGAAGAGCGAGAGCATAGTAAAAGGAGATTTGCGCTGGTGCAGATGCTATCAGCCCATCTCTCCGGCACACCCCCTGGTCCTGGCCAGCTCGTCCTCAGATCCAATCAGCCCAGATTTCCCCGCACTTTACTAACGTAGCGTCGCATTATCATGATGGCGCATGCAAGGTAGCCATGTGGTGTGGTGGAAGTTGGGATTTGCTGACCCATCGATTCTTCAGCTAGCCAAATGCGCCCTCCTGCAGCTAGATGCACAGAGAGCAAGATGAGAAAGAAAGCAAATGGAAAAAGGGGGGTATCTCGATACCATGCCATTCCGTCTTTCAAAGCCCACTCCAAAACCCAGTCCAATCAATCGTTTTCGTTGACCCTAACCTAAGAACAGACATATCTATCAAAGACACACTGTCAGAGATAGTGTGTCAACACCAGCTTTTTGGAGAACAGAGAAGACCCTAGATTAGATCAGTAGAGTTGTGGTATCCCAGCAATTATTATACGTAGTACCAAAATACCCCCCCCCCCGAAACACTGCCATCTCCCCAAGTTTACCCAGTTGTGTCCATAACCATACATGTGTTATGTCATGATACACAACACTCTCCCCAATCCGTTAGAAATTATAACATAATCAGCATACACAAAACAACCCAGAAAATGAACGTAAATACCCCCAAAACTCCTGGTATCGTTTATCCGGGGCTCCCATTCCCCATATCGAATAGTAAGTAACAAGGTAGTGGATAGTGGATACACTATCTCTCTAACCCCTTCATCTGTTGGTTATAGTCCGACGTGCCGGTCATGGTGACCGTCGGTCCAGAACTTGAGCCGGACCGACTCCGGTCTGTACTCCCCGCCAGCTCGGTCATGCTCTCGCTCTCAAACATCTTCTTCCCGTCCTCATTCCCGGAGCCTTTCCCCCCCGGCCCGCTGCGCGCCCCGACGCTGCCCATTATTTGGTGGTAATAGTCATCATGGCTCAACGACCGCTGATGCTGCGCTGTGATGCCAGGAATGTTCATGACTATGTCCATGTCATCATGCGGACCGTAGTGCGGGTGCAAATGTGGGTGCATGTTCCTCGGCAGCGGCTTGCCCTGGCAGAAGGCCTTGATGTCGGCCCACAGAAGCTTGCACGCGCTCCAGGAGGTCACGACGTAGATGATGGCGTTCCAGAAACCTTGCAGAGGAAGCACGAAGGCGGCGATATACTCCAGGGGGAGGGAGGCCTTACCCTGGCGGGTGAGGGAGTAGACACGGTTGGCAGAGGAGGGGATCCAGGTGACGAGCATGGCGGTGAAGAAGAGGATGGCGCACTTGGTGTATGACCAGATGGCGTTGTTAGCTTCCCAAGCTGCGCGGCGACGGAGAGGATGGGCATTGCTGCTTTGCCCGGTGATGGTGCGGGCGATCGGGGCTGAAGTTGTGGCTGTGGCTTGGGAGTCGAAAGTGACGTTGGTCTGGATAGGGAGGACGAGGTCGTCACCGTGGGACTGGCGCCGCTGGTTGGAGGATATGGTAACGGAGTAGGCAGTCTTGGCCGGCTTGGTGGGGGAGGCAGAGGCGGTGGAGATGCGGCGGTTGTCAGCTGCACCAAGGGGGGCGAGATCGATGGTTTGCTTGTCGGCGACTTCGGTTGTGACGAACACTTCGGTTGTCTTGACGGAAGTGAAGAGGTCGTCCATGCCTCCGAACTGGTCCAAGTCATGATGGCTCGTAGTGTAGCTAAACTCCCGCAGCTGCTTGTGCTTCTTGTAGATCTCGCGACCGGCACGAATGTAGATGAAGAAAGTGATGAGCATCACGATCCTATATTTAACAAATCCGTTTAGATTCTTAACGAGTCACACATCGATATCTGTGTCTGGTCACCTAAACTTACCACACAGGCCCGTAGAAGGTCGCGATACGGAAGATATCCCACGACGGGGAGATCCAACACCAAAGCGTCGCATTGCCGTACATTTTTCCCTTCTGAGGAGTCTTCACAAAAAGGAAGGTTACAGCAATGACACAGGGGATGCCGTAGCAAAGAAGCAAGTAGGGAACTTCCATCTTTCTTAGCCTCTGGGCATCGAAACGGAAATAAAATGTAAGGTAAACGTTAACAGCCATGGCCAGTGTCCAGAAGGCGTCCGCAGGCATGAACCTGGAGATCGAGTTGTCAGTATATGTCGGCACAATATAACAGTTACTTTCTGATAGGAACACACATTTGGATCAAAAAGGCTTGGAGCTGGCAGCCCGCGCCTGTATGATCGCCAATGAATGAGCGAGCCATAAGCGTGGCGACATTGGTGATGAGATTGCCAAAGGTTGCGTAGAACACGAGCCGATTAATAGGCTTATGGAAGGCCTTCGAGGCGCAGAAGGTGATGATGACGACGAGTGACCCAAGAAACGAGAAAACAGAGCTTATTCTCTCCAAGATGCTGAAGACGTCGATGCCATCGTGAACAAAGTCGGGATCTGATATGTCCACAACGTTGGAAGCGCGCCCTACGAGACTCGACGTTGGCCAGAGGTACATGTTGGCTGTGTGATGATATGGTAGGCGTGGAAACTCGAATGTAGGTGTCTCTGTTTGGGATTAAAGACTTCGCCCCCTCTCTGGTGTACGGGTCCGAGAACGGGCTCCACGAGTATCAACCGGCTTGCTGAGTTCGGTCGGCCGCCGATCCAGGGTCGGCACTGTCACGGTTACAAAGTGTTCATGGAAGTACGAGATATTGGGCTAGTAGTGGATTGATGTGTCGTCGAACAGTCGTTGTCGCTCTCAGGACGTCTAGTATAAGCTGATGGGAGTCGTTTCGTTCCAGCGCCTTGGTTAAACTACGAGCCTGAATCGAACTAGGGGTGGACCTCCCTCAGAGTCTTGGGGGCGAGGGTGGATTGTATACCAGTCAGCGACCAACAACATGGGGGAGGTTGGCCAAAACGGGCCAATATCCTTGAAGGGAAAGTTGGATGTGAATCGTCATCCTTTCGCCGATGTCCCAGGGTCCCCGTGGTTGAGCGAGTTCCCCGTCAGTCCTGCTGGTCCCATTTTTCTCGCAACAGGCCAAACACGGTTAGGACAGATCTTCCATAAGGGCCTGGAAAACCAAAGATCTTGGCAGCATCAAAGATGGACGTTATTCTGGCCAGTCCGACGGCGTCTGACGCTGTTGTATGTTGCGGTATCATGACAAGTTGGAGAGGACTCCGCTTCCGTTTGCCCACAAGCGTCGAGCTTGTACCAATCAAGCATAGAGCCCATGCACGAGGGGGGTAGCCAAGAAGGAGGGTCCCCCAGAAACACGCCCTGCGCAGCAGGTTACTAACTGGACAATGTGGTCGATGTCCGGAGTACCAGCTGGGGGTAGCATCTTGGGTGACGATGGCAGGCTGTCGAGAGCATAGTACCAACCAGATACTACAATGCCCTACATTGGGTCGACTACAGCTATCCTGGCCTCAGCAGCACACGAAGATGATGCAGGGGGATCTGGATTATCATGATCGACTTAACGGCGAATCGGTTTGGAATGGCGGTGTTACCCGCAATCAGCACACTAACCTCCTTGTTCAACTGCCAGCTGCTAGGAAAGGAGTGCAATGTGGAATGTGGACTGATGGCCGGGGCGCTGCTAAAGTTTGTCGAGTTAGCGCCGCTGCTCTGGACAGAGCAAGTTCGGGAACCATCCCCAGAAGCCCAGCAGCGGAGACGTTATTTTGACCCCACCAAAATGCGGGGGACTCCACTAAGTCCACCAGCTGGTGCAGCCAGTGCCCCACACGACATTCAACCCTTGGCATCCAGCAGCCAGCGTCTCATCGGATCCATGGAAGACAAGAGTTGCAGCAAGATTGCTTACCAATCTGTTTTTCACCATGCTGCACTCCAGGTCCCAGAACATCGCAATTTCTAGATCTGAGAAATACGGGGACGGTGCTGAAAACTATTGACATGCCATGCCCTGGCCGCTGATCTCGAGCTACTGCACCTAATAAAAATTCTGCACAATGTTGAGCAGCTCCGTCCAGTCAAAACGGCAGCAGAGCGAAGGCGGGGTCCACCACATAGTGGAGCCAATTGCCAAACGGAGCCTCCCCGCATCGTGCCAAGCTTTCCTCCACGTTTTCCACTCGTCCCCGTCACGCGGACGTTGCTGCGTCGTATCACATACAGCTTCACTAGCGCAGCATGGCAGACGCGCAAGCCCAATTCCAGAACTCGACATGAGCCAAATGTGCGATCTGCCTTGACATCTTCGCCTGTCTTGCCAACCGGCTGCCGCAGCGACAGCCTTATTCTCCGAACGCCACTGACCGATTGGTGCTCTTCATGGCACCACCTCCACAAGCTGAACTGAGGGTGGCCTTAGGCTCTCTGTGTCACACCTGTCAATCTTGTCCCGACTTCCTGCAACCGCACGTGTGCATCATGGCCAGTGGGAGGTGGATGATATCCAGGCTGCTAATACCGACGACGCAACGCCCGCCCACCGGCTCTCTGGGGTCCATGGTTGGAACGCTGCACCATTCTCCTTATCACGCGTACATCTGGGGTCCCAACCATACCGTGGCAATTAACACTCAGCGTTCCACACCCCGGACATAATATCATACTGGCCCATTCGACCGTTACTATGGCTATGGCCCCATTACAGTACACGTTCGCATTCTGAATGCAATTGGGAGATACCCATCCTCCTCACGGGCCATACCGCAATCCTGGCAAACAAACGAGCTCAAAGCCCTCACCATCCGATCTGTTCAGAGGTGGCGACATTGCTCCATGCAGGGTTACTAAAACTTTGCTGCAGGTATCTACCTAGGGAAATTTTTCATAAGATCCATCTATTACTGTCAAAAATTACTCGGCCGACTCATTAACCATATAGTCGCCGAGTTGCTGAGCATTGGCCAGATGATGACGCCATCGCCCTCAAGAAATAATACCTGAACTGCACGAAACGGAATGCCTCTTGCAAGATTCCATTGAGCCCGGTGTATCGAATGTTCCGTAGCGAGACACGGTTGACGGATCGCGTGTCAAATATATTACGTGGGGGAATTCTATCGTCAACCAAGCCTCACCGAGCCTCTATATGTCGCAGACCGAGACCGAGTCGGCCTTGACGCGATGGAATTCTCGCCATTTGGTCTCAGCCCTATGGGCGTTGTAAAGCCGACGATGTTTAACATCGTTTTGGTGGGCCAGCACATTGATCATGCATATCATTATCTGAGCACTTGTTGGCCCTTAGCCGTGTCGGCTGCCCGGATCTCTTGACGTAAACCTTTCGTCGGTCAACCCGCTTCTTCCAACACAGTAGTTCCTACATCTCTGCTCAACACGGTGCAGCTCGCTGTGTCGGCAATTGACACGGGCGTCGCCAATATGTGTGCGGCGGGAGCGCATTGAGGGAGAAGAACGTGCGCAAGCCACACTTCCGAAGGGGCAACTGCACCGGGAGGGGCTTTCCAGAACCGTCGAAGCTCCCCCTTTTTTTATGCGGCCTCCCACACGTGGAATGGGCTTCTGGAAAAAAAACGGATGTGCTTCCATCGTTTTTCGTGTGTTGATCAACGGGCGCCACGCACATGGCTAAGAGTTTGACTTCACTTAGTCAACCTCTGTTCCCGACTTATTTGTACATTATTGATTGAGTCTTGGGCTCAATACAAAGGCAGTTAACCTGGATGCAACATGGTTATGATTACAATGCTGCGTACGCCTTCAAGTTTCCTTTCCCCAGGGGAACCGTAATGCGAGCATGGAGCGTCTCCGGAAGGATCCAACACGTCGGGGAGTCTCGTCTAGTACGACAGGTTTCAGAAACCAGCATCAGTTCAATCACATCGACGAGAACATAACCCCATTCGAGCACACATTGGCTTTTGCTCTCGGAGTTCTTGTCTTGCCGCCCCAGCATCCCCCCTCCCCTTCCCTCCCCTTCTCTCTGCACTATTTACCGATCTTTTGCCCCCAATTTTCTCCCAATTTTCTCATAAGTTAAAACTGGTGAGGATTCAAATTTGGTCCTTGCCGAGAATCCTCCTGGAACTGGAATGGGCGACTGATGCAGTCGATAGGACTCCCGAAATCGGGAATTGGAGAGTAAGTACAGGGTCATGTATTCCTCACTGGGCTGGACATCCGGATAATGTTCCCGTTCTTGTTTGTGATGATTGTGATGACCACATTGTTACAGGGTCCATCCAGTACAACCCAGCTCAAGCACCACTCGCTCCTCATCAGGAAGAGTTTCAAGCGGCGGGAAACCAAACGGTAGGAAACGAGATATCCCCGTCCAGGGAGAATGTTGCCATCAACAGTAGGAACAAGAAGAACAGAGTTTCTGCGCCTTTAACCTGCTCAGGAACTGTGCAACCTACCACCACACCCATGCACCTCCATCTGTTGGTGTGCAAAGATGTGAATGCATCAAAAGCCCCATGCAACCAAAACTTCCTCCCATCGCTACTTCACCCCTGATGCTGCTTGCCTGGATTAACCTTCCCGTGTGTTCCATGGCAGATATCCCACACAACAGCCCGATGTTCTTTCTGTGCGCAGGGGAACTTCATGCTCCTGTGCAGCAAACGAGACAGTGGGCGGTATTTGCGAAACGATTTGTCTGTTGACGCATTGTGTAGAGTAAAACGGACAATCTCGTGGGGGTTGAAGTAGTTCAGTCTCCCGAACCGTGAGATCGAGGGAAAGCAAGGTGTGTGGGAGGGTGTCAGGGAAGGTAGGGAAACCGGTCAGGCTCAAGTCAAATTGTGCCGCTGTCATTGTTGTGTGACGCCGAGAGTGGGATTATATCATGAAATAGGAGGTTTACCCATTTAAGTCAGCTTGTTTCGGTAGTTGTGTGCTTAAGGAGGGTATGCCAGGGTGAGTGATCCTGAGCTGTCATCAGGGAATACTTGGCTGCTGGGATTTGGAGGGGCTGAAGCTTAAGTGTTGATGGAGAGTCTCTCCAGAAACACTTTCCATGCAAATTCAAACGAGGTAGAAAGCCATCGTCATGATAGACATATAGTAAACGTTAGCTACGGCTTAAGTTGCTGTACCATCGAAGGATGAAGCACCATAAATCAGCAAGTTCAGTGTTCGTGTCATCAGTCCTTCAAGTACATCACTTTGTACAGGTATCATTAACAAAGAACAAGTACCTAGTTAACCCGTTTTTCCCAGCAAATCCTGAGCATGTGCTCCTGATCCATGCACCATCCCGGGGTATCAATCATTACCGCCACCTTCCGAAACTCCATCAGAAATAGTAGACAGAAAACCAGAGTAGTTCTCAGGAAACACAACCATTATATACGAACTGGGCATAGTCCCACTATGTTACCATCTTCATAACTTCCTTGATCCGGCTGAGCCGTGATTTCGTGGATCCGGATTTTTGTCGAAATCAAATAGGCGACGTCACGTGACATGGTAGTAGCGCTGCCCATTCTCGTGAAAAGTAATGGATAGACAGACGCTCAATGGCGTCATTCAATTGTTCCGTTTTCTTTCTGTCTCCCTTTTGACAAGATTAGATCACGTTCTGGGCGGGTGCCTTGCCCTTGGAAGAAACCTCGCAGATCTGGCTTAGAGCCTTCTTGTCCAGGGAAGTGAGCCCAGAGACCCGGGAAGCCCTAGCACGAGAACGACGAGCTTCGCGTTCGGCTAGTAGCAAAGCCATAGCCTCCCTCTCATCTTCTCCTTCCTGACTGTAGATGGATTCACGAGCAGGGATGGGAAGAGGCTTGTTGGAGAAATGGATAATCTGCCACTCCGGCGGGGGCTTCCACTGATCGGGATTATAGGCCGAGAAGCGAACGGGGGCGCGCCTGATGAGACGAGGGCCGCGCCTGACCTGAGCGGGGGGACGGGTAGGCGTGTCGGCTCCGGCTTGGGTGAGCTGGGCATTGGGAGGAACGAGGACCTGGCCCCTGCGGATGACGGCATCGGGAGCAGACCACATGGGGTCGGGGACAACAACACCCTGCAGAGTCTGGTACCAGTCGTCGATAAGAGAAGAGGTAGAGCACTCAATCTCAGGGAGAACAGAGAAATGCTGACGGCGATAGGTGACAGGTGTCTGAGGAGTCGCCAGCCTTGATGATTGACTGACCCGGGAGGGAGTCCAAGTCGCATATTTAACAGTATCCAAAGTTGAGTTGACATTTTCGTCAACTGTGATACCCGATTTGGCTACCTGGCCTTGCGTTGCTGGATCATTAAAGGGATTTGCGGTCGTCCCAACTCTTTGAGAGTTAGTAGTGGGAGTGCTGGTTTGGGTTGCCTTCGAGACCATGGATTCTGAAGTACAATGTTAGCTGCTTGAAGACTTCTGCTTATTAGAATGAGCGTAGGTACCTCTATACGACTGATCTAACGACTTCTTGCCAGTCATCTCGGTCTTTGTCGCTAAGGAATCTTTCACGAGCGAAGAAAGGTCCTCTTTCTTATTCGTTTGCCGACGTAAGACGGTCCCAGATGGTCGCGGAGGAAGAGGAGGAGCTGCCTGGGTCGAGCTCTTATGGTTCCAGGTACTGTAATGGTTCTTAGGCGCAGTAGAGATGGTGCTGGAAACTCTGAGACTCTCCGTCTTGTTCGAAGGAACAAAGCTCTTCTTCCAGCCAAACCCTTTGAAGAGACTGGGCGCCTTGATGTCAGAAAACAACGAACTGCGTGTTGCCGGTGCCTCTTGATCAGGTTTGTATGCGCCCTGCTGACGTCGCTCGAGCTCCTTCTTCCTGCGGTGCTCGCCGATGGTCTCCCGGTCGAAGTCTGTCCACTCAAATTCGAACATCTTGACCAGTCAGAAGATTTGCTGGGGGCCGGGTTCTGGGAAATATGCCTCGAGACACAGTTGCCTAGTGTACTTGAACTTTGGTTATCGAATGTGGGATGACCGATTCGAAAACCACAGTTGTTGTGAAAGGGAGAAGGTCTGGAGGAGGAGGGGATGGAGCGCGCAGTAACCTAACTGAGGGAAAAGAGGGGCTAAAGGTTGGGAGAAAAAAACAATTATAATGAGGGGTAGGTCGCTGTAAGTCGCGTAATGGGGGCGACACACAGCGACATGTTCGGTCAGCACGTGCGAGGGCAAGAGCGACTTCTCCAGGAACCCAGGAAAGCGCAACTACCAACAGCAATTGAATCAACAGGAGGGTTCTATGCTCTCCATGAGCAGGGGGGTGTACCGGTCTCCTGGAAGCCTTCCATGCAGTTGCCGCTATCAACTGGCCAGCCATGTAACAGGTTCAGATGGAAAATAAATACGGACGGTTGGCTTCTTACTGAGTTTTACATGACCACAACGAATCTACTGAGGCCCCTGGGGAAAAAATAAGGGGGCCGGGTGAGCTTGGGACTTCCGCCAGCGGTCATGGGCCGAATTCCCTCTCGCAGCGGGGGGATGGACCGCTGCTTCGCCCCCTGTGGAAACAGATGGGAGAATCGACCTCGATAGGAACCTTCCCGATTTGAGCAGACAACCCTGGGATGACAGTTCTCTAAGGCAGCATCTGTGTGACGAAGGATCCGGGAAGTTGCCAGCGCCATGTCTCGGCCGTTACGTGTCCTGCAGTTTGTCATCTGCCTAGTCAAAGTGGAAGCAAAGCTTGTATTTACCCAAGTATCTGAATCGTAGTGAGTGACTTGTGCTTCTGTGGCCCCTTTCTCTTACGTATAAAGCCAGTAGCTGGTCATGTCGTTGACTAATGTTGAGAGAGCGCGTTACATATTTCCGCCTGATGTATCTCTGAGCAGGTATTGCCGTAGGTCAGAAACTATCCAATGTTATGGTGGAAGAGGCTAGTTTTTATTTGGACATATCATAACACTTTAGACATGGACACTAGTGTGGTGCTATTCGAACGGGGTCTTGTGCAAAACTCTGTGTAAAGTGTTCGGCTCAAGCTCCTAAATGTCTTCAAAGACGATTCCTCAAGCATACTGCAATGTAACCGGGATCTTGCAGTTCAAGACCCAGCATGTTGTATCACATAGACTAGAGAGGGATTAAAAAAGCAGTTTGGTCAGTTAGAAGACTTCGCGTTGTTGAGACGAAGGAGAAAGTAATTTTCCACAAAAATTCGTGTAACTTGGATAATAGCATGCCTTTTTCATGCTTATGATCTGATCCTGTCAGAAAACTCAGAGAAGTTTTCTTCAAGGGACTCCGTTGTTGGTTGTGTCAATCCAGACCAAATCATTGGCACAGCTATGCGTGCATAACGCAGACCTTCATTTGAGTAACCAGTCCGATCAAGGATCGCCAACAAGCATTGCACTTACCCTGCTAGCATGGCACCGTCACCAGGGGTAAGCTTTTCAATTGGCTAGACCTAGGTACTTGTATCTTTTTTTGGCAATTGCAATGATTATTACGGAAATATCACTATATTATTTTCTATCTATTAGGGTGTTTGCATTGAATGGTCTAGGTACGAGGATATTTACTGTGACGACTTTGACTTGTGTAATTTTTTATGGAACGGTCGGTTGGTTAGCGCGGGATATGTGCGGGTAGTACTGTAAATGGAAAACTTGGTGATAATGTCAATGATGATGATGATGATGATGATACCTAAGTTACGGAATGGATATTATTAGTTGGTTTGCTGGTACGGGTATGTAGTAGGGGCTACTATGAATGGATAAGGCTAATATGGCGATGGCGATGGCGATGGCGATGGCGATGGCGATGAAGATGGTCATAGTGAGAGCATGGCAACCGACTGTTTGGTGGATGGAGTTCGAAAGTCTAATTGCTTTTGATTAGGTGGGGCTTATGATTCTACAATATGCTCGATTAGAAAAGTGGGGCATATGTGATATCCCAGCTGTAGAGAGCAATGCCTGTTGGCCCAGTGTTATGCCAGTGTCATGACCAACAAGGGGTATCAGGAAAATAAAGCAGGATCAGGCACAAAGGACCAATAGAGGCGCGGTACACGCTGGTCCAAAACGACCAATAAAGGCGAAGAGTCACTAACGAAAGGTCGTCAGAGCCAAAATTACTGATGAAGAAAAGCCATTAGTAGCAGAAACAAGGACGGATCATCTGTAAATAATGTAAATAGATGTTTTCGCGAGAGAAGGGGAGGAAAAATTTCCCAGTCAGCAATACAAAAGGTTGTCCAAACTGGTGACCGCAGTGCTTCAGAGTCTCGTGTAAGAACTCCTGTCTCTCAGATCCATAAGCCTTGAACTAACTCCGAACCCATTTCAGGAAGGCTAGCTGGATTGTCACACACTGCCTTTTTTTAGCTGTGAGTGCAATGCTAGTATGGCGGTGATATGCTTATGTAATGTCGGATTTTGCCACTATGGTAAACATTATCTGGATCAGGAAGATCGTTTTAACAAGTTGCCTGACTCAATGCTTTGTTGATAGTAATGTTACTCCTCACTGACTTCGACAATTATCAGTTGCCAGTAGTTGTGTGGGCTGCTTAGAACATAACTAAAAATAAGCTCCAGCATCTTATTATCTGAAACCCAACTAATTTTCCTTTATTGTCCTCAAAAATCATTCACTTGGCCAGTTCAAATCCCAGATGGAGTTGGACTAGCTGAACCCAATCACGAGGGACGTCCCTACAATCCCTGTCTACCAAGAACGGTACTGGCAGTTGAAAGCCCCACACCGACCAACCCAGCTCCTCCTGCCGAAACAGACCTTGGTCATCCGATCGGTCGGCTCCACCCATGTGGTTGCCAAGACGGAAGCCGTTGAGCCTCTGTCGATCAGTTGATGCTTGCACATCCATGCCACACAGCGCATATGCTTTGCTGGCTAGGCTCATGGATCCACTCCAATCTGGTCTCGGTGTGTTCTTAATAGGTTCGCTCTATCACTTTGCTGAACAAGTTCCTTCTGGCGTTATAATTCCCCCTTTAACTTTTAGAACAAGGGACAAATAGTCTCTTCTCTCTGAACTCAAAGATGCTCCTGTTTAGCTTGACATTGCCAAGAGATCCTTGGACAAACTGGACATGGAGCATATTCTGATTCTGAACGAAGACTCGCGTTCTTTGCTGACCAGATGCCAGCATGCACATTAAAAACTGGGGGTCAAGGACTCTTCCAATAACTCATCAGGCTTGGCTATTGAGCAGCAAGTCTTTAGCCATAAAAGGCTGAAATTTGCCTTCAATTGAGGGTCCGTTGACAAAGGGAAGAGATGAGATGTTTTGTGGTAATTGGCACGCAGTCAATTGTTCAAAATGTTTTTCACAACGGAATGTGTGAGATCCTTATACCCGTAATTCACATATGACTTTTGTTTCTCAAGAAGTTCGGATGGACTGAAACTGCTTTTGAGAATTCGCGCATCAACAGAATAAGAACTCTTTTAGCACTATGCTCTGTTATACTGTACACGGTTTTCGTCCCGACCACGTCCAGCCGCACATTCAGTGATCCTTTGCCCCTTCACGTTTGAGGTATTCTGCTGCCGCTTATCACTCCCCCGTTTGGGAATTGTTGCCTTGCAGCCTCCTTCCAACCCTTCCTCCTCAACACAAGAGTCTCCGCGGCCTGAGAAAAATTGTTCAGAGGAACTTTGTCTGCTCCCTCTCTACGCCATTCCACACCTTGCAGGTCAGAATCTTCGCCTCACAGACGTCGCCAACATTAATGGCACTGCATCCTGCTAAAATGGCAACCAAGTATGACTTCCCGCACACTTTTTTAAATCTCAGCTACAGATGTCATATATGTCAGTAGCTTCCTGTTGTGTCCAACATTGCTACCCGAGGGCACCTTTGTGTTGCTCTCCCGGCTTTGTCATTCGTCGGCTTAGCTGGACGAGGCCAGCTGAACCTTGGTTTCTGATGGTGACAGATCTGCTTCAGAGTATGACAACAGCATGTTAAGTCGAGTCGTGTTTTGCCTTTGTCTCTTCTGGAGGTGGAAAGTCAAGTTCATGCAGTGGTGCCTCGATACATCTCCCTCAGCTGGATTCTCAGCCGCGCAGTGGCAATGTTTCGTTTTATTTCTTCATTCAGAGAGCTTTTCTGTTAACAGGAATGCTAACGATCGCTGCAGTGAGGAAATTGAAATGTGCTCAGTGAGCCAGGAGCCAGGTTCTACCCGGGGACCCGAAAATGCTCGTCAATCTGCCCCATCCGGTCGGTACCAGAACACCGTCAAGCGCCTGAATGATGCGGTCGCCAAGTCTGTTGTCGGCTACCTGTTCCGTCTCGATGGGAGCGGTCATGTGAGTCGCTCTTCGCTATTGTCGGGAACAACAAGAATGGCTAACTCTCCTGCCACTTCAGCCGAAGCAAATTGAGGGGACCGCCTTTTCGACGGAGTTGCGTGCTGGACTGACCACTTTCGCGACGATGGCGTATATCATCGCTGTTAATGTTGGTTACACCATTTCAAGTGCAAAAGAGTACTTGGAAATGTTGACAAGACACAGTCGGCGATTCTCGCGGTTACCGGCTATGGTTGTCACTGCAAGATGCCGCTCGATCAGAACGGAAAATGTGGTAATGACACTGAGTGGACCAAATGCTATGAGGGTAGGACAAATGTTGGCATTCTTGAGGATAAATTTTTGGTGCTAACAGTCCAACAGAGGTTCGACTGGATCTTATTACTGCCTCGGCTGCTCTCGCGGGGCTTTCAAGTATCCTGTTTGGTCTTTTCACCAACTTGCCTGTTTGTCTTGGGTGAGTGATCCGACTGGCATTACAATCAAACCTGATACTGACACATTCCCAGCCCAGGTGTTGGTCTTAACGCGTACTTTGCCTACCAAGTTGTCGGCGTCAAGGGCACCGGCCCTGTCGACTACCGTATTGCCCTCACAGCTGTCTTCATCGAGGGCTGTATCTTCTTATTCCTGGCCTTGACAGGTCTGCGCCATTGGCTTGTAAAGATCATTCCCATCTGCATCAAGATCGCTAGTGCTGCGGGCATCGGCTTGTTCTTGATCTTGGTCGGCATGTCGTACCAGTCCGGCTTGGGTCTTGTTACAGGAGCTACCGCGGCCCCTCTGACAATTAGCGGTTGTCCAGAGCATCTCCGCAATGAAGCTGGAATTTGTGCCAGTGGTATCATGTCGGACCCAAAGGCAAGTTTCATTATTCCTCGTTCTCCAAAGGTTTATAGATCAGGAATAACATGTCTGCAGATGTGGCTAGGCATCGTCTTCGGCGGCCTTCTTACGGGCCTGCTCTTGATCTTCCATGTAAAGGCAGCGATCCTCATCGGTATCGCAATTGTGTCCATTATGTCATGGCCGTAAGTAACACCGGTATCGCTGATGCGAGAATGCCTCCTGACAGCTTCCAGGCGCGGCACCTCCTTCACCTATTTCCCCTACACTGCCGAGGGCGATAATCGCTTTAACTTCTTCCGCAAGGTTGTCTACTTCCACCCAATCAAGCACACGCTGGCACAGCAGCAGTGGGACCTCAGCGGCGGCAACGGGCAGCATTTCGCCCTGGCGCTGTTTACCTTCCTGTACGTTGATATCATCGATGCCACGGCGACGTTGTACACGATGGCACGTTTCTGTTCGCGTAGCCACAAAGGTGAACGTGACTTCCCCCGGTCGACTGTCGCTTTTTCTGTCGATGCAGTTTGCATCAGCATTGGATCGCTGTTTGGCTGCTCGCCTGTCACCACTTTCGTCGAGAGCGCTGCTGGGATTGCCGAGGGCGGACGCACTGGTCTGACAGCTGTTACCACGGGGGTCTGCTTCTTGATCGCCATGTTTTTTGCCCCGATCTTCGCGTCCATCCCGCCCTGGGCAACTGGGGGTACATTAATTCTGGTAAGCTCCAGGCAGGATACGTGTTGTCTGGCGATTGCTAAGTTGCTGTACAGGTCGGTTGCATGATGATTCGACAGATTAGCCAACTTAACTGGAGCTATGTCGGCGATGCGATCCCCTCAATGGTGACCCTCACATTCATCCCCTTCAGCTTCAGTGTTGCCTATGGCATCATTGCGTAAGTTTGCTTGTTACAGCTCGACCCTCAGCCGAATGCTAACCGGACAACCGACAATACCAGAGGTCTGTTCACCTACGTGACCATCAACGGCGCCATCTGGCTGATCATGAAGCTGTCTCGAGGGAAGATTGCCCCGCCTGACTACGACAGAAAGGAATATTGGTCCTGGAAGCTGGCCAAGGGAAACAAACCGTGGATTTTCCAGGTGATCCAGCGGCTCATCTACTCAATCAAGACCCGGCGTGAGGGTAGCCAGCGGAACAGGAACCCTTCCATTCCTCTGAGCTCTGGAGATGAAGCCTCGGAGCACGCTCATGATGTTCACAATGACCATAACGGCATTTCTCGGGACGAACCTCACACTCTGGAGAAGACCGGATCTGGTGGCTCATTTGGTCAATTCATCCGTGACCGTCACTGAGCAGTAACACTGCCAACAACTCCACGGCCAATCAACAGGTCGTCTGCAACGGGGAAATATATAGTCCGTCAATGGTGAAAAGGAGTCATAACCGAGGAATTAGGTAGGAGCTTCTTCGTTGCCAGTGTGACTCAAAAGAATGGGCGTTATGGAGACTCTAGAGCAGACATTTGCTCGTAAGTTGTAAATTACAGTTGCATTGTGTGGACGGGGTATGTAAACCCTAAGAATTTGTCCAGGAGCTTGCTTATACTGTATCTAGCTGGGATGACAGGAAGAGTTGTACTCTTTTAAGTACGTCAGCCATGTAATCTCAGCCAAATGCTGGGAATAGATAGCTGGCAAAGGGTGCTTGGGGTAGGGCCAAACTCGTCAGCTGTTGACGGCTGTCGCCACAGGCCGGCCCCGGGCCCCACTAGAAGCCCATTCCTTATCTTATCAATCGACAGGCAGCTAACGGGCTGCATCATTGCCTTGCACAGTAAGGTGGTTTCTTGGTGAAGTTGGAACCCAGCACGCCCAAGAAATTTCCATTTTACTTTAGGGATTGGAGCAGGAAGCTTTCAGTGCATCTGCTTCCTCGTGTCAAGCCCTCAAAGCTTGAAACTGGACCATTGACGCCATAATTTGTTCTACGTCGCTCTCCCCGCCACATTAGCAAATTGGTATTTGTGCCCAGGCAACACCAAAAAGCACTTTACAAAACGAAGACCGCAGAGCGGTTCAACCAACACTAAGATGAGTGGCGGTTGGAACACGAGTATGTCCCTACAGCTATTCAACCTACTGTCGTGTGGTATCCGTTTGCTAACTAACAAACTACAGTCGAGTCAGACGCAGTATGCTCATCTTCCAATGATGCTATCCTAGCCGTTTGTTTGAGCTTCGGAGCTAACGGGTGACAAACCAGGGTGTCTTTACCTTCTTGCTCGATAATCTCGGCGTCAAAGGCGTGCAATGCGAGGAGCTCCTGACGCTCGATCCTGATGCTCTCGCGCAGCTCTATCCCGTATATGGCGTCATCTTTCTCTTCAAGTTCCCGACCGATGCTCCCTACCATGCAGGCGACAAACCACACGACGGTACCTTTGACCAAGATGCAGCCGAGCGGCTCTTCTTCGCCGCGCAAACAATCCAAAACGCCTGCGGTACACAAGCTCTGCTAAGCGTGCTACTCAACAAAACGGGCGACGACGAGGCGACCAGCTCTGACAAGCAGGCTACCACAATCGACATCGGCCCAGTGCTGAGCGACTTCCGCGAATTCACCATGGCGTTGCCGCCGGAGTACCGCGGCGAGGCGTTGTCCAACTCTGAGCTGATCCGCAGCGTGCACAACAGCTTCGCGCGCAGCAGCCCTTTCGTCGACGAGACTGGTCCGCGGCCGGACGAAGCTGACCCTGATGCCTTCCACTTCGTCGCCTACACACCAATCAACGGCGTTCTGTACGAGCTTGATGGCCTGCAGCCGGCACCCATCAGCCACGGGCCCTGCACGCAGGAGAGCTTCCCCACGAAGGTGATGGAGGTGCTACAGCGGCGCATCGCACGCTACAGCGCGACCGAGATTCGCTTCAATCTGCTGGCACTGGTGCGCGACCTGCGCGAGCGCGCCCGCGAGATCGGCGATTTCGAGATGCTGGAGCGCGAGGAGCGGAAGCGCCGCGACTGGCAGTTTGAGAACGCGCTGCGGCGGCATAACTTTGTGGGGTTCGCTGGTGAGGTGCTCAAGGGTGTGGTCGCGACCAAGTTGAAGCAGGAGGGCGCGTACGAGAAGTGGATCGAACAAGGTAAAGAGAGAATGAGGAGGAGGATAGAAGAACGGAAGAAGGCAGGCGGGGGCGGCGGAGAGGATGTTGAGATGGCGGGGTAGTGTCCTTGAGTGGACAGGGGGGTTGGCGACGGTGACGACAGGGCTAAGCCGGCGGGGAAAGTTGAATGCTTTCGCTGCTGTCTTCATGGGAGTGGACCCCTCCCCCCCCTTAAAAAAAAACAAGATGTCGGCTCACCCTCTGCCTTGATCCAAACACTTACTGCCTAGAAACTAATCGACAATCAAGGTTCACATGCGGATGCGCTTGTGTAGGACCAGGTCATGTTTAACGTTCCCAGACCATGTGTCTGCGTGCCGCGTTGAAAACCAGATCCTCTGTGGCAGCCCAGCCAGTAACTCTATCTGGGAAGGGTCCTGTGATAAATGTGCTTCCAGCCACGCAGAGGCCAAGCCAGGACTCAAATCATTGCAACTGAGTCTTAATACAAACACTTCACAACACGATAGGTACGAATGACCGAACGGCAGCTTTCTTCCTCTATGATGGAAACGGCGTGCGGCCGCGGACCTGGGAAAGGCAGTATGTTAACCGGTGTTTCGGTTGTGTGCGCCCATTTCCCATCCAGCCCAGTATACACGGCATGACCCTCGATGATGATGTATTGAGTATTCGCGATAACCGACTCCCATTTTTCCTCTGGAATCGTAGCCTTGAGACCCGAAAAACAATGCCATGCTCGCGTACACCGTTCCGGAAGAAAAGTTAAGCCCTCAGTCAAAAGATTCCCCGCTTCCCCGCTCAACTAGCAGCCCCGAGTTTCAAGCAGCAGTCAGAGCCCGGCGAATGCGGACACCGCGCTGCCTGGAAGAGAGGTGAGACTCGACGTCACGGACAACAGCCTCGGACTTCTGGACAGTCTCCTCGGCCTCAGTGAGGATGAGCTCAATGTGGCAAGGGTTGGACATGTAGGGGTTGATCTGTGCCATTGTTAGCTCTCTCTACGAGTTCCCGTGTGGTGGTGCCAATATGGGTTTCGGAGAACGTACGCGACCGTGGGCACGGTATGTCCGGCGGCGCTGCTTGGGAGCCTGATTAACCTGGATATGCTTGATGATGAGGTTGCCGGTATCGAGGCCCTTGGCATCAGCATTGGCCTCAGCATTCTTGAGAAGGCCGATAAGGAACTGAGCCGACTTCACGGGCCAGCGAGCGCGGGAGACACCCCACTGCTTGCCTATATTCCAAATCCGTCAGTCTTATCCTTCCAGCTAGAACAGCTGCCTTCCCATCTCATGATGCCCCTCGTTTATGTTGAATCTTATCCACATCACCCTTTTCATGCCCTTTTGACCACTTCTTCCAAGTCCTCTAAAGCTCTTCATGGGATTGCGACGTTTCGACTCGTACCTTGAGCGGTCCGGCCGGTAGAACCAGCATAGCGGCGCATGGGGACGGCCTCCTTCTTGTCAATGACGTTCTGGAGGAACGTCAGAGCGCGCTGCAGCTTCCAGCCGTTGATGGCCTGGGCGGTCTCGCGGGTGTTCTTGAACGAGACGCGGAGGTACGACCCGCGGGCGCGAGCCGACTTCGTCGGGGCAATTTCAGTCGCAGCGTACCGAACCTGAATTTCCCATTTCCAGTCAGCCTGGGCCCCTACACAGGATTTAACATTGCCCGCAGCCAATCTGCCATAAATCCCCCATCCAACCCTCGATATCGAGTAGCAGAATGTCTCTAAAACCGGTTTTTTGGCAATTCGATGTTGACACGGGTTTCGTAAGGGTGACTGACCATCTTGACTGCTTGTCGATGCGAGGGCGGAATCGACCGACTTTGGGTTTGCGAGATGATGGTGGTTCGAAATTTTGGCGCCAAATCCGATTTTCGCGATTAGGGCTCTGTGGGCACTGGATGATTGGCCTGTGCGGACGAATTTGGCCTCAGGCATCAGCCGGCCTGGTTGGTACGCAGCCGAGAAACAGGGAATCTATCGATAGGTGTATTAACAGCTAAGCGTGGAAATCACTGCATTTTATGCTAAGGATTCCAACTGGTGGAGCCGCGGCTGAGGACTGGCCACTCATAGCACGGGACCAAGCCCCAGCCGTGCAGCGGCTTCGAACATGGCCCCGCTTTTTTTTCTGACTTCCAGAAATTTTGCATCCAGCTCCAGTCGTCCAAGCTTCTTGACGAAAGTTGAACACGAGCGTCGCGTATTTGCACCCATTGTGTCTCAACGGTCAACTCGCGCAACGCAGCACAATCGGTGCAGACACTTCATTGCATTCTAAACAACAGACCATCTCATTAATCGGTCACAATGGGCTTTGAGCGCGGTGGTAGAGGCGGTGGTCGCGGTGGTGCTGCTGCTCGTGGTGGCCGTGGCGGCGCGAGGGGTGGTCGTGGTGGTCGTAAGTCGCCCATGTGCTATCTACTTTTGGTCTACAGCGGATCCGATCTCAAAATGTTGTTGGTTTTGTCAATTTGTCGATACCGTGGTTCGGATTATGAACAATCGTTTGCGGCCCGTCCAGCTCTGCGTCGCTGAGTCGCGTCCTCTGCTTTGAACTGTTTTCCACGGGATAGAGACAGGCGCTAACAGTTTTCATCAGCTGCCGGTCGTGGCGGTCCTGCTGGCCGTGGCCGTGGTGGTCCCGCTGGTCGCGGTCGTGGAGGGTATGCGTTAATCCTATCCGTTTCAGAGTCACCCGTTTCTAATTCATAGACGCAGTGGTCGTGGCGGCAAGCCCAAGGCGAAGGGCGCCAAGGCCGGCAAGAAGGTCATTGTCGAGCCTCATCGTCACAAGGGCGTCTTCGTCGCTCGAGGCGGCAAGGAGGACCTTCTTTGCACTGCCAACCTAGTCCCTGGCGAGTCTGTCTATGGCGAGAAGCGCATCTCTGTTGAGACTCCTGGCAGCGGCCCCGATGCCGTTGCTACCAAGACTGAGTACCGCGTAAGTCTTCACCCCTGATGCCCATCCGCTTGCACAAGGGCAATTATGACTACAAATCATTGGAACATGACAAGGCTAACACCCCTTAGATCTGGAATCCTTTGTTAGTACACCCCTCTTCCCATCTACTTATTCAATTACTGACGACATATCAGCCGGAGCAAGCTTGCAGCTGGTATCCTCGGTGGCCTGGAGACTATCTACATGAAGCCAGGCTCTAAGGTTCTGTATCTGGGTGCTGCCTCTGGTACCTCTGTCTCCCACGTCGCTGACATCGTCGGTCCTACCGGAGCTGTCTATGTATGTCTTAGGTCCCCCGTTGTTGGACACCCACACTCTAACTGCAATGACTTAGGCTGTCGAGTTCTCTCACCGTTCGGGCCGTGACCTGATCAACATGGCGGTATGTCTATTGAAACCTATTTCCCCTTTGCGATTCAAGTAGGAACACTGCTAACTTGTATCTAGACCCGCCGCACGAACGTCATCCCGTAAGACTTGCTGTTTGACTCTTATAGTGAGAAGTTCTCATGCTTACATCTTCTCTTACAGGATTGTTGAGGATGCTCGTAAGCCTATGGCTTACCGTATGCTTGTGTAAGTGGCACTCCTTGACTAGATAACTTGGATTGCTTACTGATCAATTGCAGCCCCATGGTCGACGTCATCTTTGCCGACGTTGCTCAGCCTGATCAGGCCAGAATTGTTGGCATCAACGCCCGTCTCTTCCTTAAGCAGGGTGGTGGTCTTCTGATCTCCATCAAGGCTAGCTGCATTGACAGCACGGCTCCTCCTGAGCAAGTCTTTGCCAGCGAAGTCCAGAAGCTGCGTGAGGACAAGTTCTTCCCCAAGGAGCAGCTTACCCTCGAGCCCTATGAGCGTGATCACGCAATGGTGTCATGCGTCTACTTGCAGAAAGAATTTGAGGGTTAATGTTGAGCGATCAGATTCTGATATCGTTCTTGGCTCTCTTAGGGCATTCTCATATTGGTTGGTGTTCAACTGGATGGTTTGCTTGATCGTGGACGGCGAATGGCGTTTTTGGGACTTGTTTTATGAGCATATGTGACTAGTAACGGGAAATCGTCATCTAATCATCCTGTCACTGCTGCTCCGGAGCTCTTCTCATATCGTCCACAGCACAGTTGTTGTCGGTCAGCCCTCACGAGGCAATATCTACGGCAGGGGTGGGAATGAAATGCTGACATAGCTCTCCCAGATGGTTGTATGGCCAAAGATTTAAGGTTGTGGGAATTCACTGTGCACCACCTCGCAGTAACATAACACAGTTACTCTTTTTCCTAGCCTAACCTTTACCCACGCTGTAATATGTGTTTCTCTGCAAGCCTCTGCACACTGGGTGTATTCTCTGATTCTAGTCTATTAGCTCAGGGTTATTTCAGATTACAGCGACTCCTGACTCATCCGCTGCTACGGCAGCCTTAAGAAATGCCTGGCTAACACCGGTCTAGTGGTTCTTTAGGCTTCCGAAAGTGTTATAGACAACATGACGGTGTACTACTCCATGGCGATGCGTGTAACAGTTTGTGGTACAGCAAGCTTTACATTACTGAGCTCTTCGGAGCTTGCTCATCTAACAATATCCTCTGTGTTATCCAAGCGAAACAAAGCGGCACGAAGGATGGGGCAACAAAAGTCTGGATCTTGCCACCTCCTGAGAAGTCGGCGCCTATGCACAGGATGATATCAGCCCGCTGTTGCTCGTTAATCGACCGCATATTTGCAACATAAGGCGAATCGCCCAAGGGACGTCTTCACTCAACATCAGTTAGATACTTGAATTGCGACTTGCGAAGTGCACTAGCTACAAGCCTCACTTAACATTCTCTCACCACCATCCAAGAATTATTGTTTCTATTCTTGTTTCCAAGACACTGAACTACACCAAAACCATTGGATACCCGAATTTCAAGACACATCCACGCCTCTTAGGGCTGATCCAATGCTTCCCCCCTAATTTAGGCCTTATTGATTAGTATCAGGAAGAGTGACTATTGGTGCCATCTAGGCAAGGACAAGTAGACTGTTGTTAAACCAAGAAATCACAGTGGTAACAGGAGTCAGGGGTTTGTGATGCTTATTGTCTACAATTTCACTCTTTGCCCTTTTTCCTATGAGTTCACCGACGCCCTTGAGCCACGTGTGCAATACAGAGGGACAACTGTTGTGGTGCCCAACATTGAAGATGGATGGCAATTGTAACTCGCCCAATTTATTAACTCGACGACGCAGCTGCTTTCACCTTCTCTGCCTGATGAATGTCAGCACAGCAGAGAGAGTATTTTAAAGGCAAGGAGAGCTTGTCACTAAACTGTCTTCCCTACCAAAGGTTCTGTTAAGTAAGGCTTGAAACAGACGTCTGAGACAGATGAGATGCCATGTGATTCTAAAATTGCTGAGTATGACCACTAGAAACATGTCTTATCTTGGATTACACATCCTGTAGGTACCTACCTTATGTCATGAACAGGTCTGTGTTTGTACCTACCATATGGATGCATTTGTAACAGGCAGCAGGATTATTCACACTGGGTGCCCTAGGACAAAACATAAGAATTGTCCTCAAGTGCCTCACATCTCGGAAGAACCTCATACCTCAGGGTGCTGGTTCAGCAGCGATATTTCGTACGATTATCCATCATGCACTAGTGTACTACATTGCATTTCTCCTCCAGGCGGGGTAGAGTGTTGTTGAAAAAGCACGTTCCGAATTCAACCGCCAGTGACCAACATTTGACCTTGCGTCTATCCCACGCTCTTACGGTGGTGAACAAAAACAAGTTGGTCGGCGAGTCCGCGACCAAACCTGCAGCACCTCATCTCGGGTGCCGGCTTCTCCGACCGGAAAGGGCACTGGAGCAGTTTGTGACTGGTGACTGGCTCGTTGTACGAAAAGGACTTTTTTGCTCATTCTCATCCCTCGCTTCTGTGCAAGCCACCCACACAAAAAACCCCCCTCGTTCTTTGCAGATGCCAAGGCGAGCCTAACCTAGTGCAGCTGAGCCCAGTGGACGGGATTTGCCGCGCGCCTTCCTCTCCCGTTCCCTCTCACTTCCATTCCTGTCTGGCTTCCGTCCTTTGCCGTTCCCAAAAAGAGATGTTTTGCACATCGGTTGAGCTGCTTGGGCCATTCTGAACTGTCCAAGCTTCATTCTGCTTTGCCATCGTTCCGTTTGGATGCGTGCACCTTAGATGCGGGGCACCTGTGGTGAGTTGGAACCCATTACAGTAAAGCACACGCGACATCCCATCAATGGCGCTGATAGGCAAAAGCGGATTGTTTACCAAAGGCGAGTCCTTACATTGACTGCTTCGCCATCCTGTCAACGTTAAGCTCTTTCACTCCACGTGATGGGTGGAAATCTGAGTGATGATGGTCACGCCTTTGGTTCTGTTTGTGAGGCGCGCGCCGGCTGTGCACCCGGTCCCCTGGGCCAAGCTTCATCGCGTTTAGCGCGGACAACTCTTGATCGGTGGGCCAGGGTCCTGCCAGGATCATCAACGAGGGGTTGAGACCCTTGATAACGTTGTTTTCTCGCTTGGCTTTGTGGGGTTCAAACCCAGACCATTGCTTTTTTGGTGTCATCATTTCCCTTGCTCTTCTCACTCGTGGGGAACAAAAGACATGTCTTATATGCTAGTAAAAGAAAGCAAATCTTATGATGACCTAGTTAAATCTAGTTGTGAGTGGACAGAGATGTTTGATTTGCATTGTCGCCAAGAAAATGGGTTGTGATGCCATTTGGATGGCATACTTGTCAGCATCATCAGACTTCCAGGGTAGAACGGAAATGCGGTGGCAAGAAGAGCCAACATCCTGCAGTAAGGGACGCTTGGATGTGGGCTGTATAATCGGGTGGGTTAACACAGTTACAGTACATAGATTTCCCATCACCGCGTCGGCAATGCAAGCAGTTATTAGTAGAGCTACACAGCATCCACGAAAGCACAGAACAAGAGGGGACTTTCATCCAGCAATGAACCCGACAGCTCGGGTGGAGGGGAAGAATACGACATATCGCTTGTAATTGCTGCATAAGTTGTAGTCTAGATACACAGCAGGGCTCAAACTCATTGCTGACACTTCTCCAGCAACCCACGAGCAAGGTCGCGCAAGGCGCCACACCATGCTACAGTGCCAATGGCTGAATTCCGGATCTTCGGGTCCCCTAGCTGAGGCGACATGCAGATCTTTGATCCGGAGGTCTACTGGGGATGCTAGCTCACGGTGGGAGTGGCTGCCATGCGTTCACATTGAGGCTGGAGACGATCTTCAGCAAGTTAAAGGCTGCTAGTCTCTTGGAAGAGCTGAAGATAACGTCACAACTTCGTTAAAACCACCATAGACCGTGTTGAGGTACATACGTACATACAACTTGCCGTGCTGTAGCCTGTGTTAATGCAGGCAGGCGGAACAGAAGCAATGAAGAGACAATTTCCTTCTGCTTGCGATGCTGTCAATAATTCCCCTGTGAGATGCATTGTTGCATTAGTTGCCGTTTCTTAGGCTTCACTGCAAGGGGGTCCCTTACCAATCACTCACCGCAGCATCCCACGTCAAGAGACGGTCAAGATCGAGTCTACTTCCCAGAGTTCTTGCTGTAATCGTCCTCCCCAACAATTCTTGCGTGGTAGCAGTGCAATGTAGCAACGGAGCGTAGCTTTTTGTGGTGTTAAGACGAGGGCATCCATGCCTACGGGGTATGAGGTTTCATTCTCCTCGGGCATCTGGCGGCGTGCGGCACTTGCGGCGATCCGGAACCGTGCTGCTGGGTCAGATTTGGCGGATCTAAGGGCTGCAAGCCTCGTCGCATTTTTTTTCCCGCAGCCCTCCGCTGGGGGTTGGGTTCAAGGATGTCGATGCTGCGTCGCATCAGTGACACAACTCTTGGACTCAGGGGTGTCATTCGCTCTGATCAGCCATGATCTCGCGAATATCCACAAGAAGAAAAGTTGACCTGGGTCTTTGCAACAAGATGACGATGACACTGTGCAGAGGTCAGTTTACTTTTGCACAATACAGAGAAACATCATCGGGCTATGAACATGAGACCTGTTACCGGGGAAGTCTGTGACACTCTAGCCCAAGCTTCCTGCAATTAATGACTTTAGGTCCCAGGTTTAACCCATTGGCTTGGATCTCGTTCCATGTCAGCACTCAAAGTTGGAGTTAGCTCTATCTCATGGGTATGGAACCGTCCGATATCCTGCCTGTGGGGATACGAGAGCGGTTCGTTATTGGATGCAGGGAGTAAGTCGTACAAAATGCTGCATGTTGTAGTGTAAGAGAGACGCCAGCAAGCTATGCTCTCAACTAGAGGCGACTTGGAGCAGGCATGCGAAAAGTTGGTAAAAGCTGGGAAGTCTGGTCGCAGACGTGTCTCTCAGAATACGTCTGTGACACTTTCAGATGGCCATGAACAGGACACAGAGCTCGCTTAGAATCAACAAGTTGGGCGAATTTGACCCAGGAAACGGGCTCAGTTTCATTCCATCGCGATGGCAGTGTAACCAGAGGTAGTACGGGCTCTGTACAAATTCTTGCACTTCTTACACTAGGTATTACGTTCCAGGTTCCAGGCACCAAGGAATCGCAGGCTCCATGTTGATGTGGACATCGATCTTCAGAGGCTCCAGTTTGGCGGAGCGATAATCAAACTTTGAACTCCACATACAACGTGTGAGCGCGTCCTGTCAGTGGAGCAGGTCCGAGACAAAGCCGCCAAGCGCGCCCAACAGCTGCAGCCCCTGGAATGCACACTTGGTTCTGGCATTCAGACCGCCTTCGAGTCCGAGCCCAACCGTTCTTTTACCGTTGCGCTATCGCCCAAACAGGCTTGGTGGACGATCATATGTCCGCCCAGCGCCTCTTTGGGATAAAAAAGCGAGTTTGGGGAAGGCTGAGTTGTGGA